CCCATTATTACAACTTTTGTTACAGAAAAATAGTTGTATTGTTTTATATAGATATATATATCATTATCATTATTCAAGTATTGTTCGTTGGTTACAACTTATTATACTTAAATCACATAGCATTTATTATTACCATTCATTCTTCAATCTTCCTCTCTATTTAATTTTTATAGTGTGTGCGCGTATTTCAAAATTGGAACTACTCTATTTTTTTGTTTTCTTTGAATGAACTGGATATAAAGAAAAGAGATACATTTTTGAAACTAATGGTTGCTGTTGAATTTTTGATACCATAGAGGAAAAAGAGCAAGGAAAACTTTTCAAGTTTTTTATTATGACGATATACCTTCCTGTACTATGTGACTTATTTTCTGCCCTATCTTTTTTTTTGGAGGGGGGTTTACTTTTGCATCAATAGAGAAGTATAGTCGCCAGGACATTATTTTACCTCCATATTCGTCATACAATAACAATTTTATTTTTCGTTCTTACTTCTTTGAATATTTGATATCTATGCACTACATTTCAACCATTTTTTTCAGTCAAATTTTGAAAGTGGAAACATTCTTTCGTTATCATTTTCTTTTATTGGCTATTAATTGGTTAATGGTATCAAGTATTTAAAGAGCGGAGTCTGTGTTTAAAGACTGTCAGTTATTCACAGGACTAAAGGCATAAGAATACATATCTTTTTATTATTTATTAATAATATATTATAAATATCTTGATTCATTTAAATACTTGTATGTGGGGCTTTGACTATATTTCAACTATTTACACATGAGTAGGGAAAGTTATTACTCTCCCTTTTTCTTTTATAACTACAGTCTTTTATGGATCCTTTTCAGAATTATAATCCTCAGGAACTAATACTTTGGCTTCTTCTAACAATTCTGTTAATTCTCCACTTTTAGCCATACTCTTGATGACATCGCATCCACCAACAAATTCACTATTCACAAATAATTGAGGAATAGTTGGCCATTCAGTAAATTCTTTAATAGCTTCACGTAGTTCAGGATCTTCTAATACATTATAAGCAGCAAATTTTAAGGGATCAACACCTTGTTGACCTAAAATTCCAATCGTGGCTTTAGAAAAGCCACATTGAGGAAATTCTGGTGTGCCCTTCATAAATAATACTACTGGAGCAGAAGAAACGGCATCCTCGATAGCTTTACGGATTTCTGTACTCATAAATGCCACTAGTTGAGGCCTATATATAGTTTGGCGCATTTGAGTTAGTGTTTGATTACCTATTAGACGACCGGTGGCCATTAGATTTCTTCTAAACATGGCGATATTTTTGTACGTTGTGGTTTTAAGAATAAAATATTTATGTATATGTCTAATCAAATTAATTTGATATAGTTAATATCTATCTTTCTCCTTTTATATATATATATATATATATATATATAGATATAGATGTGTGTTTGTGCAGTGTTGGTTACTCATTTTTTTCTATGCGATGGCTCGTTGTTCCGGTTTGACTCTACATTGGTCAAACAATTTCTGGAGGCCTTATTTTTTAATGTACTGATATTGGTCACACATAGTCAATACATAATTTTAGTCTTAGTCATCAAAAAATTCAGAAAATTAACTGAAATGATAACAGTTTTCGTATCTTGTACTTATGATTTTGAATCATTAAAAGGAATATTTATATATTTATATGTATCATTTATTAACAAGTGGTTAGTCCTTCTTTTTAACCTTTAGAGAATTCAGTAACGACATACGTTGTAATCTATGTAGACTTCTCATACAGAACCAATAAAACCATACGGTAGATAATAAACCAACACCTGTGGCTACTGCAAATCCATAATCTGTCTCTTCAATAAAATTTTCAAGATTCATCCCATACAATGAACCAACAAAGATTGCTCCACCTAAGGAAAACATTCCAACTCCCATCTTAATATTTAATAACATTAATTGATTTCTATTGGAATCTAAAATAATATTAATGATTTCTTCCGTGGTTCTTACGTTTGAAATAATATTTTCTGTTCTTTGAACTACTTCATCTACATGATTATGATATGTCTCTAATAACATTTCAATCTCTGAATGATCATCTTCAATTCTTACAATACCTTCTTTCCAATCAGTTAAGTACATATCACATAACATATCATCTTGTTCTAATAAATCATCTAACATATCTCTCACAAGGACACATTTTTTATAAAATACTTTTAATTTTTTATTTTGAATTAATAATAATCTTAATTTATCTCTAGTGATATTATGATCTAAATCTGTAAGAACTCCCTGAGTTAAAGTTAATAATACTTTCATTTCACTAGTCAAATTCGATAATGCAAACACGAATATTGCTTCTAATGCTCTAAATTCATATGGCAATGTTTGAGAATTTACTTCATCTGAGGCTTCATTCTTTAATCTCAATTTTAAATTTTGAATAAAATCTCTTTGTGAAGTTGAACTTAAAGATATCCCACTACCAACTGAATCAAAAATAATTACTGAATCAGATTTAATTAATGCTTTAATTGTCAATAAACTGATCAAGATTCCATCTTTTCTAACAAGTATACTAGGAACTAAATCATTTTTCTTAGATTTTTCTATCTTACGTAAATCTCTAGGCAAAAGTTTATGTCGAGTAACTAAATCCTCCCTTTTCATTTCTATTGATGAGGGTCCTGTATTGCCTTGTGAATCAAATACAGTACATCGTATCGTACCATATCCGTATCCATATAATGTATTATTTCGAAGTAATAAGTTTTTCTGTAATAACATACTTGCTGTATTATTATATGCAGCAGGTTGATATAGTGGTATAGTTTTATGTAAATGCCGTATCCTTATACATTGTTTTAAAAAATTTAAAGGTCTTATCCTTTGCAGATGTGATGGACACCACATATAATTCATTTTCTAATCTGATAAATTGATTAACTTGGATTGTACAAAGTCATTCGACTCGAACTTATAGATATTAATGAGACATTTCTTTTAAATTTAAATTTTTAATGTTTCAACCGTTTTTTCTTTCTACTTCTACTTTAATTTTTAATTTTATTATTTTATTTCACCGATGAATACACAATAAAAAAACCAAAAATAAAATGTTCGACTACAATCTATTGTTATGACACTTTCAATAAAAGTGTACAGAAACTAATACAGTTTTGAAAAGTAAAAATCAGTAATATTTATTATATATATTTATGAATAAAAGGTGAATTGTTTATTTACGTGACCTATTGAAAGATAGAAAGGGAATAAAAAAAGAGACCCTCACTTTTAAATGACCCAAATGTATCTTTTTAAAATTATGTTTTAAAAAGATACCCATTGTAAAGAGAATTGTAGAAGTTTAAAAAATCATTATTAAATCTACGATTTCTTTACTGTATTTTGTTGTTGTTGTTATTGATGCGATGTAGATTAAGAAAAATAAAAAACAGTTATTATCTATTTTTTTTCTTGTTTATTACAACTTAATTCTGATAGCCTTAACTTCAGTGTAACAATCGTAAACTTCGGCACCCATTTCTCTACCGTAACCAGATTGTTTGACACCACCGAATGGGACTCTAGAGTCGAAATCGTTGTAAGTATTAACCCAAACAGTACCGGACTTTAACATCTTAGCGACTCTTAGAGCTGTGCTTAAGTTTTCAGTTTCAATACCAGCACCTAAACCAAATTCAGAATCATTAGCCATAGCAACACCATCTTCAATATCCTTAAATTTAGAGACGGTAACAACAGGGCCGAAAATTTCTTCCTTAACAATTTCCATATCTTCAGTGACGTCATAGAAAATAGTTGGTCTAATAAAGAAACCTTTATCACCAACTCTAACACCACCAGTTAAAATCTTAGCACCTTCTTCTTTACCAATATCAATATACTTCATGATAGTATCGAATTGATCTTTATTTGAAATAGCACCTTGATAATTTGATTCATCAAATGGATTACCAACTTTAATATTATCGACAAATTCTTTAAAAGCAGGCATTAATTTATCATAAATACCTTCTTGAACATAAATTCTTGAACCAGAAGAACAAATTTGACCAGCATTTTTAAATATACCATTAACTAAGTTTGGAATTGTCTTTTCAATATTAGCGTCATTAAAAACTAAATGAGCGGATTTACCACCTAATTCAAGAGTAATTTTCTTTAAATTTGATGAAGATGCGTTAACTGCAATACCTTTACCGACATCTGTTGAACCAGTGAATGCAACTTTTCTAATCTTTGGATGTTCAGTAATTGAATTACCAACTTCTCTACCAGAACCTGGAATAATATTAACAACACCAGCTGGTACACCTGCTAATTTACAAAGATTTGCAAAAAATAAAGCATTTAATGGAGTAGCAGATGCAGGTTTTAAGATACAGACATTACCCATTGCTAAAGCAGGTGCAATTTTCCAAGAAAGCATCATAATTGGGAAATTCCATGGAATAATTTGACCACAAATACCAATTGGTTCTTTAATTGTGAAATTCATATACTCATCACCTGAATTAATAGTTCTACCATTAATTTTATCAGCATAAGCAGCAGCATCTCTAATACAATTAACAACTAGACCAACATCACCTCTTGAAAGAGCTAAAGTTTTACCATTATCTAAAGTTTCAATAGCAGACATTAATTCTAAATTTTCTTCAACTAAATCGGCTAATTTTAATAAAATTCTTGCTCTATTTTTTGGATCTTGTGTAGCCCAATTAGTTGCATTAAAAGCATGAGATGCAGCTTCAACAGCATATGCGACATCATCACGGGAACCTGAAGAAACGTATGTAATAATTTCTTCTGTAGCAGGATTTAAAACTTCCATAGTTTTACCGTGAGAAGCTTTAACAAATTCATTATTAATGAATAAACCTGTTGGTTGTTCATAAGTCATACCATTTGGTAAAGTAATTGTTTCAAAGTTAGCTAACTTTCTATCGTTAGAAGACATTATGTATTTATGTTGTGTGTTTTTTAAATTTATTTTTATTTTGTTATACTTGTAATTCTTTATTAGAACTGATACTTTTTTTTTGATTATTAATTAAAAAATAATAATAATAGTAATTAAATTAAGGGTAAAATAAAACGGAAATTATTTCAAGAAATGAATATACATTGACTTATTTATATATTACAGAAAAATAAAATAAATAAATAATTGAAATAATGACAACAAATACAATCGAGAGTTTAATAAGCTCATCTCTTAACGAAGAAAAGATTATCATCCCGCCTTAAAAGTATACTAACATATTACAAATATGAAAAAACACAACAACATCAACATACATTGTTACGTAAGAAATAGTTTAAGGTTAATCAAGGCCCGTTTATTATGAAATGTAAAGACCGGTTGAATTTTCTTAAGAAAATATCATCGTCTAAAGACACTTTCAATATGATAATAATATTTTTGTTGGTTAAATTTATCTCTTAGTAACTATCTTTTACAGGGAATAAAAAAACATAAATTATGAACTTAAACAGAGGGTGATGTGGCTGAACTTTTTCTATTAAGTTAACGAAGAGACAACAAACACAGATAGTCGAGAATAATATTAACAAATCATCGAGTGTTTACCTCCGTCAAATTACTAATTTAATTGTCAACAGTCGGACATAAATTTCAACAAGGATATCATAATAATTTTTCATTTTAAAAGTGTATCTTCTCTGTATAATGATATGATGATTAAGCTGTTCATGAGAATTATAATATGGAATGTTATCCTTTGTATTATTACCATCATCATCACTAAAACAAGGGGTGTAAAGACCCAAGCATAGTAAGTACGTAGTACGTAATAATAATAATAATATTCGGAAGAATATTGAGAAAAGAAAGGGAAGATTACGTGGGATAAATAAATAATTTACTTGCTCGAGATTCTTTTTGCAAATAATGTTCACTGAAAATAGTAAAGGAGAAAAGAGATAACTATTTTAAATCGGTTACTATAAGCAAAAACACACACAAGCAGACAGAATAAGGGACTTGCCTCATTTCTTTTACAAAAAAGAAAACTATCCTCTCTCCCTCATAAAAACACACACACAGATATTGGTTTTACTGGGAGGGGACGGAAGGGTGTCGGCTAAAAGAGGGTGGAACGAGGATAGACTACTCTCTAATGGAAAAATTAGTCTGAAAAAATGGTTGCGGCGGTGTTTGGTTTCTTTTTCTTTTTCCACAAACGAAGAATAGCACGGAGAACAACGCCACAAGAAAAAGAAAATAGATCCAAATAGTGACGTTATATTTAATATTAATTTGTTTCAATATTCGGTCCAATGGAGCGGGTGAAAAGCCGTGCCATCCCCCAAACGTTTTATAAGTAAATAGCTACAGAAAGATGCATAAAATATTCCTTTTAATTGGAATATTTTGCGGGTTAACGGAGATTATTTGAATTGAACTATTTTATTTTTGGTAAATAAGAAAACACTATCATTTCGGCCGAATATTCGGATATAGTAAATTTAATTTCAACATATTGAATGATATTTTGGTTAACGGAAAATACCACATCTCGAGATGCTGTCTTACTTCAAAACATTTTGCTTTATTTTGATAGGCAAATAGAGTAATCATAAGATACGTTAAAATATTTTAATAATCCTTTAACGAATAATCAAATAAAAGTGCTCTCTATCTTGATTTATCAGAAATAGTATTGTTTATAGTTCCGTTTGCAATAAAAGAGGGTTAATAGAATAAGATAAAGGTCAGATAATATCCCACTCTTTTTTTTTGGTTTGTCATTACAATTAATAGCCGCTGAATTAACTCATGTTACTTGGATAACCGAAATGATCCGATCAAATTTTGTGTTGTGGCCACTAACTCCTCATTATTTTGCAACAAAAACAAAAAAATCCAACCAGAAAGAAAAAAGGGAACGGCGCATACTTTTCTTTCAAGAAGAAGAAAAGAAACAATTCCGCGGCTTTGACAAGAAAATTAGAGGGGCAACACCACACTATATAATATTTTTTTTAAGCCGCACGGCAATGACCTTCCCGTTTTACAAATTTCTTACAACCTTGACGCCATAATTGATATTATTTGTTACCATTTTCTTTCTCAACCATCAAAAATCGTAAAAAATAAGAATTTGTGTGAGCAAATAGAACCGAATTTTTCATGACACTTCTGGTCCGACTTATTCCGATGGAACTGTCATTTTATGAGGGATGATTTGTTAAAAATGTCGTTTCCAGACTTTTTACATTTTATGCTAATATGTCATAATGGAAAAGTGGGGCTTGTTAGGCAATAAATGAAAATTGTCAGAAATTTGGCCTGTTTCGTTTTTGCCTTTAAGATCAATTCTTTCATTTATGACACTTCTCATTATCTTGATCGGCTTCCTTTCTTTTTCGTAGTATCTAGTATCAATTCATATGATTATGACATCATGATTTTCTCGATGTCTACGATAAATAGAAAACGGTTTCTTGCTTTTGCTCAAGCTTCGGTTCTTATCTTTATTAATACGTTGATTGAGATTTTCGCATAGCGGTAACGCTACTCATTTTGGTGGTAATCAATATAATTAATTAGTTCACCAAAAAAAAAGGGTAAGCTGTTATTGGTGCTGGTAGCATCAACGTTTTTTTTTTTTAAAAAAAATATAAATTTAAAAAACTATATACAAATAATATATATATACATATGAAAAAATAAGGTAAAGTTAATAAATTTCCTCGAAACAATAAAAGGAAAGAAAAAACATCAGAGAGAAAGAGAGAAAAAGGAGACAAACAAACTAATTTGATACTGTATTATAATATTTATTGTTCTTGTTCTTTCTTTTGTTGTTCAAAAATTGCATCAATTTCTTTTTGTTTTTCAACTTGTTTTTGCATTTGTTCTTCAGGTGTTGGAATATTACCTTCAACATAATCCTTTAGTGTAAATGTTTGACCACTCATTTGTTCCTGTTGAATTTTCATCTTTTGTTTTTCTTCTTCAATCATTTTCATAAATCTAATATAATTCTTTTCACCTTCTTCACGAATTAAATCTAATGGAAATTTATTTGCTGCTTGTGTTACACTATTTGCACTTGAAACACCTAATAACTTCAATGCCCAATTACCATTAATTTTTTGATTTTGTTCAATATTAAATTTTTCTCTTAATTTTTCAACACGAATTTCAAATTCTTCTGGTAATTCATATTTATCTTTAAAACTATTTAAAATTGGTTTAACATCATTTGGTTGTTGTGTTGCTAAATATTCTAAAAATGGAATTAAATTAATTAATTTGTCATCGGCTTTACCATCCCATGGTTTCATTGGAATTGCATTTTCAGGTTGCAATTTATAATTGGTTGGATCTGTATCAATAATAATTACTTTATTAACATCTCTATTCAATTTTGATAAATCTTTAATATGTTCACCTTCTTTATAAACACAATGCTCCTTGTATAAATTATAAGAAATGAATGCATGCAAAGGATCTAATTTTTCAATTATTCTTTCAGAATACATCATATAATTTGATGAAAATAATACAATTTCATAATATTGTGATAAATATCCAAGGAAATAATCAACACCTGGTCTCTTTGCTGTTCTCCAACCATGTTTTTGTGACCATTCAGAGTGAACTAATAAATCTTCAAGATTTAAAACTAATGTTAAAGGTCTTTGATATGGTGGAGGCGGAGATGGTGGTAAAAGATCTGGAAATGGTGGTTCTTGAAAATATGTAAACATTGAATTAAATCTTAATTTAAATCTTTGATACATTAAACTTGGTACATATCCATTCTCTACTTTATCCTTCAATTCTTGTGATTCATTTTCTTCCCAATCTCTTGTTAAATAAAGAGCAGAACCGGATAAAGCTGATAATGAAAAAATATAAAACCAGTTTGCATATCTTTCTCTTTTAACTTCGGTTGAAGTTTGTCTAACACGTTTAGATTTACCACCAGATTTACCATCTTTTGTAGTTTTATCAGTAGCTTCATCCTTTGGTATATCCTTAGATGTTGGTTCATCAATATCCATCCCAGCTTTAGCTAACATATCATCCGTTAGAATAGATTGCGGCTTACCATCCTTTGGTGGTTTTTGTAATAGAAAACGACTTGTAGAAATCGTTCTAGTAGCTTGCCATAATGGTCTCTTACTAGCTGTTCTTAGTACACTCAACATCATTCACCAAAAAGTATAATTATATCCTGGAGAGTCTCAAACTTATATTTTTAAACTGATACTGGCAACAAAAACACTCGATCTGTGCAACAATGCTTAACTATTTACAATGCAGGAAAAAGCAATCAGGAGATATAAATTAACAATGAAGTATTAACTATAAACCAGTGTTTTCTAATGTAATCAATATTTGAACTATTAGGAAATCTAAATATGTTGTACTGTTGGATTATAATAATAGTATATTTTCCCTTATGTTTATCATATTGAGTCGATTCACTTTGTTTTTGTCCTTTCTTCGTCTATTCCAGTTCGCTCGCCCTCTTAATTTCATTTTTGTTTTGTTTTTTGCTTTCTTTCTCTGTCTGACTCTACTATTTTTGTAAGTTGAACAACAAGAAAATTAAAATAAAGGGCACATTAGCAGTTACCCTCATAAAGTTTGAAAAATTTAGTATAATAAGTACATCTCATCTTAAACAGATTACCTGCAGTAAGTATATGCGATGACCATCGAACAACGTGAAACTCATAATTAAACGAGAATTTTTACAGTTGACAGATGTCAGGTTTAAGAACTACTGCAAAATGTGTTATCCACACAACAAAGGGCGAGTTAGAAGTCGAATTATGGGCTAAGGAGTGTCCATTAACATGCCGGTACTTTTTGGAATCTAGTCAAAGAGGAAATTTTAATGGTGCTACATTTAATAATTATATGAAGGGTAAATACTTATCTCTGGTACACCCTGCTGATCATTCAGATATCGATGCAGTACGCTCTGTCGAATATAATTCAAGACTGATCGTATCACAAGATGGTATACTATGCTGGAATTTAAAAGAGAATACTTTAATTATTAGTACAAAAGAATGGCCAAATCACTCAAGAAATGAATTTACCGTATTTGGTAAAATTGTTGGACAATCAATATATACACTGAGAGGGTGGTTAACAAATGATTTAGATGATGACTCTGGGGGTACGAAATTCATATATCCTGCTATTATTAAAGGTATTGAAATTACAATACCTTACTTCAATGATCTACGTGTCGATGAGCCGGCAAAGATGAAATCAGTGTCATTAACAGAACCTCCTCGAAAAAGATTAAAATCAATGGCAAAAGTTAAATTAAGTTTTGATGATGATGATGAAGGAGAAGAAAATGATGATTCTGTATTGTTAAAATCAAAGATAAAAATGAAGGCATCACCTTTATTAAATCGCAAACAAAAGAAACCTAGCACGAAGAAACAGGTAGAATCTCATGAGGTTGTTAATAAAAAAGGTAAGGAAATACCAATGGAAAAGCTTTCTAAAAATCTGCCACAGGACTCTGGTGAACCTGAAAAATCTACTGATACTGTATCGACAAACCAGAATGCATTATATAAAAAATTAGATCCAATGGCCCTTTTAGCTAAAATGAAAGCATCTAATAATGGTAAGAGTATTTTTTCATAAAATTGAGAAATCTTTTTCTCTAAGGACGAACTATACATCGATATAAACAGAGTACTCAAACATTAATGGATACAAATTAAATAATCCTCAATCTCTGTTTTTAGTCTTACAAATGTTTCTTTGTATATGCATTAAGGAAGTACAGACAACTACACAATGATACATTATCAGTTCTATTCTAATAAAGAATAAAAACTCTTATAAGCGAGATCCAGATCAAACAAAAGCTCCCTAATTTCATTATCATTTAATGTATCCTCCACTCGCATTTTGTTGATCTTGACTATCCAATTCACCAACTTCTTTCTATGTTCAAAATCACTTTGAGTAACTTTGTTTATGCTTAACAAAAGTTCAGCTAATAAGGGGTGTAGCTGATCTTTGGCCTTATAATTTAACTTTAATGCATCCATTACTGTAATAAAGTTACCCGTTGCTTCTGCAACATCTTTACCGTTGTAATTTCCTTTCCTTTGAGCTGAATTATCACTTGCTATGGTACCACCCGTAGCCTGTGCATCTACAATGGCATGCTCGACAGTTATTGGTATTCCTCTTTCTAACCTTGTAATTGCATTGGATGCCACGATATCATATTTTCTTTTGAAATGATCTAAATCAACAAATGCTTTCCTTACTTCTTCATTCCCTAAATATGTCTTGTACTGAGCGAGTAATTTGTTAACTGAATTAGTATATTGTGCGCTCGAGACCAAATCTCTTAAATAAGCTTTCTCTACATAATCTAATGCTATCACAATTGAATATATTTCTCCCAATATTTGTTTTGTCTCCTTTTCTTGAAATGTTAAACCTGAATTCAACTCAGCGATACTTGCCAGTATGTCCTTTGATTTAATTTCTGTGTATCGGCTCTCTGTTTCTTCATTTTGTGACATTATATTTTAAGCCTTAGGATTTAACAAGATTTATAACCTTTTGTGGATTTCATAGGGGATGTGTCCCAAATTTTACATTCAATTAAACTTGCTATTTCTACCTCTAGGACACTTCTAAGTTTCTTATTTACCCTTTCAATTTATTCGCGGAAGAGATCAAGCGCTTCTTTATTATTAAAAATTAGGGCTGTTTAGTCATTCACAGAAACCCTATATCCATATAATTGACGAAGTAATCAAACGTATCGACACTTTCCTTAAATAGTAAGTTATATTCAAATTACAAATATTTTACAGTGGAGGAAGCATCACATCGCATTCGTGAGCTATTAGTATAAGACAGGGACATTATATACATAATTTATGTACTAATATTACAAATTGTGATTTCTTTTGGAGATCTTGTGGATTTCAATCTATTGATTTATTCGATAATCGGGATGCGCCGTATTTTTTTATCCGATCTTGCATTTAAAATATTGAACTTTTTCAATGTTTCTTCATCATGATAGTATATTGATGGTGGCAGTATTGGATATTCTAGAATAATATTTGAGTTTGTTAATTGGGGGTCTGAATGAGAATATACTCTTTCCGAATTATCCTTTCCTGTGGTTGTATGTTCTATCTTTTTTGCAACGATACCTCCATAATTATCATAAAAGTTCCTAGCATACTGTGCAGTTTGCCTCTCTTGTGCTATTAATTGCTCTATATATTTCACATATGACTTTGGCCATTTAGAAACTGTAATATTTTGAGAGATTTCAAAATCTTTACCATTGCTAATCTTAAATTTCATAGTCAAATAATGCAGCACTGAAAAAAAAGGACCATGTGTAGTAATGGAACCATGATATTGAAAGGGAATATTCTTATTCTTGCTCTGTAATAATAAAGTTTTTACTTCTCCTTGATTATTCGATTCATTAATATTCTTTGGCAATTTGTATAAAAATTCTGGTTCTTGAGAAGTTCTTTCAAAATTTCTGAAATATTTATCTTTTGTAAATATTCTCATATCATATTTAACATGAATTGTATTTGTAGCAATTACTTCATTTACATCCTTAGTAAATGTATGAATTATATTCTCCTTAGACTCTATATTATGTGGTAAATGAGGGTGATTCACTAAATGATGATGATGATGATTAAGTGTGTTAGCTGTATTAGCATTAGTAGAATCATTAATTTGTAATACTTCTTTCAATTGAAATGTTATATGTTTCAATTTTACTTTTTTATTAAATAATCTTCCTTTATTTTGAACTTGAGAACCATTTACTATTGGATCGGGTTTAAAATCGATAGCGAGTGATAATAGATCATCTGTTGTGACACAAGGATTATCAATTTTGTACTTCACAATATATTTTTTATCTGGTGAGACAATTTTTCTTTTTATTTCTGGAAATAATCTAATTGAAGGTAAAAAAGTGAATCTTTCTACATTAATCAAATGAGAGAAATGCTTAACATGTTTAGAATTGTATTGTACAATACATTCAAAAGCAGTAATACAATTTCCAAATTTTTCATTATAATTTGTCTCTTTAATATTATCAGGTAGAGCAATTGTTAATGGTAAATCTAATCCTATCATACTTTTCTTTGTATTTGTCTTTAAATTAATAATCTTTCTATAATGAACGGTTACTACTTCAAATTTATTTTTTTTCTTTTTATTTCTTGAAAGTAACGAACTATTTGAACTAAAATCATGGTTATTTTTATTGCTTGTTGATAGTAGGTGATGATCATTATCGTTACTATTTTCACGAAAAGCATTATCAAACGGTGATGCAACAGAAGAAGGTGATGGTAAACTAATTGAATTTGTTGAATGTAAGACTTCTACTGTCTTTAAAACAATTTCAATTTTTTCAATATTTATTTTATCTCCATTATTAGATTTAATTTGTAATTGACATTCTATTCTAGGTAAAGTATCAGGAATACCGGGACAGCCTCTAATAACAGAGTTATAACTAGGTTTTAAAGATATGACAGGATACGATGATGTCATATTATATTTGTTTTATTTAATTTATTTGAGTAGATGTAGATCTTCATCTGCGTTCATCAAGTCTGAGATAATTAAACAAACAAACGAACAAACGAACAAACAAAAAATACTAATTCAGAAGTGTAGTAACTAATAAAGTAAACAATCAGAAAATCAGTCAGCAACAAGTGTGGAATATAATTCTTTTTGATATTTTGCTTATTTAAAGGTATCGTTTTTAGTCTATGTACCGTTTTATTAGATATATTTATTACTTACCCTTTTTGGTTTTCGATCCTAAATACAAGTTTGTTTTTCTCTCTTTTTGGAAGGAAGCGATATGGAAATAAAATAAACAAATGATGATATAATTATATTCTGATATATAACAAATACTAAGTATAAGATACCATAACAATCATAATCTTTTCCTGCATTTGTTCAATTTACAAGGATAACAAACGTCCATACTGAAAAACCTACCCACCTAATACTCAATAAACACTTACAAAATTCAAAACACAATCAATATAACCCGTATCTTTTTGATTTCTTGTCTGTCTATAACTTAGAAATCTTGTTGAATACAGAACTTATTTTATATCAAGAAATATGTGTCATTCATAAATAGTATATACCCTTTCAGCTATAACAATAATTGCTCTTGATGAGATTCGAATAGAGCCACCGAAAATATGATAATAGCAGCAAACTTCTACGTCGTACATTACGACATTACAGTTTAGTAACGTTCTCTAATCTTATTGGTCAATTTTGCAAATCTGTGTCGCTACAGCAACGGTGTCTGTTGTGCCTCTCAATAATGTAAAATTTTGTTGTTGTACAGGGCTTTCACTGGAAAAACAGAAAGATTGCGCTCATCCGAAAAGCGTAAAGAAAAAGAAAAAATTTTTTGTTGAAATTTCTCCGGCTAATTCTTCCTGAAGTTGGAAAAAGGAACCATCGATATGTATGTTCATCGGCATAAAATGGAAGATTATATCAACTGCTTACTTCAGGAACCTAGAATAAATCAATTTAGGTAAAGAAATATTAAATATAAAAGGAACGATTTTATTTACAATTTTTAAAATTAGTTCTTGTAACTTATATTTATTCTTGTATTCAATAGTAAGTTTTTCTATTAATATAGAACAATAACAATCTAATAACACTCATCCAGTTGCAAGATTTGTGTTACACCTCTCTTAATTCAATTTTGAATCACACTCACTCAAACAATTATGTCTACTATCTTTAAGTCTCTATTCAACAAAAAAGTCTCCTTCAATTTAATATACCTTACAACTGGTTTCACTTTACCATTCATCATTTCTGCATACACATCTCAAAGGATTGAATACAATAGAATCCACCATAATGGAAATGTAATTTTAAAGGCTTCTCATAGACCAAGAAACTTTATATAGTGACATCACACTGCCATTCCACTTTCCTTTTTGCATTATTTGACATTTACTTTAATTTCAAAATCCAAATATAGAATTACAAAGTCATCAGATTACTGGTTTAATTACATTGACCTTTTTTTTTGGATATTACCTTTTTTCTTACCTACTTATCTATTTATTTATTAAAATTTCTGGTCTTGACACGTTGTGTCCATTTAAGTTATAGACCATCCAATCGCATATGATTACTACCATTAAGGTGAAATCATACTTTTTAAATGCCTGAATAATATTTGCCGGTACAATACTATTTATTTCATGGTACATCACCATAAAAACTTATTTATTAATATTTTATTTCAATATGATAATAAAATTATTTATTTTCTATACATACAATACTAATAAAAGAATAGATTTCTTTATTTTTAATCAAAATTAAAATTTGGTCTGATAGTTATTATTTTACTATTATTTGATAATCGATGTATATTTCAATCTTAACTTGTCTCGGATTGTTGTGATCCGCCTGCGTATGCATAAAGCACAATTTAGAAAAAAATCAAAGAGGAATAACATCAGCATTAACAAGGGTGATTGGGTAAGGCTAAAAATAAACTAATTGCGGAAGTTATTATAAACAAGAAGTTCGTATACATATATATATATATATATATATCAGGTCTTAGCTTTTAATATTACAAATCTCAATAAAAAAACAGAAAAAGGAAAAAAACAACAGCTGAAAGAATTCAATTAAAATTATGACAGAAGGGTTTCAAAATATTTCAACTACAGATATCACTTGGAAAGATGTTCAAGAATACATAAATAGTGGTGAATTATATAAATTAAGAAGATCTAAAGATGAAACGATTAAATATAGAGCACATAAAGAATTGTTGAAGAAAGAAAACATTTCAATAATTGATCATATTTTACACAAACTAAATTGGAATTTAGATAATTTAGAAGATCTTAATGCTACAAAATTTCCAAATGATAATGATAAATTAAAAGCTTGCTTCTCAGATAAGGATTATTTCAAATTATTGCCAAATGATTTCCCTTATATGTTTGAACCAAATATTATTCATTTATTAGTATGGTCTAAGATTCGTTTACCAATTTATTTAGATGATCATACAGAAGTTAGTATGGAAAAACATAATGACGTTCTTCCAACAATGAACCCTGAGATGAAGGATAAAATTAATAAATTTTTAATGAAAACTTTACAGAAGAAATTAGGATTGGAACCAATAAAAGATTATGTTTGGTTTATAAATTATACTAGTTTACAAAGTATTAGAGCCATTTCTCATATTCATTTATTGATTAGATGTGACGATGTTCCTATAGAACATTCTGAAGACACTAAAAAAGCAATTGAAAAAGTTATGGATAATTTCTTAAACAACGATATTTTTGAAACAATATAAATAGTAGATCATTAGTGCCACTGAAACACACACACATATATATATATATATATATATATATATGTTTAACTTATGTAATAGTATAAATTCAAAAGTACAAATGATTATTTATTCTCATCATTTTGTTTCCTTCGACAGTTTTTCTGTGTTTTTTCTTTTTCTGGGGAGCGACGAACTTTCTAGCGGCTGTAGGGACTAATTGAAAAATTCAATTGCGATGAGCTTTCAAAAAATTTTCTTGAATATAAAGAAGGGATAGAAACCAAAATAGAATGAAATATTTTACTTGAAGCGTGCAAAAGGTAACATTTCATCTGATGTGTCACAGGAATCTATCGGTCGAGCCATTATTTAGTACTATTTAATATTCACACTTACATATTTGAAAAATGCAGTTAAGAAAAAGAAAGAGGGTGGATTATTCATCGACAATAGAAGCATCTCATGGAAAAATCAAGAATAGTAATGCTACTGACAACCTACAAACTACAACACATAGTCGAACTAAACAGAGGAAAAGTATTGTTCTACCAAAGATAATATCATCATCTTCTAAGCAGAAGAATTATCAGGTAGGTGCCTCTAAGAAGAAACAAAGTCCTTCCAAGCGATTAAGTGAAGAGAAGATATTGAATGAAAAAATGAAAGGTGTAACGTTGACTAGACCATTTTATAAATCTCAAGTTAATTATCATGATGAAAAGGATGCCATTATCACCATCTCGGAACTAAATCAATTTTCACGAACGTTAGATAAATTAATACCTGTTCAAAGAGATTTATATTATCTTGATTTAAAAGGTCCGAAATATTTAGGTCCAAAGAATTTTGAAACATTAAAACTACCCAGTGATATTAATAACTTGCAAAACATATCTAATGAGTTGAAACAATTTATTAACTATAGAGAAGAAGCTAAAGTTAGAGAAGAAGATTTAAAAAATGATCCAAGTAAAATAAATGAGGCATCTTACAATCCTATTATTACAAAAGAAAAAATGGAGGGAATCAAAGTTTTATCAAAATTTGAGGATATCCCAGGATTCGAAATTATTGATAGACTTGCTCAAATTCACAATATTAATATACGAGATATTCATGGCCTACGACAAGCTAATATTAAGCCAATGCTAGATTCAAATTTTATAAACAAGAATGAAGTAAACTCCATCAGCAGAAGACTGGATAAAAAACTACAAAAAGAGAGAAATAACAATTTGGCTTGGCCAACAAAAATTAAAAAGAAGAAAACACAAACCAAGAAAAACAAAGCAAAGGACGAAAATTCAAGTTCTAAACTTAGATTTTCAAATATTCAATTATTTAATTCCGTTTGAACGAGATTATTTTGCATTGTTACTATTTCAACTACATTATTAGTCATTACATATCTCTACTCAGAGAATCTTTTTTTTTTCGCATTTCGAATATAATATATATAATCTTATATAGAATCATTGATTGATCGAACATTTTACAACAAATCACATTATCAAAACAATTGAGTATCTCAATATTAACTTTAAAGTCGTTATGCTCATTAACTTTCCTGTCAACTAAGTTCTTCGAATTACAAACATTAAATATGTATGCACAAACAGGCATAATTGATGTGTAGAAGCAAAACACTGAGAAGTGACCACGGCAAAAAAAGAGTAACCTAAATTATCGCTAGGCAAAAAAAATAGAAAAATATTGTTACTTAGGCAATACGAAGAGACACCTAACAATCTCATCGCTTGGTGTCAAAATCAAATGTAATATAGACAATTTAGATTTATAAGACAGTAGTATAAACCGCCATCTGATCGGAACAGTCTTTGTTAAGGGTGTACTTACTGTGGGGATAGCACTCTACAAATCCACGATTATATCTCAATAACATATCATTAGAAAAGATGAATAAAGAAACACTAAAGGATCTATTGACGACATCTAGAAAATGGACAGAATCAGATGAGCATATACTACAGAAGCCATATTTACATATTGCAAAACAGGAAGGTAAAAAGTTTCGTTCCAAATTGATTGAAACCTTCGCTATATTTTATAATATGCCAAAACAAGATATCCATTATTTGCAGAAAATCATAGAAATATTGCATACTGCTTCGTTAATGATAGATGATATAGAAGATAATTCCCTAATGAGACGTGGTGTGAAGACCTCTCATTTAGTGTATGGTATTCCGATGACGCTAAATAGTGCAAACTATATGTATTTTGTAGCAATGTCATATGTGAAAGAGTTAGGTAATGCACTTCCTTCAACACAGCTAAATGATGAAACAGACAAAACACAGATTGGACTAATGGAAATTTTTCAAGAAGAATTGATCAACCTTCATCGTGGGCAAGGTTTGGAATTATATTGGCGTGACACGAATACCATCCCAACTATAGATATGTACTTTGATATGGTAGCAAACAAGACAGGTGGCCTATTCAGGCTTGCGATAAGAATGATGGAGTTTTTAGCAAACTATTACGAAGATAAAAAAGATAACAAAGATCAAAAATTTAATTTGATCTCCAATTCTTTGGTACCACTATGTAACATGCTTGGTGTCATTTATCAAATCAGAGACGATTATCTTAACTTGGTAGATGATACCATGCAACAAAAGAAGGGTTTTGCTGAAGATATTACTGAGGGTAAACTTTCCTTTCCTATAATACATGCATTGGCTCAGGAAGCAAACCTTATTTCGATTGACAGTACACATAAACCATTTCTTAAAAATACAATTTTCTCTAGAACAGATAATATAGATGAAAAGAAAACATTTATTAAAATATTACAAGATGAAACCAATTCTTTAAGTTATACTAGTGACACGTTAAAAAATATAATATCACTTCTTAATGAGGGAAATTATTATCCAATACCCATACTTGAAGATTGCACACTCGACAGAACTAAAATCGACATTCTGAAAGCAATGGTAGAAAAGTTAGCTGCTATTTAGATGATTTTCGATGTTGCTATAAGTAATAAGTAATGCATTATATTTATATATGTAGGACCACAATTGTGGATTTATACAAATACATATGTTGAATATTCACCGATTTGACTTGGTTAGTGAGAGAGAAGTTTCCTCTATTTCCATATTAAAAATTTTTTATTCTATCATCTTTTGGTATACCTCAAATACTTCCTTCAATTGCGTAATTGTTAAATCTTCAAACTTCAAACTTCTGTATTTCTTCCAATCCTCAGGAATGGATCGCTGAACACTTCTACCTGGTGTTAAAGTGCCCGCATGTGTATTATCTTCTTCTCCACTGCTACCATTATTAGGAGATGCCAGTGATCTAAGAGGGGAACCCCCATCGTAATCCATTGACAATTGCGAGGTACTTCTAGGCAGTGGCAATGGTTTTAAGTTATTAACAGTTGGTGGGGTGTATAATCTTATCTTACTTATAATATTTCTTAGTGAACCATCAAATGTGTTTCTGAATCCTTCATTTGAATTGGTTCTTGAACCGATACTATCATTACCATTCTGGCGATTTATAGGTGTTGGAGAATCAATTACTGCAGTTGGAAGATTATTTTTTCCGTTGCTACCTGGTAACGTTATAACGTCACTAACTTTTGATTCCAATATTTTCTTTTCATGAGTTGTAAGTTCATCTTGTAATTCATCTGAAAAGTCTGCTAAAGTTAACCCTTCTATAAAGAGAAGAGCCGCCTCCAAATTAGTCAATGCATAAAGTTCTTTTTGAATTAATTTCTTCTTATATCTGAATAATTTGATAAATTCAGCATTTAAAAACAATTTCCTTGGTCTAAACTTAATAATATAATATATTAACATGGATAAAAATTCGTCATTTGACATTCCTTTGTAATATGTCATCGAATCATGAATATTAAGTAAAATTTGAACTTTTTCATATGGTGAGGTTGAATAATACGTGAATTTTGTTAAGGACTCCCGAACATCTTTATTTTTAGATTCATTTGAGAAATCAACCGAATCAGGAACACCTAAAAAATCATCTAAATTAATCTTACCATCAAGAGATAATTTTGACAAGCATCTTAATTTTTCAGTTAATAATTTATCAAAATCTCCAAATTCTGGTGTGTTTCTAAATAGGCTTGACACATTAAATATTTCTTGGTTCGAATGATTTAATTTTTCTTGAGTTTTTTCTACACTTGGTGACGATGACAAAGTATCGATCGAAGATGATGATGGGTTTTGTTTTATTGGAGATGATACGGATATTCCAACTTCTAATAATTTATTGAAAATATAAGATTCACATAATATCATATACTTTTCAATCTTTAAATTATTCAGTTCATTTGTCTTTAAATGTATCTTAATTTCTTCTGGAGATAACATTTGTGTAATATTTCCTGTTGAATTTGATTCCAAACTGAATAGCGATGATGATCTTCGGGGGGCTCTTGTAATAGATGTACCACTTGCTGTGCTACTACTTCTACTTCGTGCAAATATTCCACTAAGACCTGTACTTAGAGACTCTCTTGCTGTGAAAAATGAAGTTGCAGATGGTGTTATCGTCATCTGATTCGTTGTACCATTATTAGAAAGATATTGAAAGCAAAATTTATCAAATTTTGTATAAAACCCTTGAAATAAATAAGATAATTGAATTATAGTTAAAGGTCTAAGATATTTTGGCTGTTTTAAATCTATAATAAATACATCTATTAGATGCGATAATTCGACAGGTAACTCTGTAATACCATTCATAGATTCTTCAATTTCTTCAGAGGTAAGATTTCCTGTTGGTTCATTTGTTTCTACTATATCTTTTTCTTCTTCTTCCTGACTAGGTTTCTCACCTAACGTCTCTAAGCCTGATTGCCTCGGTTTATAAGATTCCTTTATTGATAAAGAATTATCAAATTTTGAATTACTTACAGGAGTTGTATAAAACTGCCTCATACTTGTGTGTGTTTTGTTCTTGTATTATGAGTTTAGCTCACTTCAGCCGACAGATAAATAAAAGGAATGTGTTGAAATTTTTGTATACGTATTTATAATTAAAACACTGATGATTAATTCAATCCACAGGATATTGAATATTTTTTATTTTAATTAATATAAATGGGGGATCAATAGATCAGATCAAAATATCAATATAAAAATAGAAAACTAAAAACTCGAAGAATAGTGGCTGAGGAATCAAAGGGGAAATATTCACAGTAGTTAAAAAAAATGATATACGAATAGCTGAAGTAATATCAAAAATTGGGTAAAGAACTAAACCATATAAAACTATAAATGAATCTTGATTACTTTTTGTGTAAGTTATATATATTTATATATCAACCCGCAAGATGATTTATTATCTATTTTACGAGAAATAAAGGAAAGGGTGGGTATATTGTGAATACGGTAAATTATATAATTCTCGTTTACGCGGAAAGGGAGTAACTCGGTATAATATTACCTAAACAGTAGATATAGATAGTGATGTCTATATATATATATATATAGACGAAGTGATAAAGGCATGTTTTAAATACAATCACTTTAAAATAAGAATCGGTAAGCTTGCTTGGGTTTGAAAAGAATATATAAACTCAATGGCTACTAGATATACATTGTTCAATGGAAGTTTCTATGTCAATTAGCGATTGACAGACTCTATTCGTAATCACAACATGTTACATAATCGCAAAAATATTCCATTGCTTCTTTCTTCGATTGTTCTCCTTTGTATGATTACTGAATATTGGGCTATTTATAGTATAAAATAATTACAAGACGTTAAGGATATATGTCAGTCTTCGGTATATCTCTCCCTCTGCTACATATCAGACTGCTTGCTGCCCGCGTAATTTGTCTTATCTGTAAAAAATGTATGCAAAAAGAATTACGTACTTTATTCACGGAGTGAAAAATTTACAATTTTACAAAGAGATGATGAGATTATTGTGAAAGGAAGAGAAGCCATTATTTCAATTATTGTCAGTGAGAGAAACATATTAATAGGTTTTGCAACAGTACTGCATTCAGGGATCAAGTTGAATCTTAGATACACTGCATAGTCGTGCGTGTGTGTGTGGTTTTAATTTACCTGGTAAATAAAAAAGACTTTGCGCTTTTAAGCATTTTTAATTCCAAAGGAGTGTAATTTGTGTTTTTAAATATTTTAGTTAATTGGTTTGAGTGACCTAGACTCATTTTTAGGTTAAATACTGTTATAACGACCAAATATATCCAAGGAGAAGAAAACATTTATTAGCAGATATACAGGTGACTCAAAGAAAGCTTTTAGATTTTTTTTTATACCTATCTTCCTTTATTGCTTCATAGATATATAATATATTTCTTGGCATATCTGTGCTTATAGAGGTATAATGAATTACTCATAATTCTTTAGTATAGTCAACATAAGAAAAAAGAAAGTTATATTGTTTGCTTATGGGTTATTTCAAATTAAAGAGACAACATGCACCTGATCCTATAGGTGTTGAAAATTATAAGAGAAGGCGATTATTACAAGATTTTGCTAGTTTAAGTATATCATCTTCCGAGAACTCGTCAAAGTCAAATAAGATAATCACGCCAAATGTTACTAAAATATTCTCTGGAGATATATTAGTACCAGATACTGTAAAGAATAAATTATTAAAATTCTCACGAAGTAAAAAATCAACAAAATCAAGCGCTGAAGCAATATATGATCGAATATTACAATGGATCAAAGAAGATGCGTCACAAGTTATTAAATGGAAAGATTGGAATCATGAAATATTTGTTATGTGGTATACTTGGTATCGTAATCTATGGTATAGTAACAATAACAATAACTATATGGATATGGATATGGATGTTGATTCTCAACAACAAATGATAACAACAAATAATTTCCAAGTGATGAATAATGAAATAGATGAGAGTATGGATATAGATATGGATTCATAATATGATAGAGTATTTATTAATGTTTTTTTTTTTAAAGAAATTTTGTTTTGTTTTTGCTCAGTAATAACTGGAGTATATTTATTGCTATTTACAGAATACATAGTAATTTGAAATCCTCTTTTCTTATTTTTCATTTTATTTTTTCATAGTAGAGCATATATACATACTTTGTTTCGCTCAAAACACTGTTGAAATTAACTTCTTGAATGGATGCATCTGATATTTTCCAAAAACACTTGGTATTGACAGATTTTATTTTCTTGTACCTCTTTCTAGGTCTGCTAGTGTTTTGAGATGGAATAGAAGAAGTAACGGACTCTTCTACGACTGAATTCTCAGTCGATGGAATTCTAACTGTAGGTGAAAAATTCACTGTTTTCTCCAAAATCACATCCTTCATAAGATCAGGTTTGTGTCTAAAACATTGATAATGGCCTTGATAATGAGTCCCCGTATGTTTGACCACAGACCTCAATTTATAATTAACATTCTTTATAGAAATACATTTATTATCACTGACATATTGTTCAGGGATTATAAAATCTTCTTCAAATGATACTCGACAACCATTTCTTGTTGTGCTTACTCCATTGAACATTGATCTGGATATATGGATCACTAAAATATCGGGGGATTCTACCACTACGGATTTTTTGAGAACATCTGATCCATTAGAATAAGGTATACAACCACCCTTGTTATACATCTTTATATAATTCCATACTTCTTCAGGTATATCACTGTTAATAAATAGAGAATTGTGATGTCTGTTTATGTATTTAATACTGTCCGATTGTTCATCCTTTTGCTTTGGATCAAGATGAGTTTCGTTCCTAATAATCATATTCATCATGCATGTTAAACATTTATAATCACTAACAACATCTGTTTGATCCTGGGAGAACAAATCATTCAATGTTGTAGAATATTTTTGTGGAGCTATGGCTTCATATAACAAAAACTCTTGTAATTTTAATTCCGATGTTTGATGGCATCTCAAACACACTAACTGAGTTCCAACTTGTCCATGAAGTGGGAATACAGTACTTAGATTGTGGGAACTAATTGAATTATATTCTTCTTTTAGACAATCAAGTATTGCTTGAGTAAATTCTTGGGCATCATGTTGCCCCCTCGAGATGCTCATTTTAAATATATATTCTAAGGTTTGCTTGATAGGTTGGGTCGAGAATGATTGATTGTTCGACGTTAGTGTCTGTAACTTTGAGATTAATTCAGCTAAAGTAAAATGCATAGGGTATCTGGTTTTAACAGAATTCAAATCTTTGGAAACATCAATTACGTCTCTCAAAAACATGTTTAGGTAATTGGTGAATGTATCAAGCGAAACAAGTGCTTGAATTGAAGAATTTGCATAACAATCATTGGCATTATTTAGCAAGCCGGAGGTCACTCTATCCAATCTTCCATTTGATATGTGACGTTGTTCATTTTTTATAGTCTTCCAAAATAGATCATTAATACTTGGCAACAGTATATAAAATGTCAACGAAAACCCTAGTCCGAAATATAACTTTCTCAGGTTATTGTCAGAAAAGCCAAACAAAGTGGTTACAATGTTGAAACTCATACTATCATTTTAAAATCCAACGAAAACTGTTTTTCATTTACATATATATGTATTTGTTAAGTTACACATTTTATAATCCGTATTGGGTTACAAATGTTTTTTTTAATCATCAATGTGCAGTATACGATTTTCAACCTTTCTTCTAAGCTTGAAAAACGCCGAAGTCCTTCTGAGAGTAAAAATAGCAAGAAAAAATCAAAAAAATAAGAACTAGTAGTTTCCTTTATGAAGTAGAATATATGTATTCCTTATAATGCATTTTTCTATTATTTACTAATTTTATATATTGATACAACTGTAGTTCCTAACTACCCATACTACCATACTCAGCAGCCCAATCATCAAACCTTTTTAAAGATTCCGGTGACACACTTTTCTTGATGGTTGCCATAGCTTTGGTAAAATCGTTTTTTCCTATCTTTCTAATATTTTCGAAATTAGCATCTATTAATTGATCACCAAGTTCCCTAATAGGCTCCATTGCTGCTTCTTTGGCAAGTGCAGTCAAATCAGATCCAGAGTATCCTTCTGTTAACTCGGTGATTTCTTTAAAGTTGCTTTCAGTTAAGACGTTAGGTTGATGTCGTAATAATCTCTTTAGATGATATAGCCGTGTCTCAAAATCGGGTAGAGGGATATATAATCTTCTTGAGAATCTTCTTCTTGCTGCATCATCTATTACCCACGGTAAATTTGTTGCGCCTAATACCAATACCCTTTGATCAGATGTGTCTACATTATTTATAGCAGCTTTTGAAAGATTCGACCACTGAATTAGTACCTCAGTTTTAATTCTTCTTGATGATTCATTCTCATTATCGCTTCTATTACCCATTATGGAGTCGATTTCATCAATGAAAATGATGGAAGGTGCCATTTTCCTAGCCAAATAAAATAAAGCCTTAACCAATTTCTCAGATTCACCAAGATATTTAGATAAAAGGGAAGAAGCACTAATACTAAAGAAAGTAGAATTGGATTCAGTAGCTACAGCCTTAGCTATCATTGTTTTACCTGTACCTGGTGGCCCGAATAATAACATCCCTCTAATGGGTTCGCGTAAACCTTTGAATAAATCAGGTCTCAGAAATGGGTATACAACGGTCTCTTTTAACGAAGCTTTAACTGAGTTTAAACCAGCTACATCATCCCAATTGATTATATCATCCTGCACTAATATATTGCACCTTATCTGTTCCAACATCACAGGATCGATTCCGTCAATTGTATCTGATGCTTGTTGGGATGTATCCGGTGTCATATCACTGGGAAATTTTTCCTTTTTTTCAGGTGGAGTCGTTTTCTTGAGTGCTTTATTACCTGATTCATTACCAAGTACCCGTTCTTTACTTTTTTGTCTTTTTAGCTTGACTTTTGAATTGGACGACTGGCCGCTATCATCTCTCGTTCCGGAGTTTGTAATTTGTCCAATGCTTCGTTGTCTGTTTGGCTGAACATGAGGTCTATTTCTATGATTCTTATTTTGGTCTCTTCTAGTGGAGACATATGATGGTACAGATTCCTGCTTTGGAATGTCATTTGAAAAAGAAGACCATGCTGCCAAAGCCGCTTTGCTAATATTTTCTTCAGATGATTGCCTCTTAGTAGATAACATGTCCGAACTAGTACGATTATGACTGGGTATGTCTAGGGATCTCCTCATTGACCTTTTCGACCTATTCAAGTTGTGCATTGTATCCTTTTTATATGTAAGTCTGTGTCTTGTCATGTCAAAACTACGACGCCCGCCACCCTCTCGGCTCTGTTTGTCCAGCGAGGGTTGATTAGAATAGTCACCTCTATTAGCATTCGAATCTTTATCTTCCTTAGGTTTCCCGTCGACCGGTTTTTTAGTTTTGATTTCCTTAACTCTCTTCTGCTTTTCTTTTTCCATTCTTTTGGCAACTTGATTTTTGACTTCGTTTTCGATTTGTAAGTCTAACAGCTTCTTCTGTTGTTCCTCAACTTCTCTCAATCTTTTTTCTTCTATTAATCTTTTCTCTTCCTCGCCACGTTCTCTTTCTTCCAGCTGTAATTTCCTTTGATCCTTAATTAGTTTTACCCTCTGCATTATTTCATTATCATTAGATTCTTGTTTTCTTAGAAACTTTTCTTTTTTCTTTGAATTTTTCACCCAAAACGTCGGTACATTGAAGCTTTTGTTCCTAAGTAAAGAGGATGTGATTACGGTATTACTATCATCGATATTTCCAGAAAGGGCTTCGTCTAATAATTTATCTCGTTTATCACTTTTAGAGTCTGTGATTGTAGCCAGCACATTTTTACGAAGAACTCTGATTTCATGTCCTAGTATTTGAAAGTCTTCGATCTTATTTTGAAATGTTTCATTCTGAGTTATCAAACTTTTCCAACTGGTTATATTGAAATTTGCCTCTATGGTTTTGAGTCCGTCATTAACATATTTGAGTAAGTAACAGAGTTCCTTATAAAATGGTGGTAACTTTTCGATCTCTTTTGTTTCAGATTTGATGCTGTTTATCTTCTCTGTTATATTCGCAACTTGACTATGTACAATTGAAAATAGTAAGTCAAGAGATTGACTAAGAGATAGATTTCCTGGAACGATAAATTTCTCATCCGACATAATATGGACTGTTCGGTATATTTAAAAGCTAAAGAAGTAAATGACACATGTCAGTCTCTAAATTATCTTTTATATATAGATTGGGATATAGTACTAGAAATGTATTTTTGTTATTCCTTTAATCTATATTTCTGTTTTTGACCTTAATCAAGGAGGGAGGATCTTGACCAGAATTTAATTCCTTATTATTTTTTATAGACATTAATGTTCGCTTTTTTACCCTCAGCGTTTAAGTAGCCATGTTTTCCGCAAGGGTGACGTATTGTTCCGAACAGTGTTCGGATGCAATAACACTGATAAAATAGTTATCCATATTAATTAAGGTTTACACCAGGTACCGATTAATACAGCCTCGTAAGACTATACAGGTATTTAAAGTATAAATAAATCATTAAATCATCATTTTATGTATAAAAAATATAGATGTGTCATAAACCAATCAATCATGGAGCAACAGATTCAGGGTGAGTACTGGAAATATTATCACTATGACCCTTCCCAGCTTCAGTTAAAGTTGTTTGAGATTGTTGTGTACCAGTTGTTGCCTTAATTTTGTCAACTTCTTTATTTATGATTGTATTTCCTGTTGGTTCCTCACTATTTGCGCCATCTTGCTCCTTAGAGATACTCGACTGTTGAGGAGTGTCAGCTACAGTCTCAGATGGATTTCCATGTATCGGATTTCTATTAGTTTGGGTGATCAGATCAACCATTTTGGATTTGTTTCTTAACAATTCAAGTTCTTTCTCATTAGGTAAAATGGTACTATTGTCATTAGTATTGTTAGGTATAGTACCACTTGAACTGTTTGGGCTGATTTTTGAAGGCATGATTGGATTTTTCTCACTTGTATTTTCAGCCAGAAGATTTTTTACCTTTTCACTTTTGGCACTTGATGTATTTGAATTCAGATTACTATCAATGTTGTTTAGTGCAGCTGGTAAATGGGAACGTCTGCAAGATTTTGTTTTTTCTTCCTCTGTCATTATTCTGACATTCCAGTTTTTGAAATCTTGGAATATGCATATTTCTTGCCCTCTCTTGGTCATGTATCTGAAGTATAATGATAACGAGTTTAGAGTCAACACATTGTTTATACGGAACTTTTCTAAGTCACTTACGAGTATTTTTCGTATATCTTCCCGTGGTTGGTCTGGATTCTTAAATCTTCCCAATCTGATACCTCTGTCTACCTCCATTTCAATGTAGTCAATTATAATTCTCCTGGTAGGAAAAAAATGTGAATCTTCACTTACCTTCCAACGTCTCCATCCATATTCTTCAATCAATTTTTTGATGGACTGTTTCCCATTTAATCCAATATACCATTCAGCATACAGGTCCCATATGGTTTTGTTATCTCTTGAAAGTTTGTATTTAATACTCTCATTTGGGCCACCCGTTTTAGCAATTTCTGTATCCTTTTTATCTTTAATAGCATTAATTTTTGGACCCTGTGGTTTAAGTGTAGGTTGACTTATTGTAGCAGATTGTCTTTCTCTTATTAGAGAATTTGGGGGACTACCGATGGTCAACTGAGCACTTTTCCTAAATGTATTAGTAATAGTAGGTAACCTTGTTGGTAATTCGTCTGTTTTCTTACCTGCAGTAGTTTCAATTATTTGAGCTGTTTCTATTGGTGATGGTCCATTTATCTTAGTTACCATAGACTTATTCCCCAATGGTTGAATCTTTGCCGCTGATCTATCAGCAGTCAGAGATTTTCCTTCGATCGGGCCTGGTCGTTTCTTACTTATTTCAATCGCATTCTCATTTTGCAAATATGAACGATCTAACTTGTTTGACATTATTTGATCCATGGGTTCAGGTATTGGAGACAGCATAGTTAAATTGTCTCTTTCAATAGGTGTAGCAATTTTTGATGTCAACAGGTTAACTGAAGTTCCAGGATTAGGGAGAATGTTATCAGATTGTTGTTGGGCATCACTTTCGTTGCTAACTGAAAAGTTAGATGCGTTTATTTGTGTAGATCCATTTCTACTACCACTGGTATTAAACATATTTTCGGGGAGTTTTGGACTGGGTATCGCTTTATATAACAGGGAATCCAAAGCAGCTTGAGAGGCTGTTGGTCTCTCATCCAACCTAAAACGTTTGTTAACGTTACTAGTGTTACCATTGTTATTGTTGTTATTATTATTATTATTTGTGTTATACGGAGAATCAGGATCCGTGTATGGTCTTGTTGACCCTCCTGGAGAAAGCCCAAAAGGGCTTGACACCGTCGGTTGTAGGGCAGATAGTGGTACGGGTAATTTCCTTTTATTGTTTGTGTTTGAAATATCTTGTTGCACAATACTCTGTGTATTAGAAATAGAAGGTAGCTGCTGGTTAGACGGTGTAGGTTGGTTTGAGAAGGATGCACCGCTGTTGGTACTATTTATATATCCGATTGGAGCCAAAGCTGAGGTACCATTATCCATCTGTGGGTTATTGGCAGGCGATTGTTCAGCGTGATTGTGATCAAATGATTGAACAAGATTGTTAAGAATATTTGAATTAATGGAATTTCTATCTAGTATAATAATACCCCCCGTACTATTACCACTATTCCCACCTCCTTGTAAATTATTTGCCGTGTTCATAATGGTATTATTTGGTAGTTGAGAACTTGTATTATTGTTGGTTGCACCTGACAGGAGTTGCTTCTGGACTTGTAAAATTTGATTGCACATTGAGTTTAATGATCCTAGGTCATATTTCAGCTGTGTTATCTGTTGGCTCAATCTAATATTTTCAGTAGTTAATTTTTTGGATAGTTCGGTTAGATGAGAGTCAACCAGATTTGCTACTTGTTCCTTTGTTACGCCATTACCTGAGTTTGCATCTCCAATGCCTATCATAGAAAGGTCGCTATTAATCAAGCTATTATTGTATGCATTATTTTGTAATAAATTATTTTCATTTTGTTGACTTATATCTCCTCTTTGAAATTCATCTTGATTAAATAGGTCAGGAATAAATTTTGAAATGAATGAGACGATATTAGGAAGTAATAATGGACTCTGAGTCAAATGTTTCAAATCTTGGATCAGAACTTTACCCATAAATTCAAATAATTCACACAACGAATGAAGCTTATAATTAGTACGATCGACGGTTAACATATCATGTCTAAATGCTGGCAGCCATGGAAAAACGATGTTGATTAATTTCTTGGATGGTTCAAAATTTTGTGCTCTTGCTAATTTTCCTGTACGATTATTTACATTAGTTTGGTTTTGTACATGTATCTCTGATGATGCGTCTAAGCTGATCAAAGACGATTCCAGTAATGGTATCTCGTTAAAGTTGTTTATTGCTATAGGTTGTGTAGGATGGCTCCATCTAATAACAAAATACACAGACAATGCAAAAATCGGGCAACGTGATATATCTGCATCTCTTGGAACGGTGTTAAAATATTCATAAGATTGGAATGACGAACTATCATTTAGCTTTCTTAATGTCAATGAGTCTGTATATGTTTGATCCACTATAAGGTCTACTAATTTTAATGCCGGTAAATCATTTATATTCACTTTAAAATAGGCTTGGAGGATGTATTGGGTTATTGCATAAAAATTGGAGCTTGTATTGCCACCGTCGTTATTATTATTATTAATTTGATTTTCCTGTGGTTGATCTTCATGCTTTAATATGAGCGTTTGAAGTTGGTTAGTATTATTATTCCCGTTTAAACTTCTAGTTGGATTTTCATTATTAGTTGCTGTAAAGTTTAGGTTCCTATCTAATACTGTTGAGGTATCATTTTGATTCGAAGTCACTTTTTGAGATAAGACATTATTGTTATTATTATTGTTATCGTGGGAAATACTCGGTATTACATTAAAATTAAAGGAGTTAGGAGGAAGTTGTGATACTCTTGGAGAGTTATATGGTACAGAACTCGATCTCTTACTGTCATTCGTTATTGAATTATCATAGTTTTTTGAAAAAGAATGTGTTGATGAGGGGCCAAAAAAATTCATAGTACAGTCTTGATATTTGTGTCCCTTATTGGATGGTAGTTAGAAGTTATCAGCACCAATATTAGGTTCCTAGTGTTTGGTGTATTTTGTATCCTGTAAACTAAAGGTAGTTTCGTTTTCCTGTACAATAATTAGGATTTCGAATTTAGTTAAGGTATGGGTTGATGATAGTTTGGTAACGGTATATTTTTATGTTGATTACCTATTCGAAAATGAATATATATTTTAAGAACTTTGTTGTTTTGCTGACTAAAAAAAATATATTAGTTGATCCTAATCCATAATCAGTGGTATATTTGATGAACTTCTTGTTTAAACTTTGTAAGATAATATCTTAACGTTATACTATTGATATTAAATAAACTCTCTTGGTACTATATTGGTTTCAAAAAAAAAAATAAGGTACTTCAAACTCGGAAACGTTCTTATTGTTGTCTAATCTCGATAATATAAAATATAGAATATTCAAATTTCCCAAAGAATCTTAAAGTAAAAAGTAATATTTTATTTTCCCCTAAAAATAATGTTTTTGAATAGAAGCAATAGTTTGTTTATTTTTTAATGCATGTAATATATTATACTTTTACAAATTTAATTCAAATTTATGCCGCTGAATAAAAGAACTGTTAAGAAAATATTGAACAGTTTGAAATAAATATGCTCTTACGCAACAACAAATTATGAAAACTAATGTAAAGGAATTTCCTCTAACTAAATAATTCAGTGTGTTATAAAATAGACAGAGAGAGCTGAAAAATAGACGTTTATCCTCTTGATAATCTTGGCATCGAGTCAACTAGATTTTAAAGTCATTTCAAATATCAATAGAAATATTCCCACAGCTAATAAGAAAAAAGAAAAAGAAAAAAAATGCAATCATACCATACCATCTGGAAACATCGTTTTATTATGAGTATTCACTGAACGTACTTGTTAGGTTCGATGGTATATTATCTGATAATGCAGGAGAAGCTGGTGTGACAAATTTGTTGTCTTGTTCAATCAATTCTATTGATTGTTTTTGACCTTTGCTCTTTCACAAGTATTTCGCCCTGACAGAATTTGATAATAACCCTATTTTAGGTAGTTAACTTTTTTGTTGATATTCCTTCGTTAAGTTAACGTTCTTCGGAGTGATAGATGAAGCCAATAACAATTGTTTCGCTTCCTTTGTGATCCGTCTATTTGGAAACGATATTCCTTTACGTTATTACTCTTTAGGATGCTCTGAGGCAATCAATGGTAATAATAACTATATTTGATACGCTAACTTTGGATTCCCATATGGTAGTAATTAAGAAGTAATAGTAATAATGAAGACGGATTAACTACAAGAACAAGAAGTTCAATTTTGGGTTTCTGGTTGGTTTGTTTTTCGAAAAGGTTGCCCAACTTCCTGTCCTCCCGTATTAATTTTGTTAAAAAAAAAGAAAAACAATTCAAGTGTCATTTTCCGTGGAGTGAGTTAGCTTCGTATCTTATGAGCTTCTTCTAAATTTTTCTGTTTGCGGGTTGTCTTTTTTTGTGGTTTTTCCGTGTGTGTGCATGCTTCTGTTAAAATTTGCACGGCATATCCTTTCTCAAGAAAATAATACACTCGGTTTGTCAGAAAACCCCACATTATGTAAGGTTATTTTAAATTCATGATGGGGTGAAGAAATTTAATTGAGGAAATAAAGGAAGCCCGGATGATTGGGTGGTCAAATATCTGAATCAGATCAAATGAATAAATATTTGTATTTTCTTGAAGTTGGTAAAAGGTTGAGTATTCTTGATACAATCTATTTAAAATTGTGTCACAAATTTATTCTTGACCTAAATTAGGGTTGTCTAACGTTTAAGGTAATAATTGGTGTCACTTTGAAGCCACTAGCAGTGTCACCTGCCAGGAAACGGCAGGGTGTCTGTGTATAAATATAGCAGGTTGGTAAGATTAAGGGTAATCTCTTATCTAGAGTATATACCACTTAAGAATAATGACATACTATATGACTTGATCGTTTTGATTAGTTTTAAGAATTACGTTTTTAATTTTAAGCTAACGAAGTTCCTCAGAGAATAGATGTTGCGAACGTATCGTAGTCAAGTGTATTGTACGCTAATAGAAACAAAAAAATATATATAATTTAGTGCCTAAGTTATTTTAGACCAGGTAATTCCCATTTTTAAAGAGGCATTGTGTAGTGATATTCTTAAAACTACTATATATATTAAATGCAAAAAAAAAATCAGGCCATGGGTTCAAACTGATAAAAAACTCATTAAGTTTGAAACCAACTTTGGAGATTTATGTACTTATTGACGGATCAATACTTACATATTAACGTAAATTGTAACTGGGAGTGAGACAAAAGAAAAATATTTGAAAAACTTCACAGAGTGCACATCATTGAATTTATCTCCCGCCCAGCGAATATCGTTAACTATATGATATTAAAGTATATTTACAGTCTATTACTTATTGAATTGTAAAAAGAGTCCGATAAAAGAGTAGGAGTATTCCTCGAAGAATGCAGTTATATGTCCATCGTAACATGCGATATTTTAAACTATATGTATATGGTGAGCACGATTTACCTTGGTACTTTATTCTACATCTACTACAGGAGTTCTTGGATCCCATAGGTCAAGTATTTCGTAGTCACGTCTTCTATAATGGACTTGCCAATAGTGAAACAATTTGGGCATAAAGATAATGTACGACACAGATGATATAAGAAAGATTAATGTTATACGATAACCAATTGTGATCCCAACAAATAGGTACACGATCATGCTAGAAGTTGAAGCTACTTTCACGTGTGATATATTAATGATTCTTGGTAATATTATATTGACTTGAATAGCTATTAAAAGAAAGCAGAAGACATCTGTAGTGGTATTTAATCTTGATGCTAGCATTGCTACATTTGCCAATAATAGATTTGTAGCTAAATTTGAAGGTTTATTATTTGAATGATCTTTAATGTCATAAAAAATTGAGGCCTCATGCTTTATGATATCTTCCTTATGTGGTGATGGAGATAATGATGATGTAGCGCAAGTTAAGATATATAAAATGTTGATCCAGAATGATACAGTCCAGATAGAATCGGATGCTGTCGTCATGGATAATGATCTTAATACTGGTGATAATGTAAGCAACGTAAAAATTATAATAAAAGATGATTTTATATTTAATAAGCTTGTCAGTTCTTTATTTTTGTGTGTCGAAACTAGCATTGTGATTAAAGTAATTGAACCAGCTAAATATCTTGCATCTGTTTTATAGTAATAAATTAGTGTAAAGACGATGTAGATAAATGAGGAATTTAAAAAAATATTGTAGAATTTAAGTGAATCTTTTCGAATTTGATCAAAATCATAATCTATTATTGGTGGACCTTCCCTTTTCTGTTTCATTTTTTCCATAAATCGTATAAAATCTGGATCAGTATAATTATCAGGATATTTCTGTTTTATCCATAACAATCGGCTCCATGGTTCTTCTGAAGACATATTTATAAGTTTGTTTTAAAATTGAAGCTGCCTTTTGTTTGTAGTATCCTTTAAATGTCAAATATTAGTTGATCTCTAATCTGCCTCTTGGGAAATATGGGAGAATGCACTAGCCTATAATTGTTTCTATGACCGAGCTGTTATTTTGAATCCCTGTACACTAAAGCGATTGATGGTATATATGTATGTTTCAATATGTAATTGTTGTTTTCTTGAATACATTGTTTTTCATTTCAAGTCTCTTGTTTGGAAACCGATACTCTTTATACTACAACCTTATTGCGTATTTTTTCATTTTTCGCGCCAAAAGAGGATCGATGATGATTTTAAAATGTTCCGATTGAAAATTGTCGGAAGGCTACAGGAAAATGGAAAAAAGACTAATGAGTTCAATATTAAACAAAACAATAAAAAATGGATGACACAACCTTTATAAATAGATTCAACTGATAATATAGTACAACATAGGAACATATAGACATGACGATGTTAAAAATTACCTCCACAACAGATGAATCCCTTAATAAGATGAGAATACCGAAAAATATAAATAGTAGAACAGATGAGAATGAATACGATGAGGACGAATATTACTTAGGTGAGGACGAGCAAAGGGACAATACAGTTAATGATATTCCAAGGACGTTACCGATAACAAATATATATTCTGATAGATACAGGACGGCCCATAAGCTAGGAGGATCAAGTGCAGGAGTTACTGAGTCGGACGTGCATAGTTCAAGTAACAATGATCCTTATCGGAAAAGGTCTACATCAACATATTCAAGAAACTCGAACAATCCCAGTAATGTGTACAGGAGCATAAAACACGGAATATCAGGGTTTAACAAAGCACACGAGTCATACCCAAGTCAAAATAATGTGAGGGATACAAGAAGACTGGTGACTGCGCCAGCAATAGATTCGCAAGAAAGATTACGTTCTCAATTAACTATCTTACAAGATGTACAGAGAGTGGCAGATCATGAAAATATATATGACGGCTTTCCTATTGGATTAGAGAATAAACTTGTCTCATTAAGAAATGCTCATTCAAAACTCTTGTTAATGTTGAGAGAGAGGACCGCCAAAATTGAAGAACAAAAGAGACATGATATTAATGCCACCGTCCTAGCAAATATACCAAGCACAGTAACTAGTAATTCGGCAAGGGAGGACACAATCAGTAATGTGATATCCACATCGATTAATGGTAAAACTGCTACAGTCCATAACAATATCACTGGCGCACCATATGTCAGAACAAAATCCACAGCATACACAGTTAACCCAGAGGAGAAGAAATACATACAGCAATTAGTAGACATTACCAAGGAACTGCGATAAATAATTCATCACTATGGTATAATGATATACATATATATATATTCAAATACAAACAAATAGACACTTTATTTTGATTGACATCAGCTACCCTTTTACCAGAGGTGTTGATGCTCTTCTGATTATTATCAATTTCTATTTACATCTACTCTAGTGGCTTCTATCCATTTTAGTACAGAATGCCCGGTCGGCCAATCAAAACCACGAATATCATTTATTTACCGTGCCATAGAAAAAGTACGCAGAGAACCGTTCGCCAAATGATATTCTTTTGTAAGGAAAAAAAATGTTAGAAATTTAAAGGACAATATCTTATGGACTTTGTTGGTACAGATGATGAGAAGGGGTCAACATTTTGAAACTTCGTATATATATTAATAATTCTTTTGAATAGATTGATCATAACAAAATCAAGAAGTTAGATAGTTTATTCTAAGCATACATTCATTTATTTCCTCGATCGAAAGTCAAAGAACAGTCGACGATAAACAAAAGCAAACAATCCCTAAAACGATCCATATAATAATAATAAATTAGCCTTGAATCATGAGTTTGCGTACCGTTTCATCAAAGTTTACTCAAAGAGTTGCACTAGCTAACACTATTTCACGTACTAGTATGTGTACAGGTGTCCGTTGCATGTCTACCCCTACACAAGCACCACAAGAACCAAAAGCAAAGGCTCAATCTATTATCGATGCCATGCCTGGTAACAGTGTTTTATCCAAGACCGGTATTTTAGGTACATCTGCAGCTGCTGCCGTCTATGCTATCTCTAATGAACTTTATGTTATTAATGAAGAATCTATTTTACTCTTAACTTTCCTAGGTGTCGTTGGTATTCTGGGTAAGTTCGTCGCTCCATTTTATAACACCTGGGCAGATGCAAGACTAAAGAAGGTTTCTGGAATCTTAAATGCCTCTAGAGAAAGACATGTCGATGCTGTTAAACAAAGAATTGATTCCGTTTCCCAACTACAAAATGTTTCTGAAACTACTAAAGTTCTTTTCGATGTTTCCAAAGAAACTGTTGAACTAGAGGCCAAGGCATTCGAACTAAAACAAAAGGTCGAATTGGCTCAACATGCAAAGTCTGTCTTAGATTCGTGGGTTAGATATGAAGCATCCTTACGCCAATTACAACAACAAAAGATTGCTGAAACCATTATTAGTAAGGTAAACTCTGAATTAAGTAATCCAAAGTTTCAAGAAAAGGTTTTACAACAATCCGTCGCAGATGTCGAAAAATTATTTGCTAGTCTAAAATAAATAACTGACTAATATGATACATTTTTGAAATCATAATGTTGTGTCGTGATAATTCATACCTACAAATCAAGATATTCCATAATTTTTTTAACTCTACTTTTAGATATTCTTTTTAAAAAAAATAACTGTATAAACATTTATTTCTATATGCTTTCCATAAATATACATCATCTCAAAGAATGCACTACTTTCGATTCGGAGGGTGTCATACTATTGCGTACAACATGCATTTGTATCTACTGTTTTATTGAAAAACCTTTAACAGTCGGACATTTCGTCCTATTGAATTATAAATATACATATTTCATAGAATTAAGTATCTTTGATGTCTAATCGTATATTAAGTGATATTGTATGTTTTATATATTAATATATGAGGTAAAATGAATAAATTGTATACATATAATAACCAAATAGATTAAATGAAAGTTTCGTATGGAACTGGAGCCAAAGTTTGTGGGACGTTACCTTCGGTGGAAACAATACGGGCTTCTCTTGGTTGAGCTGGTTGTCTCTTTAGTTGGACAGCAACACCTTGAGCCTTGGCTTCAACACGCTTAGCAGCGTTAGCCTTAACTCTTTCCAAGAACTCAGCTCTACACTTGGAGTGCTTGATGTGTTCAACTCTGATGTTTAGTCTCTTTTCTAGGTATCTGTTACCGACCATCTTGTTGATGATGATACCAACAGAAGACTTGGTGACGTTGTAAACAACACCGGTCTTACCTTGGTAGAACTTGTGTGGCATACCCTTGTGGATGGAACCGTTGGCCTTGATGTCAACGATGTCACCAACCTTGTAGGTCTTCAAGTAGGTGGTCAAAGAGACAGCACCATGCTTTCTGAAGTCCCTTTGGAACATGTAACGAGTACGAGATCTGTAACCGTGACTATTATAAAATTATGGGATGGAAAAACAAATCATATTACCATATTAGAGAAATCAATGATTGTTTAATAATAATGTTAGTAATGTTATTCAAAATCATGCTAGTATTGTTAACAAGTGAGTCAGAGGTCAATCATATTTGATAGATGATTAAATTATTACAGTACGATACGGCCATGATAAATTGACTTTAAATTTCCTTTAGAACTGTTACATTCACATATACGGCTTGTTTATCTCATACTTTTTTCAAAATTATTCAATTTACATCCAGTTTGATAAATTTCTTATTACTTATGATATGGTTTGTCTTCTTTCTTGTACTAATGACTTCATTGCATTCTTTTTCCATAAATTTAAACCTCTTGTTACTGTTCACTGTTTTTGACGATATGCTGTTTGTACATACGATTTACCCATTTTGACTGATTGATTATGCTTGGTCTCTTTAAAGCTAAGTTTAAAATTTGATAGCTAATTCTCAAATAACAGATTTTTAACCACTTAGTTACATCATTATTACTTGCTAACTAAGATACTACTAGCTTCACGATCATGATAGGCCTTTGCTAGTATCTCTCTGTATGGCAGTAGTATTCCTGCATGAAATTGTTGTAATTGATCGATGGCCATGTTGCAGTTTCAGATTTTACAAGCATAAGGGTTACCTCGGGAATTATTATTACTTTCTGTGAACTCAACCTGCGACAAAAAAAACTTATGGTGATTAATAAAAAAACGAACAAACTTTTCAGGAAAAAACAGAAAGAAAACATAAAAATGTAAGGATGTTTCAGGATGTATGGGTTTCGTCACAAACTTATTTCGCGATGATATTTATCTCCCAAAATCGAATCTTACTGATTCAATAATCTACATGGCATTTGAATACCTTCCCATCGGATTGTTATAATTACGGTTATCGATATTTATTGATATTATCCATTAAACCTATGCTGTTATATAAAAAAAAATACATTTACAAATATGTATATAAACATGTTACACTATGAAGACAATAGTTGAATCTATTCTTCGTCAGCTTCTTCAGCTTCACCTTCTTCAGCTGGCTTACCGGCATGCTTTCTAGCAACTCTACCTGGTCTAGCACCACCGAATGGAGAGGTTGGAGCAAAGTCAATGTGCTTTTCAGAGTCCAATCTGACCATGAAGGAAGCAACGTTAACAATTTGCTTACCAACAGCGATGTGTCTTTGAGAAATCAAGACTCTAGCGTGATGGACAGACTTAGCTAGACCTAGCTTGTAAACTTGAGTTTGTAGTCTTCTTTCCAAGAAATCTTCAACCTTTAGAGCCAAGACATAATCCAGTTTCTTCTTATCTTCAGATAAGACACCAATTCTGACTAGTCTTCTGATCAAAGCATTACCTTCGAACAATCTCTTTGGGTCTTTTTCATCTCTGGTTAATAGATCTCTAGCAGCACGACGAATCTTAGACAATTGGAAAGAAATTCTGTAGATCTCTCTCTTGTTCTTTAGACCGAATTCACCAGCTAGCTTCATTTCAGCATCTAGACGAGATGATTCATATGGTCTCTTTGGGGTAGAGTAGGTCTTAGAGTAAGTTCTTGGAGCTCCTATATAAAATAAATAAAATTGTTAGTTAAAATGATTACAACAAAAATTAAGAGGGTCAAGAAATCCTTCCAAAAAAAAGAAACTAAAATAAAATGAATGAATTAAGATTATAGATTGGCATAGTTCCTGAATGGACGTGGTTTCCTTCAGTTAATTATAACTCAATCTGTTGAAAATTACTTTATATCATGGCATATTTCATAACCTCATACAAATTAAAATTATTCGAAAAATAATAGTATTCAATACAATTAAAAAGATATCTAACTATCTTTTGTCTCAAATCAAATAACATTAACAGGATAATTTTCTTTTATATGAACGATAAATTGAAATCAGAACAATCTTTACCTGAAGTGTCGGGATTCAGTGCAAAGGGCATAATGTTCGAATTCAACATATGTAAAATATGACAGAAGTATTTCATTTAACCATAAATCTCAAATTCAATTCAATATTATTATTATATTTTTTTTTTGGAGGACCCGATCCTCTACAGAAACTTGTTCGGAAATAAGATGATGATCAAAAGTAATTAACACAAAATAATTACTAATTCCCAATCATCCCAAACCTTCCCAAAGTATTCTGCATTCACAATCATATGTGACACATACTTGGCATTGTTGATTATAATGTTGTTGGTGGTACTTTCTATTAGTTATTTTAACGTTGTAAAATGAATGTATAAACAAATAAAACAAAAGTATTACTGAAATATATACTATTTACTTATGAGACTGAAAAAAAGTGATAGTTCTGAATTAAAGAATTAAGTATTTCCTAAGAGGTGAAATATTAGGAAAATAGGATATTGTAAATGAACCGCTTTGGGGCATCTTTCGTTTTCTTTTTCCGAAATTATTCATTTTATAGAATTCTTAGTTTTTTTAAAGCGTTTTCCAAAGAGCACTTTACAATCATGTGGTGCAGGGGTGTTTATTTTGGGTGTATGGGTGGAGCCAAGTCACTGTTAAATTTATACGCATTTAACAAAGATACAATAAAACTAGATATTTGAAACAACCTATAAAAAATTCATATCAACTTCTTAAACTTAGGCAACATAATTACTCGTAGTCCTATTATTTAAAATTCTGTCGTGTTGTTGCGCTCAATAATTTTATAGTACTAATTTTACAAGGATAAGGCTTGTAATTTCTTACATCAACAGACAAATAACTACCTTAAAAATTATTATTTAAGAATGCAGAAAGAAATTTCCGATACTAATTATTATAATAAACTAGTTAATAGTTGAAGAAACTGATTTGTTACTATCTAATAAATATTATCATCGAAAAGATTTCAAGTTGCCAAGACTTATATTTCATCGATCGATGAGATAATAATGACGAACGAACAACACTGTAGTAAATTCTTCACTATATATCTTAATATATTTATAAGCAGGGCACATAAAACAGAATAAAAAAATGACACCAAAAAATTATGTCTATGCTAACGTGCATTTGCCAAATAAATTAGTAGACCCAAAATATTGTTGATTAGATATACAAAAAACAAAGAATAAAAATGTACACTTTACGCATAACAACAACAAGAAATTGTTGCCCTATTTTTCTCGCCCTCTCTTGTTCCGTCATAAATTTTATTATTTTTGTTTACATCGATGGGGTCACACCAATTAGCTAAGATTGTTCTTATGTGTATCCCTACGAGACAACAGCGCGACGGTTAATCTCACTAACAAAAAACGATGGAGAAAGAAAAAAAAATTTTCATTTGAAAAAAATTAAAATTTGTTTGTTTATAACGAGCGTTGCAGGAAGCCGATATTATGTTATATATATATAGCTTATTTATTTCGCTTTTTTCCATGTTTAAAGTATGGATAATGCGAAGAGACGGAAGGGAAAACGTATAGAGAAAGGAAAAAAGGTTATTTTATTTTTTTTCTTAAAAGGAATACAGAATTTGGAGATTAACCGCCGAGCATAAAGAAAAGGAAATATATAAAGTTAAAAGATACGATAAACCTATTGATCAGTTTATCAACAATACACGTCTATTTATTAGTGTCCATATAATTCAAACTAAACAAAATCAGTTTTAATCTCTGTTTGTTTGTTTTTTGCTATCTTTTACTACCTCAAATTATAAGTGATTAATACTTTAGAAGAGAGAAAACACACACACACACACACACATATATATATAAATCTACAGAGATGACCTCGAAAGTGTCCCGCCTGGATAGACAAGTCATTCTGTTAGAGACAGGCTCTACGCAAGTAGTAAGGAACATGGCAGCAGATCAATTAGGTGATCTAGCTAAACAACATCCAGAAGATATATTATCTCTACTATCAAGAGTATACCCATTTTTATTAGTGAAAAAATGGGAAACAAGAGTCACAGCTGCTAGAGCTGTTGGTGCTATTGTTTCACATGCTAAGGTGTGGGATCCTAACAGTGATGATGATGAATATCATCCAGAAAATATTAATAATGATATAAATAATGATATACCAATTAAAAATGAATTTGAATCAACTATTGAAAATGCAAAAGTTAAATTTGAAGATGATTTAAAGCTTCGGATTGAAGAACTAAAAGAAGAACACAATTCTAATTTACTAGAAGAAAATAGAAATTATTATAATTTAAATGAATGGAATTTCGCTGAACTTTTAAAGACTGGAAAATTATTATTATCAAAAAGTATAAATGAATATGATGATTCTTTTAAAAATGGATCAGAAAATATACGAGATGATTCCATTGATACAAAAAAAGAACCTGTAAAGGAAGAAATGACGAGTGGGACACAAAATAAAAAATCTGCACGTATGTTAGCCATGGCTAAACGTAGAAAGAAGATACAGGCAAAAGGTAATGGAAATACAAAACAAATAGATATAACACAAAGTTCTGTATCGAGGAATATTGCTAATAAGAAAGATATTAAACCTGCAACATCGAATGCATCAACTTTACAAAATCCAAAACTAGAAATTACAGAACAAGCAGATAAAAGTAAATTAATGATAGAATCTGTTGCTGCTCCAATATTAGAACAACATGAAAGAGTCGCAGGTATCGTTTGGCAATTTCAAGGAATATATGAACTACTTATAGATAATATATTTAATGAATCCTGGGAAATTAGACATGGTGCTGCTTTAGGTTTAAGAGAATTAATGAAGAAACATGCATATGGTGTAAATAGATTAAAAAGTGAAACAAGAGAAATTAATGACAAACAAAATAAGAAAAGTTTAGAAGATTTAGCTACAAGACTCTTAACTATATTTGCACTTGATAGATTTGGAGATTTTGTCAATGACACTGTAGTTGCACCAGTTAGAGAATCTGTGTCCCAGACATTGGCTGCTTTATTAATTCATTTAGATGATGATTTATCCTTTGAAATTTTCCAAAAATTAGAACAATTAGTATTGCAAGATCCAATAGTAACAGGATGCCCTAATAGAATTTGGGAAGCTACACATGGTGGTCTCTTGGGAATACGGTATTTTGTAAGTATCAAGACAGATTTCCTTACTTCACGTGATTTATTAGATAGCGTTGTTAACGTTGTATTATATGGTTTAAGACAATCTGATGATGATGTCAAAAGTGTCGCTGCATCTATTTTGGTCCCAATTACTGATCAATTTGTTACTTTACAGAATGAGAAGATTGAAATATTATTAACTACTATGTGGACATCTTTATCTGAACTTGATGATGATTTATCCTCAAGTGTTGGTTCTGTTATGAATTTATTGGCAAAATTATGTCAATTTAAAGAAGTTTTGGATGTCCTGAAAACGAAAGCTGTTATGTTACCAGCTGAATGGGCTTTCAAATCATTAGTCCCAAAATTATATCCATTTTTGCGCCATTCTATTACTTCTGTTAGGAAAGCTGTCCTAAATTTATTGAAAGCATTTTTGTCTATAGAAGACGATTCTACAAAAGGATGGATTAACAGCAAAATTTTTAGATTGGTATTCCAAAATATCTTATTAGAACAAAATAGGGATATCCTTGATTTATCCTTCGAAGTATACACATCATTATTGGCTCAATACAAATCAAAACATACCGAAAAATCATTGGATCATGTATTTAGTAAACATCTACAACCAATCCTACATCTTCTTAACACTCCAATTGGTTTGAATGGTAAAAATTACAGTATGGAAGGCCAATTTATTTTAAAGCCTTCTCAACATTATCAAATACATTCTCAGAAAAAGAGATCCATTTCAGAAGCAAGTTCAAATTCAGAAATCCCAGTTCCAAAATCTTCAGAGCATGTTAATATAGATGCACCAATGATTGCTGGTGATATCACTCTATTAGGTTCTGACGTTATTATTAATACGAGAGTTATGGCAGCCCGTGCTTTTGGTTTAACTTTAGCTATGTTCCAAGATTCAACACTGCAATCTTTTTTTTCTAATGTACTCGTTCGTTGTTATGAATTACCTTATGCAACACCTAGAATGCTAGCGGGTGTTATACTTACAGAATTTTGTGGTGCATGGTTGAAGAGTAACCCCGATAGAGATCAACTACCTACATTTGTTAATGATATCTTTGGTGAAAAGATAAATGCACAACTATCTGATCCGTCATCATTGCCTGTATTTAGAGAATTAGTTCCAAGCTTAAAGGCATTACGTATGCAATGTCAAACTTTATTAACAACATTTGTTGACGTTGGTATGCTACCTCAACATAAATTACCTAGAATTGCTATTGTGGTACAAGGTGAGACAGAGGCTGGACCCCAAGCATTTACAATCGAAACTGCAGAAAAGGTATACAATGAATATTATCCAAAGCTGTTTAAAGCAATGAGTAATTCATATAAAATTTTAGGAAAGAAACCTTTGGAAGATGCAAGGTATCGTGTTCAATTAGCTATTGATTCGACCAATGACCTGATGAAAGCCAGATCTAACTGGGTTTTATGTAATGCAGCTTCCTCTATTCTGTTAATGAACGGAATACCACCAAAACTGAATCCAGTTATAAGGTCATTAATGGATAGTGTGAAGGAAGAAACCAATGAAATGCTTCAACAGATGGCTGGTAATTCTGTTATTCACCTTCTTCGTGAATTAGTCAAATCTAATAAAGTTAATGTTGCTAACAAGATAGTTAAGAATCTTTGCGGATTTTTGTGTGTCGATACATCAGAGGTTCCAGATTTTACCGCCAACCTACAGTATTCTTCAGAAATATTAACATTGATAAAAGAAGATAATTCCATAACAGATCAAGAAGATATTAAACTAAAGAAAGTTGCAGATGATGCAAAACTGAAACGTAAGGGTGGTTTATATACATTGGGGAAACTACTATCAGTATTTGATAAAGAAGAATTATCCAAAATTCCAAAATTCAAGGCTGTTCTATTCGAACCTCTGGATAAATCATATTCAGATGAGGAATTAAAACTAAATGAGTCTAATTCTGGTCAATCTATTGTAGACTCTATGGGAATACTACGTGTTCTCTTCCCATATATGAATTCAGAATTACGTGATGGTGATGTTATTCCTAGATTAGAAAAATTGCAAGGTTTCTTGTGCTCTGAATTTTCTGTTTTTCGTTATTCAGCAGCTAGAACATTTGCTGATATTGCAAAGATATATCCTGTTCAAGTTATGCCATTTATTATCCGTGGTATCCTACCAATGATGAATAATGCTGGTTCTATTGTTGAACGTCAAGGTGCATCAGAATTAATCTATCATTTGTCTGTGTCTATGGGAACTGAAATTCTTCCATATGTTATCTTCCTAATTGTTCCATTATTGGGTAGAATGAGTGATTCAAATCATGATGTAAGAAGTATCGCTACTACAACATTTGCTTCTATTATTAAACTTGTTCCTTTAGAAGAAGGTATCTCTGACCCTGAGGGGCTTCCAGAAGATTTAATGGCTGGTCGTGAAAAAGAGAGAGACTTCATTCAACAAATGATGGATCCATCAAAGGCGAAACCATTCAAACTTCCAGTTGCTATTAAAGCTACTCTTAGAAAATACCAACAAGATGGTGTCAATTGGCTTGCATTCCTAAACCATTATAATTTGCATGGTATATTATGTGATGATATGGGGCTTGGTAAGACATTACAAACTATTTGTATTATTGCTAGTGACCAGTATCTAAGACAAGAAGATTATAAAGAAACACATTCAGTTACAACTAGACCGTTACCATCACTTATTGTCTGTCCTCCATCCCTTACTGGCCATTGGGAAAATGAATTTAATCAATATTCTCCATTTTTGAAAGTTCTAGTATATGCAGGTGGGCCTTCTCAGCGTTATCCATTAAGAGATCAATTAGGTAGTGCCGACATAATCGTTACCTCATACGATGTTGCAAGAAATGATTTGGAGTATTTAATGAAATTTGATTACAACTACTGTGTTTTAGATGAAGGTCATATAATCAAGAATTCTCAATCCAAACTAGCCAAAGCGGTGAAACAACTAGGAGCTAACCATCGTTTAATTTTAACAGGTACCCCTATCCAAAATAATGTTGTAGAGCTATGGTCCTTATTTGATTTTTTGATGCCCGGATTTTTAGGTACCGAAAAAATGTTCCAAGATCGTTTTGCAAAGCCAATTGCTGCTTCTAGAAACAGTAAGACCTCTTCTAAAGAACAAGAGGCTGGTGTTTTGGCATTGGAAGCCTTGCATAAGCAAGTTTTACCATTCATGTTAAGAAGATTGAAGGAAGATGTCCTTTCTGATTTACCACCGAAGATTATTCAAGATTATTACTGTGAACTGAGTGATTTACAAAAACAATTATACCAAGATTTTGCCAAAAAACAGAAGACTGTCGTTCAGAAGGACATTCAGAATACAGCAGAAGTGGACAATAAACAACACATATTCCAAGCACTTCAGTATATGAGGAAATTGTGTAACCATCCTGCGTTGGTCCTTTCTCCAGATCATCCACAACTACAGCAAGTTCAGCAATATCTGAAGCAGGCACATTTAGATTTGCATGATATAATTAATGCACCAAAATTGACTGCGTTGAGAACCCTATTATTGGAATGTGGGATCGGTGAGCAAGAAATTGACAAACGATCAAACGACCAACTTTTAACTACAAATGTTATTTCTCAACATCGTGCATTAATTTTCTGTCAGTTGAAAGATATGCTGGATATGGTCGAGAATGACCTATTCAAAAAATGCATGCCTTCTGTTACATATATGAGACTAGATGGTACAGTGGACCCTCGTGATAGGCAAAATGTAGTGAAGAAATTTAATGATGATCCATCTATCGACTGTTTACTATTAACAACTAAAGTTGGTGGTTTGGGCCTGAATTTAACTGGTGCTGATACTGTCATTTTTGTGGAACATGACTGGAATCCAATGAATGATCTACAGGCCATGGATCGTGCCCATCGTCTGGGGCAAAAGAAGGTTGTCAATGTATACAGGATTATTACTAAGGGTACTCTTGAGGAAAAAATTATGGGTCTTCAAAAGTTTAAAATGAATATTGCATCAACAGTGGTTAACCAACAGAACAGTGGTTTAGCCTCTATGGATACCCATCAATTATTGGATTTATTTGATACATCAAATGTACCTTCTCAAGATGAAGAACAAGCGAAACAAAATCAAGCTGATATGGAGGATGTGGCAAATGAAACTGGTTTAACTGGTAAGGCTAAAGAGGCAGTTGGTGAATTAAAGGAACTATGGGATAGTTCCCAATATGAAGAAGAATATAATTTGGACAATTTTATTAAGACATTACGTTAATTATTAGTACTGTGATGGCGTAAAACTTTTCTAAAAATATTAAATATTAGATTAGTTTCACAGTATTATATACTTCATTACATGTAATCAATTTACAAAAGCATATAAATAGATATCATTGCATATAAGTTATAAAAAATAATAACTTTCTTTAAAATTATTTGCTTATTTTTTTCGGTAGCTTAATAATCACTTTCTTGGTATTTGTTAATAGTATCTGCTAGCGCAATGAGGAAGGAATCAACGTTAACAGGTAAATCTTGGAAATACTCAGATAAACATATTAGGGGAACTTTTCTTAGCGCACGGCCACTCAAATCTAATGCCTAATCGAGAATTATTGTTAGTTTATAGGAAATAAAATCAGAATCAATAAAAGGTGACAGAATGTGATACATACTAAACATTGTTTGGCAAGGATACGAATTACATTTTTGTATTTACCTCTCTCAAGAAAACTACATTTTCCATAAATTGGAATCAATATATTGGAGCACATTAAACTTTCTAAGGAGGATATTAAAATACTCTCAAGGGCCTCCAATGAAGGTTTAGTGACATGAAATATTCTATCGGCCCTATCAACAAATGCACAATCTAGGGTATCGATATAGTTAGAAGTGGTTAATACGATAAAATTATCATATTTCTTTAACTTATCCAAATTGGTGAGTAAACTATTTACAACTCTAACACTTTCATTTGACTCGTTATTGTTTATTGATTTTGTTCTGCAACTTGCTATTGTTTCGACCTCGTCTATTAATAGACATATAAAGCCAGTATTATTTCCTCTGGATTGCAATAAAAGCTCAATATCATTGAAAATGCAACTGATATTTTTTGATGATTCCCCAAACCAACGTGAAAAAATTCTCGAACACGAAAGCTCTACTAGAATGGAACGGGGTCTACCTTCAGGCGTAATACTCTCCTTGTTGTATTTCTGTCTTATAGAGAGTTTTTGACAAACGGCTCTACAGAGCGAGGTCTTACCTGTACCAGGAGGGCCGTGTAGTAATAGTAGACCGTTGTTGTTAATCATCTGCTCTTTTGACCTTGTTGGTTGCTGTTCTATACAACTCTTTTGTTGTGAAATCTTGAGTGATAAAACGGTAGAATTAAATATTGCTTGTTTAAGAATCCCATTATAAAACAGGCTTTCCCAGAGATTTTCTAGATCGGGTGATGGTAGAGCCGTAATAGATACCAGATTTAGTGTTTCTTCAGAAAACCGGAAGTTAGGAAGGATGGTTTTATCTAGTGGGGTATTTGTTTTAGTTTCTTCAATAAGGGTTCTATCCTGACCACTGTTACTTATATCAATTTTATCGAACTCCTCTACCAAAATCTCTTTGGACGGTTTATTTTCCTCATCTTTAAAATGATAAAAATATATATCAAACTTGGATAAATCTGTTTGATCATCCTTTGTTTTATTTTCATCGACCTGAGTCCTTAAAAATATGCTGTTAATAATTTCGTCCAAAGATCCATGATTATTATTCAAGGAAATGGGGGATTTTATACTGTAAGGTTCAACGTATATATTTTCGATAAATAACGATAAAACGAGGTTGTCATGGCCGTTCTCAACATAATTACTTTTGGTTACAGAGACGAACTGTGAAAATAATACTTTAAGTAAACTGTCTACCAATTTTTCTTGTGCTTTACTTGGAGGATTATTGATTTGAATACTTCCATTACCTTCATGAAATAAATCTTCAGACGATATTTGGAGACCATCAAGCGATTCTGGAACTTTTGATTGCAATTTCCTTAGTATTGCTGACTCAATAATTTTAAATAAAACACTAAATAAATTAGAATCTTCCTTAACATTAACAGTTGATGAGCCATTCAACAAATTTGTAAACCGGTTGACTTGAAAGTTAAAAATACGATTAACCAGCTCCAAGGTATTCACATTCAATTCAACATCAACGGTATACAACATAGTGTCGTTAGTATGAATCTTATCTCTTTTGAATAATGCTTGTTTACCAAATAAATAAAAAGTTCCGGATTGATTTTTATTAAAGGAAATGTATTATTTAGCCGCTAATCTTTTCATAACTATTCGCGGTTTTATACATGTGTTTTCGTTACACTGAACTAAATACTAACTGAAAACTACTATGTACAAAGTTAATATAAATTCACAAATCATTATTTTTGCTTGTTAGTAAGATATTTAGCAGTGCTGCCCTCCCTTTATCTGATGTGGATTCCCATCTGTTTAACCTTTCATAAATTTGTCGCAGTAATACTGAATCCAGTATATTCAAATACTGAAGCTCCAATGTCAGAATGTAGTTCTTGGGAAAGTATGTAAGTCGATGTAATTTATCTTGGTTTTAAAGTTTACTTTTAGCATATAAAAACTAATAAAATTATTATACAATATTTTCTACGAATTTTACATTGCATTCACATAACCTCTGTTAGCCTTCTTCTTTCTCTTCCCACCACGATTCACAGATGCTGAAACCTTTAGTAAGTCGTCAAGGTCATTTGCTTTCTTACCAACTAAGCTCTCGATGTTTGGATTAGTAGAAAACCTACTAGTAGAGTCAGCGGTCGGAGAGGCTGTCTCAATTTTATCAGAAGAGGAGCTTGGCCTAGTTAATGGTTTACCTGTTAGTGGGTCCATTGGTACTACTGGAGAAAAGGCGCTAGGTGGAGCAATATTATGATTGGCACTTGCACGAGGTGATGAAGTTGGTCCCAAATCCTTACGCTTAATAATTGGTGGAGGTGGGCCTGGTTTGGATGCTTCCGCCATTTCTTTCTTCTGTTCTTCGGTAGCATTTCGGTCAACCCAACGTTTTAATTCGTTATCATAGTAGAAACTATTCTCGTTACCTAATTTAGCCTTAACAGCTTTTTTCTCGCCAGGGTCTTTCCCTAACCAACGACGCCAAATACTCTGATTATCTCCTGTGAGATCATTTACGTTATTTTTCTTCACAGAATTTTTCTTGATTTCATTATTTGGTTTCCCGTTATGTTCATCTTCTGATTCAGATTCATCCTCGATGACATCATTGTATTCCGTATTCGTTACTTCTGCAGTGAAAGTATTAAAATTATTCCCAGTATTCTTTTTTATAACAGGTTCAAACGTCTCCATTGATACCTCATCTGCTTCTTTTATAGGTCCAAATTTATCATTTGAAAATGATTTTCTTGGAGCATTACTATTGTTCACGGGAGAGCCCATCATGTCTGGGGAAAGTGGTTGCATGTAAGGTTGGAAATTATTGCTTTCCTGGGACTCTGAGTTCATATTTGAGCGATCACTGGAATCTTCCGCAATTTTTTCATTTTCGGAGTTAGAATATGGTGATGGTACATAGTTATTATATGTGAACATATTCGTTTCACCAGATAGTTCTGGGAACTGTTCAGTGTTTAAATTCTGATTCGAGGTGGCATTCTTTGGAAGATATGGATTGTTTTTAACCTTTGGCTTAGTTTTAGCATTGTTTGGAGCATATGCATTGTGTTTCTTTGCTATGCTGACCTTATTTTCTGCGATGATATTAGGTGGTTTTGAATTATCCATAATCTCTTCTGTTTTCTCAACTGGTGGAATTTCTTCGGTTTCTTCTTGCTCATTTTGAGGTGTGATATTAGTGGGGTCAATAGCCAATATTCCATCATTCATTTCATTTTTGGTAGTTTGTAAAATGGCTGGTGGTACTTCAGCGGTTTCCGTGATCTCCTCTGGTGCGAATTCAAGTGATTGATGGATCTTCTCTTCGTTACTATCCAGTACAGTATGGTCCATCTGCTGTAATGTATCTTTTTCAGGGGATTCGATCTCTTGATCGTTAGAATGAATGGCTGTAACACCTATTTTGGTTTTTAAGTTATCATCCTCTGAAAACTCTGTTCTCTCATGAACATTAACTCTTGAATAGGAAATGTCATCCGACTTCTCTGTAACATTACCGTCAGAAATAGAGTCGTCGATGGTTTTTAGATCAGTAGCATTTCTAACAATTTTCTCTTCATTTTCCCTAGGTAGGCCTTGTTCTAAAGGAGGTTCGCTGAGATTAGGACTTTCCAATTCATCGTTCTGTGTGTCTTCATTTATATGATCAAGGACATTTATATCATGTTGAGATGGATTATTCTTAGTGTTTTCTTCTGTAATTACATCTTGGTCATTAACTTCTTTTTCATTTTCCTTTAGGTTGAGCTTATTAGAACTATCAGTCTTTTCCAATTGCGTATCCTCCTTTATTAGGTCATTAAACGAATTAATTTCAACTGGTAGATTTGTTACATGGTCTGTCAATTCATTTCTCATTGAATGTTCCATGGTAATTGATGTCTTACTTGTTATGTCAGATTCTGGAGTTCTTTTCATTGCCGACTGAGAAACCGCTGATATTGGAGGTACATTTCCAGTTAGAGTATTACTTGATGGAGTAGTTTGTAAGGATGTCAGCTGATCTATCGAAATTGCATTATTGTTAGGTTGACGATGAGAAGACTTCCCCTTATTTAGTCTACCTTTTGGTGGTGGAGGAACTTCTGAATGAACCGACACATTTGATGATCTTCTTGGTGGTCCCGAAAGAGGCCCCGAAGTAACCGCCTGTCTATTTAGAGGTTGTGGTGGTCCGATATTTGCAATATCGTTTGCTAATGTAGTCATCGGTTCCGTTACCTCCATATTTAAGTGATCATGTGTGACGGATCTCTGCAATACCAAGTTACTCGTATCACCTCTAATTATGGGTGGTGGAGCAACCTTATTTGTTTCAAAAATTTCACTTTGAACTCTAGGTAGTGGATTATGTGGGGTTGGTACATGTCTACCTACTTCGGTGGTGTATGTTCTACCAGGCGAACCCTGTAAACTTTCACCAATTCGTAAAGGTGTTTCATAATGGTTCTGTTCGCCAAATGTATGGTGAGAAGCTTTCTTCAAATGCTCCATCGAAAGAACATTCCCCGGGGTTGTGGAATGGTGAGCTACTTGCCCTAATGGTCTATAATTCCCTTGAGGCTGATATTGATTAAGATTTGTCTGGTCTAAGTCTACCACAGATGAATGGTTGGAAGTATAAGGCGTATATGTCCCAAACACATCCTTTTCTGGAGTTTGAGTAGGTTTTTTATCAACATCACCACCGATGTACTTGTTAAAGGATTTATCTAATTGTCCCCATACACTGCTTAACTTTGGTTTACCTAGCCAACCTGTACTTGAATTATTAATTCTAGCCGTCAAAATGTTTGAGCTGTTCATCAAATTGGCAGCGTACGCATCTTTTCTTGGAAGTGACTTGATCTTTGTAGCAACATTCTCATTGTATTTAGCTGCTTGTGAGGACAAGTTTTGTTGTTCTAGTGCAAACCCATAGTTCATTTTTTGGGATAGAAGTGTTGGGAAGCCTTTGAATGTAGGTTCTGTTATGCTTCTCGTATATTCGTAAATTTCAGACCATATTAAACTTTCGGTTGTTGAAGGTTGACCAATGTATTTGAAATACACGTCAGAACCAGTAATTACTGGTGAAAAGGAAAGTGGTATGCGGGCAATGACAAATAGTATGTCAGCTTCCAAGTTTAAGCCTTGTTTGTATAGGAAAATAGCAAATTCGACTAAAAACTCTAGGATCATTGGAGGTAATTGTCCTACTTTTAATGTAGTGCTTCCCGTGACTGATTTAGCGTTTGCTAGGATAACGGAGACGATATATCTCCAATTTTGAATAGCCCATGTGATATGTTCTTGGTTGTTATAAATATTAGCAATGGCAATTTTAGAGTTACCAATGAAAACTTGAAAAAGTAACGACAGTACATTAATGCCATGATCAGAATAAGTTGGAGATCCCATTCTTAAGTAGGAATCTACCACAGAAGACCACGTTTCCTTACCAGCTAAACTTCCCACCAATAATGCCATTGTAAAATCTTGACCTTCTAATGCAATGTTCAAAGCATCTTCATAGTTACCGATTTGAAGTAGCGCTAAAACTCTATTTTGTGTATTTGGCTCTAGGCGGCTGGCATTTGCCACAGGCTTAGGAAGAGTAAATGGCTGTGTAACGTACATTCTAGTTGAAGTTGTGTCACATAGCATATTTGCAATAGATTCAAGATCGGCCGTTCCATTTACATAACCCTTCAGTATATTCCATATTAATGATGTAGTATCATTAAAATCTTCGGGCATATTGTTAAGCATAGAATCCAACCACTTCTCAAGTTCTACTTTTTTTGTTTTAGGTGATAAGGGACCAATATATGTTTTCATAACATCAGATGTGATTAAAATAGAATCATAGTTCACAATATTAATTGTATTCAGTGAAAACCCAGTTCCAGAATACATTGAATTTGCTTCAGGTATACCATATACAATTTTATTGGATTTGCCCCAACAAAACAATGGGAACTGGCGTGTCAAAAGACTTTGGTGATCAACCGCACTTGTTTGGACTGTGTTAGATTGAAAAAGTGCTTGTTGCATAGGGACTTGAGACTGTGCATTAATACCCAACCCGGTTGGATATTCTGTTTGGGATACCTGAGGTGCGTAATTACTTCTATGGTTTAATTGTGCTTCGTGAGTTTTTAGTATTTGTTGATTGCTTGTAATATTTTGGCTGGTTGGTGGATAATATTGCTGTTTCACTACAGGAATATTATTCGGTTTTTGGAGTACTTGATTTACAGAATATGCATTAGAGCTGATTGGACCTTGGTTGGCCATGGTAGGGCTAGACATGAAACTTGTCGGTGGCAATACTGGCTGTTGCATGGCGTTGATCTGGGTATTACCATTAGGAGGAAATATAGGCTGTGTCATCATTCCTGCATTACTATTTAACATAGATTGCCCTGAGACATATCCAGTAGGAGGTTGGGTGTAACTACGTTGCTGGTTTACAACCTGTTGTTGTACATTGCTGGCAGGAGCGTATTTGCTTTTCTTTGAAGGAATAGCCGGGGTTCCAACCGTATTTCCACCTTGGGGTGATAATGGTTGTGTATATGTAGTAGCAGGTGGATATATGCCCATACCACTCCCGTTAGACAAAATACTCGTTGCTCTCTGTCTTGCATAAGGCATCCCCGGTTGGGGAATACCAACAGTTAGAGGTGCCTGAGGTTGTATCATGCCAACTCCACTAGATACTCTACTTCTTACCGGGGGTTGGTTCATAGTTGGAGTTGAAATTTGAACGTGTTGTTGGGAATGTCTTTTATTATGGGTCATTGGAGGAGGAGGTGGGGCGGCACTAGTTTGTAATGGACTATATGGGATACTCGTCTTTCTGACTGAAGGAGGGTTCATATCCATTGAAGGGATGGAGCCGTATCTCATAGTTGGTGTAGCCACAGCTTTTGCATGAATTGGTTTAGGATTTGAACCAAGTAAATCGCTTGGGAAATCATAAGCATCAGATTTCTGTTTTGCCTTATTTATAGTTTCTACAGTCTTTTGAGAATTGACGGAAGTTTGTAATTGCGTTGATGGAGTTTGAGAGCCAATCTGGGGCTGTTGTATAGTGTTGCTAAATATCATTGGAGGAGGTTGTACAATCCCTGATCTTTCCATTGGTACTTCCACGGATTGAGCTAAACTGGTGGTTCCTTGTGGCGCATACTTGGATACATTTAGACTTGAACTAACGTTGGTGGTAAATGATGTTTCAACGTTTGAATTAAATTGTTGATCTTCTTGTACTGTAGTCTTTGGTTCCAAGTCAGTTGGTAACTCCTCATCTGAATCTAAAAAGCTATCATCATCCTCAAGAAGATCTTCATCATCATCCATAAAAGAGAAATTATTTTTTGTAGTGTCTACAGTATTGTTTTCATTTTCAACTGCGGTTGTACTTTGTGGGTTGCTATTAGCTTGCTGAATCTCCGTAGGTATATCAGTAATAGTAACATCTTGGTTACTATTATCTGGTAAAGCGTAATCCCCCTGTTGCAACTCTGGTGAAGTTGCAACTGGGTTGCTCACTATTTCAGGATTTGTATCAGTTTCTACCTCCCATGGTAGTAGTTCATCATCTTGTTCATTATCAGCTGCAAATAAGGAATTTGAGTTACTTGTACCCTGGATAATATTCCCTGTTTGTATATCGGTCTCTTGTTCAGTTTTCGTACTTTCTGGAACAATATTCTGATTGAGTGGATCTTCTGTTTTAGTAAACAACTCGCTGTGAATTGTTGCCGGTTGTTCGGTTTGTTCATAAAAATCATTCGTATTATTGGTTTCTTTATCTTGGTAATTGTCCTGTAATTGTGTTTCCAATGCAATTGGTTCTCTCTTTTCTTGTTCCCATGGCATCGTCTCTACTTCAACTTCATTATTCTGACTGAATAAAATTTCGTCTTGATGATGGTTCATATTCATTGAATCATCAGTTCGGTTGCCATGTGTTTGGAAATTTGTTTCGTTCTGACTATAACTATCATAAGACAATTCAGAGTGGACGACAGTATTTTCAAAACTTTTGTTGATTGATGAATCCTCTTCTAGCAACAAACTTTCTTCTCTGTCGATGTTCATAGGTTCTTCAGTAGGTATCTGGTTTAGAATAGGATTTTCAGTTTCAGATTTAAGTCCCATGTAACCACCAACTTCATCATTCGAAACATTCATCTCTAATTCGTTATTATTACTTACCTTTGCCTCTGGTACTCCAGATTCCACATCATGTACTCTTTGTTTAGTTTCATTTGTAAAGACATCTTGTTCTATCATGTTGGTGTTGTCAATTGGTTCCATATGAAATTCATTCTCTAAACTAGTTTCTTGTGTATTGACATCTGCCTTTGGTAGCTCTATGATTTGCTCCGTGATAGAAGTATCAATAGGTTGAGTAATCTCCATTTCTTCCTTTGTTTCTGTCTCATTCATTACAGCATTCTCATCAACAAGTTCAGGTACTTCGTTCGACAATAATGGTTGTTCTTTAATTTCTTCTGTTTCTTCTGTTTGAAGAGAAGGGCTTTCCGTGTTAAGTATATTTGCTGTGTGTTCTGGAATCGGTTCATGCATTTCTATCGTGTTATGAGTAAATGATTGTTCCATAGATAGATCGGGAATCTGAGACTCTGTTTCTTCAACTGATTGTTGATTTTCTTCCATCTCAGGTATAGTATTTGATTCCACAATGGAATTATGTTTAGGTAATTTATTTTCAGCTTCAAGATCAATAGTATTATCCTTGTCTTCGATAAATGAATCCAAGTCATCATGTTGTTGTTCTTGTTGTTGTGGAACCACTTCTTGTTGAGTTTTATCTACTATGTCATCTAAAACAGTGGTAACGGCATGTGGGATACTTGAAATTACTGAATTATCAGTAGTAGGAATGGTTGTAGAATCTTCTTCTGTTGATTCAGATATTTCTGTTCCTGCACTGCTACTTTCTGTAGTTTGTTGGAGAGCTTTTTGTTCAGCTTTCTTCTGTTTCTGTCTGGCCTTCTTCTTCTGATTTTTCTTTCTTTTTGCATCTGTAGCCATTGTTATCTTAAAATGCTAGAAATGAAGTTGTATAAAGTCTATGTCAATGTATCTAACAGAAAATAAAAATAAATTAAGGAAAAAAAAAGGGACAGAGACACAAAACCAAATAAATATTAAACAAAATAGACTGTTTAAGTTTGTTAAGATGTAGTATATGTAACTATAATGGATATCTAACCAATGTAGATGTTTGTGTGTGTGTATTCTTTTTTTCTCTTTGTTGTAACTTAAGTATTTAATAGATATATATTTCCATATATATTATTATTTACCTGTCCTTTGTATTTCTCGTTACATTGAGAAAACGTATTTTCCACTCGCTCACTGCTTTTACGACCCAACTATTTTTTTTTTAGGACACGGATCACTTTTATACTTGGCGACACACTAATTCAATTTTTTATTGTATGCAATAATAATAAGGGAATTCTGAATATTTTACTCGCAATATGCATGTGAAAGATCGAGGTAATGCTATACAATACCATATTTCACAGAATAGTCAACAAGAAATATTAATATATCTATGACTTGTGAGACTACTTAAATTGCAAGTTACTTGTGAACTTCTTATAATTTTTATTTCTGTATTCTGAAGTCCACAGACTAGAAAAACAATTACATATTTTTTTTTCTACTAGTATTTTTAGTCTGATCTATTCTTGTTGATACATCATATCGATATATACACATACAGGTTGTTCTTTCCCTATAATTCATATTTATTATTCACTGTAGATGTATGTATGCATTACTATATAACGAAGAAAATACTGTACAGTCCGCCGCTAAACCCTCGATTTCTAAATAGTATGTAAGCGATGAGTGATGAGAATTTGTGAAGAAAAAAAAACTGAAAAATTTCAATCGATGGCTCAAGTGTAGTGCGAGGAGAAGGAGACAAGTTCAATACAGTAGTAATTAATAAGCATCGCAAATTTTAACTATATAATACAAGTGATACTTTTTATGATATTTTATTAACTTATTATTACATTAAAGAAAAGTAATTACAATACACTAAAAACTATCATCAAAATAAACAAGATGGGTCGTCGTGGAAAAGGTCCAAAGACCAACAAACAAAATTTAGTCCCTGAAAAAGAGCGTTTTGTACAATGTTGTGCAGATGTTACTTCTGAATTAACAAACTCTTTAACGACGTCATCAACAAGAGATATTAATCTAAATGGTCTTATTATTAAGTATTCTAAAAAATATAAGTTGAAACAACAACCTAGACTTACAGATATTATTAATTCTATACCTGATCAATATAAGAAATATTTATTACCTAAATTAAAAGCTAAACCAGTGAGAACTGCCTCCGGTATTGCTGTTGTGGCTGTTATGTGTAAACCACATCGTTGTCCTCACATTGCATATACTGGTAACATTTGTGTCTATTGTCCTGGTGGACCTGATTCTGATTTTGAATATTCTACACAATCGTATACAGGCTATGAACCTACCTCTATGCGTGCTATTAGAGCACGTTATGATCCTTATGAACAAGCTAGAGGAAGAGTTGAACAATTAAAACAATTAGGTCACTCTATTGATAAAGTCGAATATGTGGTCATGGGTGGTACTTTTATGTCTTTGCCTACAGATTATAGAGAAGATTTTATTACTAAATTGCATAATGCATTATCTGGGTTTAATGGTAATGATTTAGACGAAGCTATTAAATATTCACAACAGAGTGTTACTAAATGTGTCGGTATCACCATTGAAACTAGACCAGATTATTGTACTCCTACACATTTGGATGATATGTTAAGATATGGTTGTACTAGATTAGAAATCGGTGTGCAGTCTCTATACGAAGATGTCGCTAGAGATACGAATAGAGGCCATACAGTTAAATCTGTTTGTGAAACTTTTGCAGTGGCTAAGGATGCCGGTTATAAGGTTGTTTCTCATATGATGCCTGATTTACCTAATGTTGGAATGGAAAGAGATATTGAACAATTCAAAGAATATTTTGAAAATCCTGATTTTAGAACTGATGGGTTAAAGATCTATCCTACTTTAGTCATTAGAGGTACCGGTCTATATGAATTATGGAAGACAGGTAAATATAAGTCATATAATGCTAATGCATTAGTAGACTTAGTTGCTAGAATTATGGCTTTAGTACCACCTTGGACTAGAATCTATCGTGTTCAAAGAGATATTCCAATGCCTTTGGTGACAAGTGGTGTTGATAATGGTAACCTAAGAGAATTGGCCTTAGCAAGAATGAAGGATTTAGGTACTTCATGTAGAGATGTCCGTACTAGAGAAGTTGGTATTCAAGAAGTTCATCATAAAGTATCTCCCGATCAAGTTGAATTGATTAGAAGAGATTATTATGCCAATGGTGGTTGGGAAACTTTCTTATCATATGAAGATCCAAAGAAGGATATTTTAATTGGTCTTCTAAGATTAAGAAAGGCATCAAAGAAATATACATATAGAAAAGAATTTATTAATCAAAGAACTTCTATTGTGAGGGAACTTCATGTTTATGGTTCTGTTGTTCCATTGCATTCAAGAGATCCACGTAAGTTCCAACATCAAGGTTTTGGTACGTTATTGATGGAAGAAGCAGAAAGGATCGCAAAAGAAGAACATGGTTCTGAAAAGATTTCTGTTATTTCTGGTGTTGGTGTTAGAAACTACTATGCCAAGTTAGGTTATGAATTAGATGGACCATATATGTCTAAGATGATTTAAAAAAAATAAAAAATAAAAAATGCATAGAATTCTTTCGAAGTGAGAGAGTATAGTTTATATTTATTTATATATATATTATTATTATTATTATTATTAATTCTTTTTTTTTTCCCTATGACTGTTTTTTTAAAAATAATTTTAATTTTAGTTACAGATTATCATTTTTAATGTTTTGTTTATATAATGTAATTAGTTAGGACATTTAGCGATAGTAGCCAAAGCTAAAAAAAAAAATAAAACAGAAGTTGGCTATAATAAATTTTATTTTTCGAATATAAATAACTATATACAATATAATAATGTCATTTAAAAAATTATACTAAAATATTCAGTTAAAGTTAATTAATTTAAAGCCTCCACATGAGCGTTCGTTATATCTGCTGAACCTGCGGTAGCAGTAGCAGTAGCAGTATTAATTGATTGTAGTGTTTCTGTTTCATATGGACCCCAAAATTCTAAAGAATATTTAGTCGATATAGCAGAATCCTTTCTTACTAATTCAGGTAATAATCTCCATCTCCAAATAAATAAGAAATCATCATCAATACCAAGATTTAATACACGCAAATATTGTAAAAATACAATATAAGTATAAACACCCATACCAGTTAAAATATGCCACCAACCATGTAATTCTAGGAATGTACCTAATGGTAATAAAAGATAAGTTCTTCTAAAATATCTCCAAAAATTACATAAATGAATATCTAATTGCCATGAAATGAAACCTAATAAAAAGATTACAATACCTAAACCCATTGTTGTGTATAAATTTTTCTTGTCTAATTTATTTTTTGGTACTAGGAAATATGCAAAAGAACTTGAAATTGCTACGACTAAGCAATTTAAGAAGCCATAAAGTACTTGGAATATAATTGGAGATTGAGAGGCCATATAAAACCATGTTAAACCCGTTGTGAAAGATACGACAATAATACCGAAAAACCATTCTTTTCTCTTTGAGATTGGTCCTTTACTTGCTCTTAAAGTTTTCCAATCTAATTCACAAAATAATGACCAAGCTGGAGTAGATGTTGCATAAACCATTGGTAGTTCATCAAGTAGTTGATAACGATATTTTAAAGTCATATGGAAAAACCATGAACCAAATCCAACAAGAGCAAACATCATACCTATTAAAATAAATCTTGTTTCGAGACGATTTCTATAAATACAATATGTGTAATAGGTTGCCACTAAAATAAACATAAAATTCGTTAAAGTATTTGACCATTCTGCAATGTAATATGATACAACATAATTTTCTTCACACCAATCAATAATTGCTGTTGTATTACCCCAAAAACCTGATTGTGGTTCATCTGGATAAGGCCAAATTAATTTTCCTGTCATAATTATATGTTTGTATTCTTTTTTACTCTTACTTTAATATAGTATTGTATGCTATGGTAAGGTTAATTAAAATTAACACTGATGGGATGTAATAATATTAGTGTAGTTAAAAAACACAAAAATAAACTTGTTGATAATTGGAATCTAATATTTTCTTTATCCTTTTTATATATATATAATTTCTCTTCTTCTTTATAGTAAGCGAACTTCTTTAGAGTAAATTAACCTTTTTACAGAGGAAAAAATAAAAAATTAAGGAGTCCTTTTTTTTAAAACTTTAATAAAATAATATATATATGGAGAAAAGAGTATGATTACCTTTTTAAAACAAAAGGTAGTAAAAAATATAATGATACACTATATATCTGAACACACAAATATATATACTACTTATATAATATAAATATCTAAATCTTTCAAAGTTACAACCATATATATACTTTGATTTCCTCGAAAACAAATATATTTTGATCTCCTTAAAAAGATTTCATATCGGAAAGACAAGAACAAAGAATCATCATATCTATTATAATGAGGAATCAAGAGAAATCCATAATATATTCTGTTAAATGAACGAAGATAGTTTAAATATATATTGAGAGAGAGAGAGAAAGAGAGAGAGAGAGAGACTAATGACCGATACAATACCACCAATTCATTAACAAACAAAAATTAGCATTGTGATAGTAATATCTCTATAATTTACGATATTTAAGTATATTATTTTATTATAATTTGTTAATTAATCTGTCAATTCAATATGTAGAGTATTATCTTTGTTAACAGACAATGGAAGGAGGCAAAGCTTACAAATTTGAAATTTCTCATTCTTTTTTTTTGGTTTCTCGGACTATTTTATAATTTTTCTATTCGGGCTTTGTATGCATGTTTCTGAGAAGATTATTAACTGCTCATATCCATCCATCACGTGAACTTCCCAAGCAAAAAAAGGGGGCGAATTTGAAATAAATATATTTTAAGAGGATATTCGTAGAGAGAAACGCTTGTAGCACTATAGGAAATAATAGCCGGAGGTCGAAACCAACACATTAAATAGCTTATTGTTATTATTGAATGCTGTTAAATAGTTCAGGTCGATAAATGGTCGTTTAATAAGGTCAACGGGGGACCCTCTTCTACTTACAGACAATAATGAATGTTTAAGCCTTACTGTAATGGTTTTGAAAGAACCTTTTAGAAAAAAAGAAAATAATTTTATTGAAAGGCACAGAAGTAACTGAGAAAGACTCAGAAATTCTAATTCCTATCAATGTAATATTCTAGCAGCAGTTTACCTTCTAATACCTTCTGGTAAGTACGTAAGTATGTATATACACATGTATTTGTTCTTTCACAATTATTTATTTATCAAGATCACCATATCCGAACTGAACAAACTTACTTTAGAACTTACTACTAACCCTACTAAAATAATAATAAAAAAACCCGTCTCGAGGTCTACAATTAACCGTCTTTTCTGTTATTCTCATTCATTACAAATAAGTAGGTATCGGAGTTCTATTATACAAGAGAAAACAACTTTAGAAAAAGATTGATGGCATCTATGAGGCTTAGGTAGAAAAGGCAAAAAACACAAGTTTCAATACTTGAAAGTTCATAACCTTTCAGATCATGTCATTCTTTAAAGTTGGAAGAATGTTTTCTTCTGATTCATTCTTTACTGTTGAAACATCTTGACGAACAGAAACGAAATGTTTTGCCGCCACCCATAATAAAATTGTTTGCACACATATTTTTTTCGTCGCACTTCACTCCGATTACGTATTTCAAACAACTTTTTTATTTTTCCAGTAAATTTGCATTTCTCTTCTTCTGTCATTGAAAAAGAACGCGCGCGCACGCGAAAATATTTGAGGTCCTACGGGGAAATAAGTGTGAAAATGAGAAAATTTTATAAAAGTTATTTTTAGATTTTAGATGAGACTGTCAATTTTCTCTTTCTTTCTTCGCCGTTTTTTGTTTTCTTCAGGTTTTTATTTATTTTTCATCTCTTTAACAAGTTAAAATTTAGGCTAGAACATCTACATTTAATGAAACATCAAGAAACTAAAAACCTGTTTCGTAAAAACGAGAAGGCTGCTTTTCTTCTCTCAATTCACTAATGATCTACAAGAGCTAAATTATTCAACTATTGCTACGCCTTATGAAATAAAATGTATAATCATGAGTTAATCATACCTCTTTTATTTTCGTAGTGACAGAATCTAGTTAAAGAATTTTATATATCTTGTAATGTGACGTATTTACAGAAAATTTGAGGAGTATATATATATGTATAACTCATTGAGGAATTTCTTTCGTCATTTCAAAATATTCTTTTTTCTCTGTCTTATAATATACATTTTACTAACCCATCTCTCTCTCTCTGTTGATCTCTCTTGTTTTTATTCATTAACTTTACGTATTTTCTTATTGTTATATCCATATTTTTTTATACATTTATTACCGTGCCGTGTTAACGAGACTTATTTATTTATTTATTGATTTTTTTAATCAATTTTAATTTTTTCTCCTCATCGTAAATAATAAATTATTTCACCGATCTAGATCGTAATTTTGATTTTAACAGAAAAACTATTTATAATTTTTAAAAAGATTATTCTAATATAAACAAAAATAATTAAATTAAAATACGGCTGATTTAATTACTTTACAATACATATTAATAAAATATATTCTGTGGAAAATAGTACTCTTTTATTACAAGAGAAAGACAAACGCCGCACTAATTTTAATTAAGAAAAGTTATTGCATATACACATCCCTCCTTAAAATTTTTGTTATATTTCATACTTATACATTTTGGGAAAAGTACACACAAACACACATTCTGTTTCATTGAATAATAATAAAATAAAAAAAATGGGTAGACGGAAGATTGAAATTCAACCTTTGACTGATGAAAGAAATAGGACCGTTACTTTTATTAAACGTAAAGCTGGTCTTTTAAAGAAAGCTCATGAATTAGCTGTTTTATGTCAAGTTGATGTAACATTACTTATTATTGGTCCAAATAATACATTATATGAATTTTCTTCAGTTGATACAACTGATTTAATTGATCATTATCTTAATGATAAGACAATGATTCGTGAAATTAAAGGACCTGAAGATTTTGGAAATTATAAAAAAAATAAGAATGTTTATCAAGAAAATCTAGTATCAGATAGTGGTTTAATTGAAGAACAAATATCGAAGAAGAGAAGATTATCAATGATTAATAACAATAATTCAACATATTTAAGTCAAAATGATAGTGATGACAGCGATAGTAATGATAATATTAGTTCTAATACAATATCAAATAATTCAACTAGTCATACAAGAAATAGTTCTTTAGGAAGAAATAAAGGAAATACAAGAACATCAAATCATCAAAATGCAAGATCAAATGATACTAGTTATCTTTCTACTTCATTTCAAGAATCAAGTGATAGAGATCTCAAACATCATTTACAAAATCAAATTAAAGGTTATGGTATTCTATCAAATACGGGACATCAAATGATACGACAACCTGGCAATGATCAACAACATCTATCAAATAATGATCCATTAAATGATGAGATATCAAGTAATAAACCAGACGGAAATATGATTGGTACGCCATCTATTAATACACAACAAAATATTACCTCTGGTTCAGGAAGCACGCACTCTTCAGTATCACATAACGATACACATGAACAAAATAAGAAAACAGGTGCAAGACCAGTGTTAAGAGTAGAAATACCAAATAATAATGTCATCAGTAATAATGCAATTCAAAGTGAACCATCATCATCTACTGTATCTGTAACTACTGCAAATATTTATGGTAGTAATGGCTCATCTCAATATTTTAAGAAATTGAATAACGACGGGAAAGGTTTGGCAAATATTACTACTAAAATGGAATCACCAGTATCCGGAACAGGTAATGCATTGTCATTAGATAAAGGTAATGATTCATCAAAAGTCCCGTTGAAGGCCCCTAATAGTACAACTTTTTCATTTTCCAATGGTCTCCCTCCTTTATTTTCAAGTACATCTGCTGTACCACCATATGTTGCCACACCTTTACAAGGATCAAATAATGGCAATAATAATAGTAACAGCAACAACAACAACAATAACAACAATCCAATGAACTTCTCTGGAAATAACTCGAGCAGCCCTATTCAAGCGCAAATACTCCCCATACAGAAACAACTACCATCTAACCAAACACAACGTTACAACCAACAAATTCCATTTAATCCACCTCAGTTAGGGTCGGCTAGAATATTCTCCCCTACCGGAGGGTTAGGAAATGTAACGAAAATGGGCGTACAGGATCATATGATGAATGGCCCTCCAACAGGTTCGTTACCTTCCAAGTTTGCCAATGAATTAATGATGCCTTCCCCAAATGGATCTATATCAATGTTCCAGGATTGGAGTCTAGGATCGGGAAATAATGCGAATGGAGCTAATGGTCAAAATAGTAGTACATTGGGTGGAAATAATATGGCAAATAATACTGGAGGTATCTCTGGAACTAATAACGCAAATAATGGTAACCCCTTCCCTACATCAAGTAATGGCAACACTGGTCTCACACCGTACCTAAATGCCGGTCAAACACCTTTAGCCAACAGATTTTTCAATTTTGCAGGTGATGTGGTCAACGATGATTCTGGTGCTAATAACAGTATAAAGAACCTGAAAAAGGAAGAGTGATTAAAAAAGATGGCAGAAGGTTCAGCAGAAAGTAACCATATGAATAAAAGTTCTCATATATAAACTTACATATAATTAGATGGTTTATCTCTAAAAGCATATAATTAAAAATATTTTTATCTCATGTTATAGTTAATAGTCACTGCAGGTTTGTTTCTTTGTTGGACTTGCATTTACACCCATACATTTATATAACACCCACACATGTTACCTTTAAATTTAAAATTGTTTTTTGAAAAAAAGTTTTTGGCGAAAAACAAAAACAGATAGTAGTCCGGAAATTTCCTCTCACAAATAGCCTAGAGAAACACATTGGCTACCTTCAGTAAATAGACTTGGCCTCCCAGAACTGAGAATCTTGTTGCACAGGGGAAATGATAACTTTGTAGGAAGGGTGGAACCAGTAAACCAACTATGATCCAGTCTATTTGGCCCAACTGGTGCAAGGAAAAGTGGGCTCCTCATAGGCAGCTGTAACGTTTTACACCATTCTAATATGGTAGGTTCTGCGTCAACCAATATTGTTTGCATGAACTAAGCTACTAGTAAGTACCAAAACCCGTTACAGCAAGCTGGGAGCAATGGTGATAGTTTTGTTTCGTTAACTTTACCAATTGAATGAGACTAACCTATTCATCTCTTGTCTCCGAAGAAACAACGGTAGCAACATTGTAAAGTTTTCCAATTCCTCTCTAATTTCAATTAACAGTTAAAGATTTATCTTAATACTAAGTACATCAATATATATATATAAAGATTGCTAATTAAAATTTCAGTTTATTTAGTTCTTTTAAGGAAACCGAATCAAAACAGTAGAACGTATTAGACCAACATGAAGCTAAACATCTCCTACCCAGTTAATGGTACTCAAAAGACCTACGAAATCGATGATGAACACAGAATCCGTGTCTTCTTCGACAAGAGAATCGGTCAAGAAGTCGAAGGTGAATCCGTCGGTGACGAATTCAAGGGTTACACTTTCAAGATCTCTGGTGGTAACGATAAGCAAGGTTTCCCAATGAAGCAAGGTGTTCTATTACCAACTAGAATTAAGTTGCTTCTAACCAAGGGTGTCTCTTGTTACAGACCAAGACGTTCTGGTGAAAGAAAGAGAAAGTCTGTTAGAGGTTCCATCGTTGGTCCAGATCTAGCTGTTCTATCTCTAGTCATTGTCAAGAAGGGTGAACAAGAACTAGAAGGTATCACTGACTCCACTGTTCCAAAGAGATTAGGTCCAAAGAGAGCTAACAAGATCAGAAAGTTCTTCGGTCTAACCAAGGAAGATGATGTCCGTGACTTCGTCATTAGAAGAGAAGTTACTAAGGGTGAAAAGACCTACACCAAGGCTCCAAAGATCCAAAGATTAGTCACTCCACAAAGACTACAAAGAAAGAGAAACCAAAAGGCTCTAAAGATCAAGAACGCTCAAGCTCAAAGAGAAGCTGCTGCTGAGTACGCTCAACTATTGGCTAAGAGACTATCTGAAAAGAAGGCTGAAAAGGCTGAAATCAGAAAGAGAAGAGCTTCTTCTCTAAAGGCTTAAGTTTTTTTATTAAAGGTATAACTTCAATTCCAGATAAGAATTTGACCAATTAGTATTTGCATATGTCGATTCTTTTCTCTTTTTTTCCTTTTATTAAAACTTTTTATCTCAATTCTGGTGGTAGAACCATTTAATCTAATCTAAAACATTGATTGGCTTTCTACAAAATAAAAAAATATATATTATAATATCAAGATATAAAACAAATCTAATAATTTATGTAATTAATTATCATTATATATAATTATAAAAATAAAAAACGTATTCCAAAAAAAAAAGAACAATAATAATGACACTTGTAACTAATGCAAAATAGAATATCTAAGAATAAACTCAGAAGTCTTTAAGTATGATAGAATTTTCTTTAAAGGTTTAATTATAAAAAAAATAATATATAAAAAAAAGATCTAAACAACGGAATTTTTACTCAGATACTGTTTACTACCTCAAGGTAACTAATTCTTCAGCACTTGTTGGGTGAATGGCGACACAATTGTCGAAATCCTTTTTAGTAGCACCCATTTTAATTGCAACACCAAACCCTTGTAACATTTCAGCAGAAGAATCACCAACTAAATGTAGACCTACAACCTTCTCTTCAGGACCAGCACAGATCAACTTATATCTAGTTGGAGACTTTTCAGTCAACATAGAGTAATACATAGCAGTGAATTTTGTATTGTATATCTTCAAGTTCCCAGCACCATATTTCTTAACGGCAGCATCCTCAGATAGACCGATGGAACCTGCTTCAGGGTGAGAAAAGACTACACTTGGAACATTTTCATAATCTAGTTTATCATTCTTAAATTCTTCTGGACCAAACAGTCTATTGGATAACTTTCTACCTGCTGCAATTGCTACTGGAGTCAATTCGACATTACCAACAACATCACCTAGAGAATAAATGTTTGGAATGTTTGTGTTTTGATATTCATCTACAATAACTTGACCATGGTCATTCAATTTAATACCGACTTCATCGGTACCAATTCCTAATAAAGATTTACGTCCGACAGTCCAAATCAATTCATCGACATCTTCAATGATTTCACCATCATGATCCAAATACACAGTCAATTTACCAGTAGTTGAATTCTTTTCAACTTTTTGAACTTTAGATAATTTATGCACATTAATTCCAGAATCGACATAATGGTCAGTTACAGTATGTTGAATAGATTCATCGAATTTTCTTAGTACAGTTTCACCTCTGATGACTAAATGAGCATTTGAACCTAAACCATGGAAAACACCAGTTAATTCTATACCAATATAACCTGCACCAACAATGACTACATTCTTTGGTTGTTTATTTAATCTAAAGAACCCATCTGAAACAGTACCGAATTCATAACCTGGAATATTATTTGGGTGTACAGCTTGACCACCGGTAGCAATTAAGATATGAGAGGCAGAATAAATTGAAGTCTTATCACTATCTCTTTCTTTAACTTCAACGTTACCGTCTTTATTAAACTTAGCCCAACCGTATATATATTCAACACCTTCTTTAGTTAGATTTTTTTCATAAATACCATTCAATCTATGAACATAAGCATCTCTTTTCTCCTTAAATTGAGGCCAATTGAAAGTTAAATTCTTCTTTGACAAATCAAAATCCTGATATAAACCATATTCATTAGCTTGTTGTACTCTATTAGCTAAATCTGAAGCATACCACATAATTTTTTTTGGAACACAGCCGACATTGACACAAGTACCACCCATTGCTTTTCCTTCAATCAATAAAGTCTTAGCACCATATGAGGCAGCTCTTCTAGCGGAGGCAACACCACCTGAACCACCACCAATAACTAAATAATCGTAGTGCTTAATAATAGGAGCCATAATTTTTGTCTTTAGCATAAAAATGTAGAAATTTCGTAATATATGTTTAAATATATATATATCTGCTATATATATTCTAGTATATGAATTATATATTGGAACAAATAGAAACCAATTAGGAGATTAAGATGTAAAAAAAAATCTTCCCCTTAAATATTATCAAGTTTCCAATAGTTTTAATGATCTTCCAAGTACTTTTGAAAAAAAAAACACACATAGTAAATTCATTTCTAATTTTTCGATGATTACTAAAATAACGCAATGGAAAAGCCGCTTAGTAAGATATGTACATCTCGCCCTTAAAGAAATGCCCCAAATAGTTATGCAATGAGAGGGGGAATAATAAATGAGACAATTATGACAAATGCAAATGGATTAGTAAATAAATAAAAAGTTATGTAAATATGTAGATATTATAAATCCGGTAGGAATGATATGTGAATGCAAATATTAATGATAGTAAATTATCCCTCATTTATTTATTTATTTTCATTGAGCTCTTGTAGTCATTGTAGCCAATTCTATTACAGAATCAGATTCTCTGATTCCTAATGTTACAGCCGATGCGTCATCATCATCATCGGCATTATTATGTTGATTATGATTGTATTCCCCATTAGCGGAATCCAAATGACCGTCGTCTTCGTCTTTCGTTAAAGATTCTTCATCACCAACAACAGCTTGCTGATCCATAGACTGTTGTTTATTCAATTGATGTCTTAAATAAGGAACACATTTAATGTAAATCGAACCTGCTAAACAAACAATTACCCAAACGACACATAATGTAGAATATATAGTTGAAACAACACGAAATGCACTTAGAGGTACATATTTACCATATTGTACCCAAACTTCTTTTGTTCCTAAAGCCATCGTCCCCATTGGGAAAGTCATTGCCCAAAAACCTTTATGAAAAGTTAAAATTGTAATTTTTTTATTTGTCTTTGAATTTGATTCTTCTTTAACAGGTAAATATGAAATAATTGCAACAAAGGTAATAATTGTGAAAAAATATCCCATACCTAATAAAGCTAAAGAAGTTAATAAACCAAAAATTTTAAAACACCAAGGTATAAAAAGTGTTAATAATGCAGTTTCTGAACCCTTTGGTGCATTTATCGATTCAATTGCAGGATAATAATTTTCAACATAAATTTTAATATTATTTGTCATTAATAATATACCAAATGCACCTTGCCCCAAGGGGCCTAATACTAAAAACATTGTAAATACTTGTTGCATTTTTGGTAATTTATTAACGTAAAGATTCCAAAAAAATAATGTTACTAGGATACCGACAAATAAAATAGCATGTAACCATAATAAGAAACAAATAACCATTGTTAACAATTGAATATTTCTATTAAACGTAATTGTAAAAATATTAGTCATTGTAAAATATGCGCCTGATGCAGTCCCAACCACTAAAGGTATAACATTCATTAATAAAGTACTCTTTAAATTTTGTGTAGCAATCTTTTGTCTATCTGTGCCAACGGGATATTTATTTGCCCAATCTTCAGTATAATAATAATCTTGCCAAATTAAGAAAGATATTCCCCAGGCGGTTAACATTGAAATTGTAATATCATACCACCATAATATATAAATGAAGATCATTAATCTTTTTGAATTATTTTCTGAAATAATTGATGAAGTTTCAGTTAAATTTGTTAAATAATTAATAATTGTCACTAAACCCATTGGATAAGTACCCCAAAATACATTATGCATTAAATTTCTATAATAATGATTAAAATATCTATGCCATGAATAACGATTTGCGTACCAAAACATATGAATGCAAGCAAATAATTGTAAAAAAATAAATAAAAGACATGCAATTGCAAAAAAAATATATGAACATATTCTTAACCAGTGTGCTGGATATGGGAATGAATAAAGAATATCTGATGCGATACCTGTTCCCATTACCATAACAAAAGAAAATGGCTCAAAATGCCATACTACTTTCTGTATTGTTCTCATGTGTGTCGCTGTATGTATACATATATGTATGCATATAAATAATAATAGAATACTAATCTATCAGATTGAAATTAAATTTAAAATGTCAAATGACATATCGTACCCTTTATATATATGTACATATACAAGTGGTTATTAGTCAACAACTGTTATATCATCCATTTTAAAGTTTTGCGATGCCCCAAATGAAAATTATCAAAATATTTCATCTCTCTCTCTATTAAGTGAAGTCACCCTTATAATAATAGCTATCGAATAAAGCTTACTTGTTCTCCTCACTAATTTGTTTCTGTACACTCCAGCCCATCCCATCCTCTCCCGCTCTAACAAACTACTGCACCACTGCCACACACGCACGCTCTCTCTCGAATAAACGGATTATTCAGCAATGGTAACCGCCAACGCCGCCGCCGACAGACAGAAAGCAGAAATGTAATTAACGCGCAACGGCGCGTACAGAAAACTGAAAAACAACAAAAAAATCATAAAAACTTTGATAGTCAACAGAAACCTTTATTTCTCCGTCCAAGTTACTGCTCTCCATTCTGCCGGAACAAATCGGTGTTGCCGCACAGCGGGCCACTCCGACACATTCCGGTAGTACTCTCTATGTTCTGTTCCAACTTCACACTAAAAGCCACGTACGAAATACCACGTCATTCCCCTATCACTAAATTAACTCGTCGCTGCTATTAATGGTGACAATAAAAATAATATCTTTTTAGTACTATCAAATCTGCCTTCCCATGAAAACAGCCGCTCCAGTAACAACAGGAGTGACGACCAACCAACTGTGACACATTTTATTTTTCTTTCTTTGCTTTGAAGATGAAGTAACGTCTTGTGCTAATTAGTTACAGAGATAGAACGTTTTCCGATTGTTTGTTCATTTTTCCATACATAATTGTTCTTTTAAGTGTGACACATTACTTTTTTACCGGATAACAAACGCTGACAGATGAACATTTTTGTTTAATTACAAGTGCAAAGTGAAATAAAGTTAGAGCTTGTTCTAATAAGTATTTATGAACTTTGTCCGATGCTGCAAAGGAGCGGGGTCATATTGGCACAAATCCGTGAGCATCTTCTAGTATTTGATGATTATGATGATGAAGGTGGGAATATCTTCTTTGGTGAAGATAATCTAGATAATTACCTCGATACTGGTTTACTATTTTTAAAAGATATCGGGATTTTTACCTTATCGGTTAATATTAATATTTACATAAATAGTTTAGTAAGGTACATGAGATATACACTGCTATTACTCCCACTATTTCCGGTTTCGACATTGCACACTTAAATTATTTGTCGGAACGGTATTATAATATATAACAAGTTGTCATATATCGTTCATATGGCTAGTACTATAAAGAAGTTATATTATAGACTATACATGGACATCACTCTTAACGGTGTGAATGAGCCACATTGCCCAGTGGAAAATTGTACAGAATTTACTAGATATAACATCAGTGATATTTCATTTATCCATACATAAAAAGATAGGTCGCGCAACAATAATACATAATGCGCGCGTCGTTTGAAACCAAAAAAAAAATTAAAAAAATATTCACTTAGTACTAAGTTTGATGTGTTTCTCACCTTGATTTAATAAGAACACGCATTAGATATATATTAGATTTTGAAAAATACTCTGGTATACAATAATTAATTTTTTTAAAGCTTATAATAGTAATTGCCTATTAATAATTGTACTGGAACGTTATTGAACTATATCATCATCATCATTATTACTATTTTTGTTGTAAAAGAAAAAAAGTACTAATAATGTCTGAAGCTGTTCCACAAGGTAATCCACAAACTGCATTGGCTGTTGCATCTTTATTAAGACATGATAAATTATTAAAACAAAGACTTGGTCTCTTTCAATCACGTACAACAGAGTTTTTCCGTTATAAAAGATTTGTTAGAGCATTACAATCGCCAAAATATTTGAAGAAATCAAATAATCAACCAGATTTATATCCAAGTGCAACAAATGAATCACAAGCAAGATTAATTTTTATTACTTTAATTAAGTCACAAATTGTCATACCAGTGAAAAAATTACATTCAAATGAATTAAAAGAAAATGATTTATCTCCAAATAAAGATTATCCACATCTTTTAATGTCAAAACAAGCACAATTAACTCCAGATGAATATTATGTTTGGAATTATAACCCAAAATCTCTTTGGGATTATGCTACTGTCGTAGCTGTCGTTGCAGGTATCTTAGCTTTAGTTTGTTATCCTCTATGGCCTGTCTCTATGCGTAAAGGTTCCTATTATGTTTCATTAGCCGCTTTAGTATTCTTAGGTGCATTTTTCACAATAGCTATCATTAGATTAATATTATTTTTAACCTCATTAATTTTTGTATCTGGTGGTAAGACTCAAGGTTTTTGGATCTTCCCTAATTTATTCGAAGATTGTGGTATCTTAGAAAGTTTTAAACCATTATATGGATTTGGTGAACAAGATTCTTATAGTTATATTAAGAAACAGAAAAGAATGAAGAAAAGACAAGCTAAAAAGGCTAAATTGAATGAAAAAAAATGATATATTAAAACATTTTATACACACTTATATACATACATACGTAGTTTCATCAATGTTTCTATGTTTTTTTATTATACAATTTTATCTATCAATTATATATTATGTATAGAGAGAAATTTATTTACCATCTTCACCACGTTGTGCAGTCCATTCAGCTGATCCACTTTGTCTGCCTTGAGTAGTGGTACTGGTAGTGGTCGAAGTACTTCCTTTAGAATCACGAATCCATTTTAGTTGTTCAATAACATCACGGTTGTACAATGAATATACTTCATCATCATCTTTATTATGATTTCGAAGTTGACTAGTAAAAAATTCACAAAGTTCGAATAATTCTTTTTCAGAGATAGCTGTCCTTGGTAATTGATTCTTAATAATATACCGATGACTCACATCAGTTACACCATCTTTATTGAATGCTATACAATAACTCATTTTCTTATTCCAATTGATTGAATAAATAAACGGTTCATCAAAGGATGCTTCACAGGAATCTACATGTATCCATCTTTTCAAATTTGATGAATAATATTCACACCATACATGATCTTCCTTATTCCATACATACCGAGCCTCTAACCCAAATGATCTTAAAATTAAAGTAAATACATTACACCATTCCCCGCAACGACCTTGCCTAGTCTCTAAAAGTTTTATTGGGTCATTGTATCTTGGGAATCGTGTCTCCACTTGACAATTCTGACATTCATAGACTTCAACACCACTACAATCATATTGAGATTCCATGTTGTTAGGGTGATCACTTCTCTTGAATTGCCGAGAATCAATATTTTGGCATTTTATACAGGGTGGTGCATTGACCCATTTGAAAAAATCATTTTTGAAATATCTTAATAATTCTTTTACTAAATTATCAGTATATTGTTCCTCATTTTCTCGAGTCATTTCGTCAACATTCTTATAAATTAAGTCGATATCCAATGTATCCATTACTTTTGAATGCCAATCGGGATTCTCATAGACATGGCATAGCCGTACGCTATTACGAGCCATCTCATTGGCAAACTTATTACTTGAAATTACAGACTTCATTTGGGTGATGAATCGTTGATCAGTACCTTCTTGATGATAATGATCGATCACTCTCTGTTTATGTCTTGGGAAAAATGACTTGGCCACTTTTTCGAAAACTGTAGAATCTTCAACCATTTCTCCAGCTACTGATGTGTTTCTTTATCTAACAAGCTCAGTCCTCAAATCAAAAGCAAAAATAGAATCTCACTGTTCACCCTTTATTTAAAGCTTGCCTTTCCTTGACTAATACACGTTTGAATTTATATGATCCGCCCCTCTAAACTCAGTGGTTGATATTTTTTTTTATTTTCTTTTATATTTTACGGACTCCGAAAGTTTCTTAGTCTCAATCTTTAGCCTATAAAATAATAATAATAATCATAATACATGTCATACCAACTAAAAGACAAATGATGGGGCTATAATTATTACAACGAGAATCTAAATATATATTTACAAGTTGGTTAGATATATACACATATATAACAATGTTCGTTTATTCTATTGTGTCATTTGAACCACAAAACATTTCTGTTTCCCTATTCTAATTAACAATACCTCATTACCAATTAAATATTGGATCCAATCAGAAGTATTCTTCTCCAGACGGACTCTATCTGGACCCAAATAAACACTGCCTTGAACTACCTTACGCTTAGCCTCAGCTTTCGAACATTGCATTAGTTCCGAGACCAAGGTCGTCAAATCAGATCCTTGACTAGCTTGTTTTAATATTCTAGCGCCACTGAATATTCTAATCAACTCTTTTGAATCTTCAGTAATCGTACTATTGCTAAACAGAACTCTCGAGATTGTTTTAGCGTCTTTAGCTTTCTTCGTACCATGAATCAATTCTGTGACTTCCTGGGCAAGTACTGATTGAGCATAATGCAATTGTGGCGCATCGTTATGTTTCTCCACCACCTCTGAAATTTTGTTTATTGGCATTAAAGTAAAAATCTTTAAAAATCTTTCAACATCTGCGTCAGTAGTATTCAGGAAAAATTGATAAATATCGTATGCCGTGTTGATTTCTTCATCTAGGAAGATGGCATTTCCTGCACTTTTACCAAATTTTTGTCCATTAGAAGTTGTTAATAAAGGAACAGTAATAGCAAATGGTGGATTTTTCTTCACATTAGAAGAATTTTGTTCCACTCTATTGATTAAATCGATACCAGCTGTGATGTTACCCCATTGATCATTACCACCAATTTGAATAGTAGTATTTTCATTCTTATATAAGTGATAAAAATCATAAGCTTGTAATATTTGATAAGTAAATTCATTAAACCCGAGGCTTCCTTGACTTGATAATCTTGCAGAAACAGAGTCCCTCGATAACATTGATTGAATTCTTATATATTTTCCGTATTGCGCTAAAAATTCAATCATTTTCACATCTTTCCACCAATTATAGTTATTTGTCATCGTGTATACACCTGTATTCTTATTTTCATCATCATTAGATTTATATTTATTTTCGTAATAAGTTAATCCATTTTGAAAGAATCTAGACAATTGTGTTGTAATACGGGAAACATTATCCAATCTAGTATCTATACTCATGGTCTTTCTCTCTGTCGATCTTCCACTAGGGTCACCAACTGCACCTGTAGCACCACCTACAATATTTACAATATCATGACCCCTAACATAAAAATTTAACATAAGCATCATGGGAACCAAATTACCTAAATGGATAGACTTTGCAGTCGGGTCCACACCACAGTACATTTTTAGTTTATCACCATTTTGTACTTTCGAGACAAGTACTTCTTCAGGTGCTGATACCTGTGATATTAAACCTCTTTTCCTAAGGAGATCCAGTAAATTTGTTCTTGTTTTGTTACTGGAGAATCTTTTTAAAACATTTCGACTAACATTCGGAAAGTACCCTACTCTACTTCCCACTGAATATGTCAAAGATAACATTGAGGAGAGCAATCTAATATTCTTATGGATTATCGTAATATATTTATCACGAATTGTTGGTAAGAGTAAACCGTTTACATATAGATGACTGTCCCACTATTATTAGCCTTTGAATATTTTTTATTTTATTTAATTTCTCCGTGCTTTTAACTATGAAGCGTTTAATATATACTTATATTTATTTGGCAATGGAATCTAACCAATATGGTGTTGCAATCAAAGGTTTAGGTAGTTCGAATTAAGTTCCAATAAAACAGGGAACTATCATCAGTTAAAAATATATACGTACAAATTGATTACCTTTTAGTAGATGTTACAAACCAAATTTCCATCCAGTATTAAGAAATTGGGATTATTTGCGCTTAGAAGAAGTCATATTAGATATTATACAATAGGAAAAACCGAACATGACATCACATCGTTGGACGATTTAGTTAAACTGGAATCGTTAGATAATGTAGACCCAACCTTAGTTCAGAAGCTTATAAATGAAAAGACAACAGAGTTAAATCTGAAAAATGAGATTAGAAGATTAAAAACCATTCAGGAACAAAGAGAAAATTCAGTCACATCTAATAGGCCAGTTCGACTCGGGGACTTCAAGAGAGCAGGTATCATGTTTATGTTAATGTGCTCTTCTGTGTATTTATGCTGGCAGTTATTATGGTGGAACCTTGCTTATAACTCGAAGGAAGTAGAAATGTTAGATACAGTGACGTCACTTGAGAATGAGTTACATGAACGTATCGAGATAAATAAAATTGCTGAAAATGAATTGACTCAGGAGAGTCCATCCCGACCTGTGCAAAAAAAGTCATGGGTTTCCAGATGGTGGAAATGATACAACACATTACATGCCATCGTATCTCCAATCTAATATAAGTATATAAGTAGTCATACATTCTTTAAATATTATCATTATTCATTATATCCTTTGTGAACTTTGACAGAACATTGATCATTCATATATTTGTTCAAGACATAAATGGGATAGTTGTCCGATACAAAACATAGAAGTAATTATCAGTCTTTTCATACAAATGTGCTAGACTTAGATAGTATACATTCACCAGGACTTGAAGGGATTGCATATATTAAAAACATACCATCATTCCCTATAACATATACCTCCTTAGGATATTCATTTGGAAATCCGATACAGTGTTTTGTGTTTTCTTTTACATTAATATGAGCAAAATCGCGACTAATGCTTTGATTAGATATGGAAGCTTTAATCTTTTTCGACAAGAAGCTGGCAAACTGTTTTGGTCTTTCTGCTGAGTTTTTCAAACCTGATGAAAGGCTTGATGTACTTACTTCATTATTTTCTTGTTCTATGTGTGTTGAATTACCATTTTCTAGGACTGGTAGATAACCATCCACATTCGGTTGTGTTAATGAGAACAAATGAATTGTATCGGTATCACCAACACATCCCACTAATGTTGATGTCTTATTGAATATTAGTTGATATATGTTTGAAGGTCTGGTACCTCTTCTGAATTCGTATTGAAGTTGTTTATTTGATGTGAAAGTCATGTCGACGCCTGTACTAAATACTCTCACTATAGTGCCCTTTTCTGAAGCTGTAGCTATAAGTTTCCCGTCATGGTTTATAGCTAGACATGATATATTTCCTTTATGTACATTATTGATATAATTTATCGGTTTCACATTCAATGCATCATATACTACTATATCCTTTATTAAATAGGATCCAGGTTTACTATTCGACATACTGAAAGAAGTATAACATAATATACTTCTATCGTCATTACTCAAGACAATTCGAGGACGAATTTTACTGGTTAAAGAATTTCTCCTCTTTCTTGAAAATTCACTCCTTTGAAGGTGTGCATTGGCACGTTGTGAGGCCTCTGCGGAGTTAGCTGTATCATTTGTCGAGTCTACCTTTGGAGTTTCCCATAGGTCAATTGTCTCTAGTGGTTTCATGCAGGATATATCATAAATAAATATTTGTTCATTTTCTAATAAAATGCACATTCTCTTTCTATTCATCGCAACATCTACGATTTCATGAGGAAATACAAGCTCACATATTATAGTCTTGCGTTTAGTGTTAACAATTTTTAATCTTTTGCTTTTTATGGGGCCCTGGTTTCTATCACAAATAGCCACCAGACTAGTGGAAAACAACATTTCGACCACAAATCCGTCATCGTCAGTAACTGCCTGTTTAGTATTATTCTGTCTTACTTTGTCAATCGAATTCCCTTCATCATCTTCTGTTCCACCGAGCATCATATTATTGGAATTGCTATCCCCACTGGTATTTTCGGTATTATTACTGTTATCCTGTCTTGTATTGAATTCGAAACATTTGCCAAATGGGTCACAATTATAGATGTTTACTGTGTCGTCAGATGGTGATATTACACAACAACTAGCATCCTGGTTAAACTGTAATATCTTCATAATTTTGAGCTTAGGTTAGTCGTAGATCAATACTCGATTAAAACATATATTTTTCGATGTTACTAACTCGGTACAATACTTGAATTACATAACGTCTTATATGTGAATTACTGGCAAAGATATTATTGCTTATTTATTCATTCTTTATTTTTTTGTTACTTCACCCTTTTTTTTTCGTCATATTTTTCTTTTTTAGTTTAGACGTCGTATGGCGTTGTAATGGTACAATTAAAGAATGGACATTTTGATAGAAGACAAATTGAATATTTTACAATAGATAACCTATATATATATATATAGCAACCTAGATGAAAATTTATATAACTATTCTAAAATGTCGATTTTCTTCAATAAATGCTAACTCGGTTAATATTCTAGGGAAATTTTTGTATTTTTTGGTGCAGTTGCACTTGAGTTTGAGTGGTTATGAGAGGTTTCATTTTCGTTCCCATGACTATGATCATCAGACCCTGGTTGCTTTGCATTACTGCTACTTTCAACATCATCAACTGGGATAGACCATTCGTCTACCTCAAATCTCTTCCTACCATTTCTGAAAGCCCATTCTGATTTCTTTACTTGCATCTCACCACGTTCACTAAATATTGGTAACTTAAGCACATGTAATAAACCGTGTTGCACCTTATTAGGTTGGGATTTGTATATACGTTCTAAGAATTGAAGCATATCTTGTGGGAATGGTTCTAAATCTATAACCGCATCAAAAAGATTTTCCAATTGGATACGTAATAATTTACTCAATATATCTGTTGAAACTGTTGCGAATAAGACACATCTATCCTCGTGAACTTTAACGATACTTCTTAGCCCATGAATCAAAGAGATCGATTTTGATAACGAGAAGAAATCTGGTTGATACATCGCTGGATGTAAGAAAGATGGGATGATTATTCTTATCAATTTATTTTTTTGTCTTTTAATTATTTGTTCAACTTGTGTCAAGATTGTACTAATAGGGAGGTTCGGAGAAATAAACGATATTTCAGAATTACTTGGAGCTGGCATAATTCGAGAGGTTATATCAAATTGATGATTATAATCTTTGTAGTCGTCATTCAATTCTTGTGTGTTGGTACTTTTCTTCGCATTTAATTTCTCTTTTTCTTCATCAGCTAACTTATATTTCCAAGCAATCTTAAAATCCTTATATCTAGATGGAGTGCTTTGTTTTTCAGTTAAATTCTGAACAGATAATTTCGATTGTTCTTCAGATATCTTGGATTTCTTAATATCTTTCTTTGAACCTTTATAAACACCAGGTAATTCTTTTGCAAACATTTGATAGAATGATAATACAATCAAATGAGTATTTCCATTATCACCACCACCAGTGATCTTTGTAGCACCTGTCACTCTATTGTAGACAATACCTTGTGCAGCGAATATTTTAGCCAATATAGAATTAAATTCAGTGGTTCCTTCTTCTTCAACAAGCATCGAATGCCCTAATGGTAAACCCATATGCGTCAGGACTTTATCCAAATCTTCACAACCGGTAGATGTGACAAAGGTCCCACTTAAAGGAGATGGTCTTATACCAGGATGATTCAATAATAGGCCATTCTGTTCATCATTGACAGTTGCCGTTTCATTTTGAGTAATAGGAGCTCCCGATGTAGTTCCATCAGACACTCTCATATTTTGCATCCTACCGGTAAGTGTTCTTGATTGTTGTGGAGTGGACATAGGGCCTCTGTTAGGTAGCGTTCTATTTGAATTTGCCATACCTGCAGGTGTCCTACCAGGAACTGTTCTGCCTGGGACAGCTCCTGGTCCACCACGGCCATTGTTTAATACTTCACCTCTCTTTCTAAATGACATTCTTTTCTCTTCTTGGGCCTCTAGTGTTGTTATATAATCAGGCGAAAAAGCACACACAAGCTCTGTAATTTACTTGAATACCCTTGATTAAAGAAGTTCGCTTTCTTAAAAGATTTTGATATCAAACACAACAACAAACAGTTATATATGAACTAACTCTTAACAAGGTTAAATATATTATATTTGCTTATAAATACTGAAATTATTCAAATGCGATGACCACCGCCATTATGCAATTGCCAAATCTGCCGGCCGCATACGCATAAAAAAAACTGAAAAATTTCAAGAATTTTCTGCTCATCGCCTAAATTCTAGATGTTGATACATAGAGAGGTTTGTACGAAAAGAAGTAATAGTTGAATATTTTAAGAATGGGAGTACTCGATTGACTATCATTTTAACTCTTTAATGAATATTATGATTAAATGATGAAATGACTGTTACTAATCCTATTGTAATTGAGATTTTAATATGAGCTCCCTGCACATAGTGTTTATTATGGCTTGATTCAATGTTCGCCCAGATAAAAAAAAAACGAAGTAATCAAAGGGGACCAGTAGAAAGCTTGTACTTTTTCTTATTGACTACCCTAAAGCTGGATAAATATGTTCGAACATATCCATATAAAGAGAGCGCAAACAGTCTAATCACAAACGGATTTTAGAATATATTCCCTATAAATATCTGTCCCGTGATTTTAGAATCTGTACATATCCCTTGAATTCTAATTACCACCTTTAAAGTAGCTGTAGTCATGATCAATGTGTCTCGTCTGACTCGGATTGCAAGAATAGGTTTACCCAGTCCCTCATCACTTATTTTAAAGGATAACTCGAGAATAATCAGAAAACATGCTCAGTATAGTAACAATAGTATAATAATAACACATACGTTTTCCAAGAGATTTTATTCTCAACAAACTAAAGCAGGAAAGTCATTTAATGATAAAGAGAAATCAAATCGAACAAAAAAGTTTTTTATTAGATTAGGATTTGGTTTATTAATTCCGTATACCTGTTATGCTGTTTTTGTCTCATTATCAGCATTTAGAGAAATTGGTATCAGAAACAAATTATTAATCGATGTAGAGCATGATGATCAAAATTTTGAAGGCACTTTATTGAAATATTCACCCTTACAGGTTCTAGGACGTTATGAAAATCCTTTCCCTGAATATAGAATTCAAACAGTTTATGAATTTTTTTTTAATAGAGTAGTAGAATTATTTGAACGTAATAGAGGTGGGATTCCTCCAGATCCTAGACAGATGGAGAAATTAATGCCAGTACATAAACCGGAATGGCCTGCAGGAATAGAAAACACTACTGAGCCATTGATTGAGTATAAGATAGTACATCGAGATTCTGCTGATTTTCGTGAGGAACGAAATGATAGCACGCTTAAATCGGTCGAGCTCGAAAATATTCCAATATATAATACATGGTTGGGTCAATCCTGTAATTACGTCATGTATAATGGATTGAAAATTATTACGGATCCAATTTTCAGTGAGTATCTGCTTCATGAAAATATTGGCCCTAAGAGAATTACTGGTAGACCTGCATTAATTACAGAGGTTCCTCAGCCAGATATAATTTTAATATCACATAATCATCCAGATCATCTTGATATGTTAAGTTTAGATCACTGGGCTGCATCGGACACGCTATGGATTGTTCCAAAGGGTATGGGGAAATTTATGAGAAACCATAATGTGAAAAATGTCATTGAATTGTCATGGTGGGATAAATGCGAATTAAGTAAAAATAATCAAAATTATGAAGTTGCCTGTACACCTGCAATGCATTGGTCAGGAAGATATGTATATGATACAAATCAATCGCTATGGTGTACATTTATGTTTTCTCACAATGATAAACCAATAATGTTTCATGGCGGTGATACAGGTTATGTGCACGATTTGTTTAAGAGAATTGGACAAAGATATGGTTATGGTGTCAGGCTAGCATTACTGCCTTGTGGACAATATTGTCCAGAATGGCATCAGAGACCAAGACATATTAACCCTACTGAAGTGATTAAGATAATGGATGATTTGAAAGCTAAAAATGTTTTGGGTGTCCATTGGGGTACTTTCTTATTAAGTGGAGAATATTTTCTTGAACCAAAGGAAAAATTGGAGCAATTGGCTGTATTTGCTGGCATTAGAGAAAATTGCTACTGCCCAGAACTAGGTCAAACTATTAGATTTGAATGAATATTTAAAGATATTAAAAAAAACCATGTATATGTGGTGGTTTGATTCTTTTTGTAAATACGAATATGTATAATAAATTTTATATACAGAAAAAGCTAAAAACGGTAGTAAATATCATTCAGATTTTAACTTCTTGCAGAATTATTTTCTGGATCACAGTTTATCCAACGTTTCTAATTTTAGTCACAATTTTTCCCACCAGATAGGTATTTGATATTGTATGGTTTCAATACACCTTCTTCGACAAATGCAGGGCTTTTAACCACTAAATCAACACCACTCACACTTTTCGGGAAAGCTAAAACATCTCTTATACTTTGTCTGTCAAATAACATGGCACACATCCTCTCAAATCCAATAGCGAAACCGGCATGAGGTGGTGTACCCATAGCAAGTGCATCTAATAAATGACCAAATAATTCTTTTGCATTGGAAATTTTGAGGATATTTTCGAATATAAAGTCCTGCAATTCAGGATCATGAACTCTGGTAGATCCACCACCTAATTCTACACCATTCATCACAAAATCATAATGTTGACCTTTTACTTGTAAAGGATGTTCTTTTAGTTTATCATAATCGTCAAGCTTGACCATGGTAAATGGATGATGGGTAGAACATAGTTTAGTATTATATTCAGGGTAGCTCGTCATCTTATTATTCTCTGAGACAACAGGTGAAAATAAAGGGAAATCGATTACCCATGCTGCAACGTCATTTTTAGTCTGGTAAAATAGTTCACCTCCCTTGGGTGTATCAAGTATTAATTGACGTAATCTACCCAAAGGTGTTGGGTTTTCAAATATGTGTGAATCTGGTTCACGCGATGAACCAAATACAATATCTCCCTTTTGAAGTCTTAGTGCCTTATTCAACATTATTGGATTTTCAAAAGTAGCGATTTCAGAGAACGAGTCAAACCAATTGGTCTGATCTGCATCAGATAAAATTGGAACACCGATAGGTACCCTGTTACTATAATCATCTCTTTGTAACAATTTACCCCAATTATTTTCGTAATCTTCCTTGGATTTCACAGCATTTCTTACAATAATTACTTCAAATATTGGAAAATCTAAATTTTGGTAACTATGGACATTAAACTCACGTAAGCTCATAATCTTCAAATCGGGGGCTCTTAAATCTGGTTTGTCAATCCCATATTTGGTCAGTGCATCTTTATATGTCATTCGATAAATATCGTTTCCAGAAGTTACTACCTTCAACTTACCAGAGGCATCTAGTGTCATTAATTGCTTATTTGAAAGAGGTGCAAATTTGGACCAAGTTTCATAAATTAGATTTTGAATCAGTTGCATAACATCTTCACCATTAGCAAATCCCATCTCGAGATCTAATTGTGTGAATTCAGGTTGTCTGTCTTTCCTCATGTCTTCATCCCTAAAACATCTGGCCAATTGAAAATAACGTGAGACCCCACCAGCAATTAACATTTGTTTATACTGTTGAGGACTTTGAGTTAGTGCATAAAATTTTCCAGATCTCGTTGGAACCAAAAACTCTCTCGCACCTTCAGGAGTAGGTTTAAAAAGAGTTGGAGTTTCAATTTCTACAAAATTTTCCTTATCTAATGTACTTCTTAGCAATTTTGATACTTCATTCTTTCGTTTCAATAATAATTGTTGGCTCCGTAATCTTAATTGTAAGACTCTGTATTCTGGGGGGTATACACCTGAAATTTTTTGGTCTTTTAGTTGAGCAGGTTTTTCATTAGATGCATTGAGAACATTTATTTGATTCAATTTAATCTCATATTCGTCGACGTTATCATCACTAAAAGCAGCTTTTCTCTTAGCCGACAGTTTCCCTTTTATTTGAAGGACGTCTTCGGCGTTTCTATTCTTTAATAGAGATTCCGAATCGACAAGTTGAATAGTGTCACCATTGGTATCACGTAAAGTTGCGAAAACTAGATTTTTTCCAATTTTTTTTGGTTTCTTATCAAGCCAACCATTGATAATAATATTTGAATCATCAAATTTGCTAGGATTCTTTATAATTTGTTCAACGGTCTGTGTATTTTTGTCAAATATAAATTTACTTTTTGTTAATTCCTTTTTTGGAAATACAAAGGATCCTGTAGATTGTAATAGTATACCGTATGTATGGAAATTCCTCCCATTTCGAAGGGCCCGTGAAGATGCAATCATATTGCCAGTAGCTGAATTGTAAAGTGCGCCACTCTATAAGCTGGATATAACCTAATTTGTCTTACACTTTTGCGTTCTTTTATCTCCTGTCTCATTTGCTCTCTCTCTCTATATATATATATATGTGTATTTATTATTTATAACCGAGTTTACTATGCGCTTATTATTTTTCCGTATATTTTAGAACAAGCACGACGGAAAATAAGGGGGCGCCGCTTTCATAATACGATCTCATTCAATAAGATCACATAATAATACCTCAACCTCGAGGCAAAAATTAATAAATTACATATTATCACATACTTTAAATACCAACTTACTAAAACAACAAAAAATAATATTTTATTAGGGTCTGGTTGTTAAACCTGAAAATTTCACAAAGTACAATCAAGGTATACATCTCTCAATAGAACCTATTAAGTTAGTTTAGTAATTCAACAGTCATTTCAATAAGTTTCTTTATATTGACAAGATGAGTTTCCCAGTAGGTATAGATTTTGGTAATATGCATTCTGTTATTGCAGTTGCTAGAAATAATGGTGTCGATATACTGATTAATGATGTCTCAAACCGTAGTACGCCATCGATTGTAGGCTTTGGAGAAAAGCAAAGATATATCGGTGAAGATGGTAAGACAAAGCAAACTTCGAATGTTTTGAACACTGCAGATAATCTGCAAACATTGCTTGGTTTAAGATTTGGTACAACAGATTTTGACCGTGAAAAGATGTATATGAATGAAAGTCTAATTGAATATTCTGATGACTTTGTTGGTATAGAGGTGAATTATGCGGGTGCTTTACAACAATTTTCATCTACCCAATTGGTCGCTACATATTTGAACCACTTAAAAACAATTGCATTAAACGATATGAAGTCTGAGATTAAAGATATCTGTATTTCCATACCACTGTGGTACAATGAAGAGAAAAGAGTAGCTTTAATGGATGCCTGTAAGATAGCTGGGTTATCAAACGTTACATTGGTGGATTGTTTAACAGCAGCAGCAGTATTTTACGGGTTAACGAAACCAGACTTACCTGAGTTGAAACAAAAGGCCAAAATTGTGGGTTTCTTTGACAGTGGTCACGCTACAACAAGTTTTGCTATTGCAGCCTTCCATCAGGGGAAGTTGAAGATCTTGAGTTCAGCTTTTGTCAAAGGTTTAGGAGGTAGGGATTTTGATAGAGCAATTACTGAATATATGGCCGAACTCTTTGTGAATAAGTATAAGATTGACATTAGACAAAACAAGAAGGCTTATTTCAGGGTGATGACTCAAGCTGAAAAGTTGAAAAAAGTTCTGTCAGTAAACCAATCGGGGCAACTGAATATTGAATGTTTAATGGATGATATTGACGTTAGTGCGGAATTGTCCAGGGAAAAATTTGAAGAATTGATTTCACCAATTATAGTTAAAAAGTTAGAGCAATGTATTGCTTTAACTTTCAAAAGGGCCCACGTAGAAAGTTTAGATGCCCTTGAATTACTAGGGGGTAGTACTCGTGTTCCACTTGTCAAAAGACTGATCGAGGAACACACTGGAATTAAATTATCCTCAACATTAAATCAGGATGAGGCCGCTGTTAAAGGTGCGGCATTGATTGCTGCCAAATATTCATCAACTGTGGCATTAAAACCAATTAAGTTTAGAAACATTTTGGCCGAAAATATCACTCTATATTGGGATAATCCTATTCCTGGAGGGCATGACTCCTTGGAAGTTTTTTCCAAGGTGACACACTACCCTATCACGAAATCGACAGTTGTCGAAGTTTCATCCGATTTTACGCTTGCAGCACACAATGGAAAAAGGCATTTAATGAAGAAAAGTATCTCTGAGATCAATCATAACCTATTAGGGCTTTGGAAGATTAGTGGTATTGATCCAAAAAAACATAAGGGTAAAAAATCAGAAAAGATTTATGTTGAATTAATTTTATCTTGTGATGTTTCCAAATTTCTTCATATTGACGATGCCTATGTCATCGCTAAAGATTCAAACCATTCGAATGATAAAGAAAAAGGTCATCCTAATTATAAGAGAATCGAACGGTTAAAGGTTGAAACTTTACCAATTTCAAAGAACCAAGATAAGATTGTTAAATGGTCTCAACTTGAAACTATAATGATTAAGCAAGATCAATTAGTAAAGGACACTGAAGAAATGAAAAATGAACTCGAATCTTCGATATATTCTTTACGTTCAAAAGTGGAAGGTGTATATGCAGAACTTCTACGTTCCAAAGAAAAAGACTATGTATTAAATTTACTTGACGAAACAGAAAATTGGTTATATGACGAAGGTGAAGATGCTACCATAAAGGAATATAACTCTAAATACCAAAAAATCAAACAACTTTCAAATGAGATCAGCACAAGGCAATGAATATATGATGTAAGAATATATAATTAAATGTTTGAATGTTTATATGTATGTTTTTACAAGACCAGTTTTTTTATACAGTTTTATTTTTATTGGCATATTCTTCTTCTTGTTTTATTAGTTGAGCTAATAGAGGGTTAGCCCTTCTGCGCTTTATTTTATTTTCTTTTGCTAAAATATGTTTTTTCCTTTCAAATTCTGCAAACGCTTTAATATGTACCGGTACATCGCCCCAACCGTCATCTTCATTCTCAAGGATATCTTTCTTTGGTGTAGATGAATGTAGTTGTTGATTCTTAGCCCTAGCTTCTAATACGGCTTTAGGTAATGGACTTTCTCTCTTTGGGAATAATGATCTAACTTCATCCCTCGATTTCATTTTCTTAGTTTCAACTTGTTTGTCCATTTTAAGCTTCTGTTTTCTCAATACACCAGGTACATTTTTCATTGGTATTGCAGTTAAAGGTGGATCCCAATCAGCTGGCCAAATTTCATTAGACATAGCAATGTCTTCGGCTGCTAATTTTCTCTGCTTTCTCCAATATCTGACATCATCATTATAAAGCTCCCAAACACAGTTAATGCATCCCGACATACAACAGTTATCTGGTTCTTGAGGTTTCATCGGCACATCAATGCCGGCAATTTTTTTACTTTGTCCAACTATTATTCTACTGGTTGATTTCGGTGGTTCACCTTTCAATCTTCCCCCAAATATAGAGCCCATTCTTTCTTCTTCTGTTTTCCCTATTCCTATTATATTTCCCTCGAATAACATTTCTTGTCTAGGAGAATTATGAATACATCTATTAATGACGCCAATCTTTGGCGAATTCATGTAAAGTCTTACTATCGGACTATATATTCTAGTGAGCATAGCTAAATGTAGTATCTTATAGTATTCGTTTCAAAAGTAGATATATACGTATATGTATGGTTGTAGTTTATTAGTGTATGTATAAACTCTTTGAGTTATAAAAAATTATTAATCTAAATTTTTGTAGTTTGCTTTATCTCTTTAACAGTTTTCAATTATTTTTGTTTTATACTCCCTTTGTTAATTACACCTGTGTTACGAGGGTCCTCAACTGAAATTTGTCGGTCAAAAACCCGACATAATGCATTATTATTATACGGCGAGGCAGAACGCCAAGTAATACGAAAATATATATATAATATACATAATGACATGAGATGAAAATAAGTTAAGCAGAGAGTAGTTTCCGTTAAAACCTACACTTCCATAACTTGTTTGAAACTTTTATCATTTAAACATTTTTTGATTACCTTTCAATTCTTTTTTTATCTTTCTTCAGTAGTATTCGTTTATTAAGACGGGTATCTCATATTGATTTATTCTCTATAAGAGTAGTACATTTCTTTATTACATGGTCGAGTTCATCAATTTCTCTTTTCATCTTTTTCTCACTATATTGTAATGTCTTATATTTTTGTTCGATTTCATTGCATGCTTTTAAACATATTAAATAATCACGATTATAATACCACCGATGTATGAAACCCATCAATAATAATCTATTATGTTTTATTTCTAAATCCAAAGTGTTTAACGAATTTTCAAATTTTTCATTTGAATCCATCCAGCCTATCGGAGTCCATGTTGGACCTTTCTCAACTTCATAAAAATGTTGTAATTGTTCTTCATATTGCTCCAATGATTGACCTTTTCTAATACGTTTTTTCCCTGTGACCGTTTTCACTATTACTTCCCCAGTATTAGAATCTACCGTGATAGGTTTAGTTATAGATTGATTAGGTATACCGTTTTTACCATTAGAGATTTTATCATTTGAAGAATTTTTTTCAATGGATACTTTTAAATCCTTAAACCCAGCAAGCTCCTGTGACATCGTATGATATTCAGAAATATTTCTATTATACGGTCTTACGTAGAATATCAGCACAGGAAAGACGAGAGCAAAACCCTATTATTCAAAACGTCTTTTAACAAATTGTTTTCATTAACCGATGAGCTTCCATCTCTCTTAATATATCATAATTAATTATGATGATCTCGCATATATATATGCAACTTCGCTAAGTGAACGGACTGTAATTTTCTTTTCTTATATGAACGGTTTTAGACGTTGCAATATTTGTTACCCTCTCTCATAACCAATTATTTTGTTTTTCTGAAATCACAACGCGAAGGGAAATGTCCGAATCAGGAAACACGGATAACACTAAACATCCCGTAGAAACAATGAATTATCAACATAAAAAAATTAAAAACATAAAGAGAACAAACAACAACAGCGAAAAAAAAATGACAAATGATAGATTTGATTGTATTGACGGGTAAAAAGAGAAGAAGGCCACACATTTTTGAGTTATTGGAATTGTTTCATTATTAGAAAGATGTGAAAGAAAGAGAGTAAAAAGGAGATCAAATTGAACTATTCCTTTATCTTTGAAAGAAGTGCAAACTTTTAACCATTTAAGGGTCGCTATATTAGTGTATTTTCTGATATTAAGCTATCTAAAGTGATTATATTTTATCATTTCTTTATTTGTTCATTTATTTCCAGTTATATACGAAATTTATAAACTAAAGATAGAAAAAGATAAGAACAACACAGCAGCATTCTCATTAAGCAAGTGTGTGTTTTTAATTTGAATTCCATTTTTCATTTCATCATTCCAATTTTTTCTCTTCTAAAAGAAGTCATTTGCATTTAAAAAAAAATATAAAATAAAATAAAACATAAACTATATTTATTCAAAATGGGTAACTATTTCAGTTCTATGTTTGATAAATTATGGGGTGCAAATAAAGAGTTGCGTATTCTAATTTTAGGTCTAGATGGTGCTGGGAAGACTACAATTTTATATAGATTACAAATTGGAGAAGTTGTCACAACAAAACCAACTATTGGTTTTAACGTTGAAACGCTGAGTTACAAAAATTTGAAATTAAATGTATGGGATCTTGGTGGTCAAACTTCCATTAGACCATATTGGCGTTGCTATTATGCTGATACAGCTGCCGTAATATTTGTGGTAGATTCGACAGATAAAGATCGTATGAATACTGCATCACAAGAATTACATTTAATGTTACAAGAAGAAGAATTACAAGATGCTGCATTATTAGTTTTTGCTAATAAACAAGATCAACCTGGTGCATTAAGTGCATCTGAAGTCTCGAAAGAATTGAATTTAGTTGAACTAAAGGATAGAAGTTGGTCCATTGTTGCGTCAAGTGCTATAAAAGGTGAAGGTATTACTGAAGGTTTAGATTGGTTGATTGATGTTATCAAGGATGAGCAACTTTAAGAATTTACATATTTTTTATGAATAGATAGGCTCGCATATATCATACAAGCAATGTTAATTGTGATATATAAATATATATACATAGGGGAAACTAAATTAAGGAAAAGGGTTTGTCGTATGTTATAAGAATTGCAAACATTTAAGAATACTAAAATAAACTTTGAGTTTTACATTAAATAGAAGATATTGTACATTATATATTTATTTTACTTATATCACATAATGAACATTAATTGTATTATTTTGCAATGTTGCTGTATATTTCAGTGAAGCAATACTCATATTAAGTTTTTATTGATAGAAAAAAAAATAAGGGTCCAATTAAATATATAAAAAAATTCGATATTCCCATAAACAGCTAATAAATATATAAAAAAAACATTTCAATATAAAATGGATTCAGGGAGAGAGAGAGTGTATTACCAATAGGATGGTTTTACATTAGTATATATATCTATCTATATTACTAAGATGTTTAGACCGTTTGCATTACGCTCGTGTAACTACAATGTATCCTCTAAATTATCACAATTGTCGATCAAAAGATATTCTTCATTCCTCATAAGACCGTCAAGTAAACAATCTCGATATATTAACCATAAGATATCTTTCTATATATTAGGTACTGTTGCAGTATCGACATCATTATATACTTGGAAGTCTAATATATTGATTTCTAATGATCAAATTGGAAGTACTGCGGCAGATCATTTGAAGGGGGACCCAAGAGCAGACACATATGAAATGGGTCTATATTTGGCATCACAAGAAGAACAGAGACGGAATCGAATCAATTCAAGAAAGGAAAGGCTAAAGAAAACTAAATCTAAATTATATAGATTGATTTTACGATTATATTTTGCATTTGATGATCATATATGGGTTCCATTATCAATAACTTATCGTTTCCTTGAAATTACAATTTTTATCCTACCTATCATAGTATCGTTTCCAATAGCATATTTCCTGTCGTCATCAATTAATACTCAAACATGGTGGTTTACTATGATCAGAATGGTGTTACAATCATTAGGTCCGAGTTTTATTAAATTAGGACAATGGGCAGCTTCTAGGACTGACCTTTTCCCAAGTGAATTTTGCCGTATTCTTGGTAATTTGCATAGTAAAGGGAAGCCACATTCGTTTAAATATACTGAAAAGGAATTGTGTGGTTTATTCCAAATAAATTCCTTGGATGAAGTTTTTGAAACAATCGATAAGACCCCCGTAGGCGTAGGTGCAATAGCGCAAGTATATATTGTTAAATTTAATGAATCATTCACAAAATATACTGATGGGAAACAATGGTTTGCTTTGAAAATATTACATCCACATGTACTAGATAAAATATCAAAAGATTTGAAAATTATGAAATTCGGTGCAATGTTAATTAATTTCATACCAACAATGGAATGGCTTTCATTACCCGATGAAGTGAGCCAATTTTCAATATTAATGAATTTACAACTTGATTTAAGAATTGAATCATTGAATTTAAGAAAATTTAGAAACAATTTTGAAAATAATCCAAGGATAGAATTCCCAGAACCGTTATTAAAATTTTCAAACACGAATATTTTATTCGAAGAACATGTAGAGGGATTACCGATGGAATCATTTTTAGAAGTCAAAGATTTGATAACAAATGTTTCACTTTGTAAAAAAGTTAGTGATCCATTTGTTGATGCTTTTTTAAAGATGTTAATCTTAGATGATTTCATTCATGCAGATCTACACCCCGGGAATGTTTTAATTAAATTTATTAAAATGGATAATTTTCAAAAAAGGGTAATATCTGAAAATGATGAAAGTACAGAGATTGTGATTAAATTGAAACAATTGTATAAGGAAGATAAAGAACAATATGTGAACTTTTTAAAATCGGTGCTAATTTCTTATACCCCTCAGATTTATTTTATAGATGCAGGTTTAGTGACAGAATTGAATGATTTAGATAGAGTCAATTTTATTGATCTTTTCAAATCTTTAGTGAAATTTGACGGGTATCGAGCTGGTGAATTAATGATTGAAAGATCGAGAACACCTGAAACTGCAATAAATAGTGAAGAATTTGCTCAAAAAGTTAAAAAATTAGTCTCTACCATAAGAAATCAAACTTTCACATTAGGAACAGTTTCGGTGGGAAACTTACTTGATCAGATGCTTTCAATGGTTAGGGTGCATCATGTAAGAATGGAGGCAGATTTTGTGTCTGTAGTTGTTGCTATCTTATTATTGGAAGGTATTGGAAGACAATTAGATCCAAATTTGGATTTATTTGATAGTTCAATACCAATTTTGAGAGAATATGCAATGACACGTGAACGTCGTAGTTTATTAAGTGGTGCTAATACTTTCACTATGGTAGCATTATGGTTAGGCTTAGAATTGAGACAATGGATGAATCTTTCTGTTAAACAAATTGAATATCTCGTTAAGACAGATCAATTGTGTCCTAATTATTAAAATAAATTGAACTAAAAAAAACTTAAATAAACATCATTTCTTTTATATTATATTAAATAAATATAGGTATATATATTCTTAATTAAAAAAAAAAAAAAAACATTTTTAATAACACTATAGAAGTGTTTCACCTAAAGCACATCTAGCAATTGCACAACCTGCAGATATAGTATTAGTGACATGAATATCATCTACTGCTAGATTTGGATTGCATTCCACAATATCTAATCCTACTAGATCACCTGTTTCTGCTAATCTTTCAACTAAAAATAAACTTTCTCTTAAAGTTAATCCACCTCTAACAGGAGTACCAGTAGCTGGTACAAAAAGGGGATCAACAGCATCCACATCATAAGAACACATAACTGGACCGCTACCATTTGGATGAATTGCATCCAAAGCCATTTCAATTACCTTGTTAATACCATATTTATCCACATGATACATCGAAAATGCTGTGATGCCAAGATCTTTAATAATTTTCTTTTCAGCTGAATCAACATCTCTTAAACCTATGTAGGCTATCTTATTTGGTTTCAAATTACCTGGACACCATTTCAATGCATCCGGTGTATCTTCTGGTTTATTCAATCCCATCAAAAATGATACAGGACAGCCATGTAAATTACCAGAATCTGTACTTTCTAACGTATTAATATCTGCATGAGCATCGATCCATAATAAACCAGCATCAGGGTATTTTTCTAGAACGGCAGATACAGTACCAATTGCAATAGAATGATCACCACCTAAGGTTAAAGGGAAGCGATCCTCAGAAAGAACATCTTTGACACTATCATGAATTTTCTTACTGACTTCACCAACTAAATTTGGTCTCTTTGCATTCTTATAGAAATCGGTACCAGTATGTACTTTCAATTTTTCCATAATTTCCATCTCATCAATTGGCATTTCAACTTTAGTATTCCAACCAAGATCTTTTAAATCATTTTCTAACCCATTTTTTAAGAAATATCTAGGGCCTTTCTCGACACCTCCTTTACCTTGACCGCCACAAAATGGTGCACATACAATGGATAATTTCTTGTCCTCGAAATATTTAAAAGATGGTTCTTCGTTTATTGTATTGCCTATGCTCATTGTTTAAAAAAAAAAAATGTGTATGTTATTTGTTTACTAAAACTTTTGTATGTATATTCAAGTGTTTATACTTCTTCAAGTTGTAGTAATAGATTGATTCATTTTCTTATCTCTAAAAAAATTAAAATAGAACAATGGAATACCTCAATCGAGAACAGACTTTACAAAAAAAAATATAACTGATTATCTTGGCCCTTTATATATGTTTTCTTAACCGCTGTCCATTGCACTTAACGGTTTTTACCAATTCATCACCTTCTTCTTTAACCCCTCTTCTCATCAATTCCTGAAAGAATCACTACTACTGAAGATATTTACTCACACAGACCAAGCGACGCATTCTTTGTTTTGTTATCAGAAAAGATAAAATAGCCTCTTCTTCTTTATCGCGGCAGAATCTTGTTAATGGCAGCAGATCGCGATTTTTTTTTTTTTCGTTAAGTGAAAGTGTTGGCGCCGTGCGTTTAAATTAAAGGAAAAAGTTTAGAAATGTGACAGGATTGCGTCACAAATTGAGATTGACTAGTAGAAAGCTATCATGTTAAGAAGGTTTATGATCGGTTTGTTTTTACTTTAATAGGGTCAAGGTTCACTTATGTGTTGTTGATTTTTGACTGTGGATGTTTTAAAAAGTGGACAGAGGTTTAACTACTTCAAATGCCCAAGAATATTGTTCTATGTTTTGACGGAACCAAAGAAAACTTTGGTCCACAGCCTTATACAAACGTTCTGAAAATATACAGATTACTAGATACAACAAATCAAGTTTGCTATTATCAACCAGGGGTTGGCACTGCCGCCACTTTTGATTCTATTGATGACTTACAACGTTATTTGACTCTTTCTACTTTGAAAAATACTATGGATGCAATGTTTGCATTTTGTCTGGATAATCATATTACTTCCGCATATTTATATTTAATGCATCATTATAAACCTGGAGATAATATATATATGTTTGGGTTTTCTCGGGGTGCATTTATCGGTAGAGTACTTGCTGGAATGATTGAAAGAGTAGGTTTACTAAATGAAGGGTTAGATGATATGGTAGGTATGGCATGGAGAATATATGAATCATGGGAATATGCAGAGCAACCAAGTCCAACAAGTTATACAACTACTTTAATTCAAGAATTCAAATTAATTTTTAGTCGTGATTATGAAATTAAAATACATTTTCAAGGATTTTTTGATTCTGTTAATTCTGTAGGATTTTTCAGAGAAAGACTATTTCCGTGTACTCAAAGAAGTAATATTGTTCAACATGTTAGACACGCTTTATCGATTGATGAAAGAAGAGGTAAATTTAAACAGGTTTGTTTTACACCAAATCCTTATAGGCCTGAAATGTTTTCATTACGAAATAAGACATTTCCTAAAAAGGAAAATGATATGATATATAGTGTTTACTCAACTTTATCAACAAATAGATCTGAAACAAATACAGATATTAAACGATCACCCTTGTTTGAAGGTAACTTATACAATCCAATTATTGATTATACAATTCATAGATATATTGGTTTAGCTAGAGGTTCATCTCGTTGTGAAATTTCAAGTGTTTCTGTATTAGGAAGAGGGATAATGAAGCCAAAATTAGAGAGGCATGAATTATCACATACTACAAGTGATCATTTAATAAGGAAAGTTGATTCTTTTTTAGAAATATCAAATCCACATGCAAACAGTTATACATATTGTTCAAAAGATAACGTTGAAGGTACATTCAAATTAAATAGAAGTATGTCATATTCAATGTCTGATTTGGCATCTTTTGATGAAACAGCTGCTTCATTGACGTCGACTCAAACTTTAACTCCCGATCTACAAGAAAAATGGTTCCCTGGTGATCATTGTGATATTGGAGGTGGGTGGATACCAGATTGTAGAAGCCATAATTTTTTATCTAATGTTTCCTTAAGGTGGATGTTAGCTGAAGCAATTAAGAATGGTGTAAAATTTAAGCCAGGTGTCATTGGCAAATTTGCTAAAAAATATACTTCTTTGGGTTCAATGTGTTGTTCAGCACATGATTATTTGAATTTTGAACCTTGTAAATATTGTAAAACAGGCCAAGAACATCATATAATACAGCCAGAATTATTAATTAATAATCTTCATATTAATCATAATTTTGTACAATTACAAAGTGATGGCTCATTTGATGATGTTGACCTGTTTCGACCACCCGAACAACAAGATAATGAAGTTACTGTTACAACTAGTTCAATGTTAAGTGTTCGTAACGTTTTTAATTCAAATTGTACTCATATTAGAAAATTATTGGCTGTATTTTGGTGGTTGGTGGAATTATTACCAATTGGATTAAAGATTGAATCTCAAGATGGTAAATGGAGAAATATATATATTCCAAATTTAGGTAGGCCTCGTTGTATTCCATGTTATGCAGATATGCATTGGTCAGTATATTGGAGATTGAAATTTCATAATGATTATAGGCCAATTAATTTACCGCCTTATGTATATGAAATTATGAATCATAAGACTTTGAATAGTTCGAACAGTATTGTAAGATTTCAATTAAAATGGGGATCTTCTATAAATGGGCAAGATACTAGAGATGAAGAAAGTACTTCAATGAATTTTTGTAATATGTCACCAGGTAGTTCGAATAATTCAGCGTTAAGTGAAGTTGAAATTTTTAATATGTTAGGTGATATTAACTACCATCAGGCAGTTGACAATATTTCAAGATGGGAAAAAGATAATTGGTTAACAATACCTGATGATCTAAGTGACTTGTTAGAAGACGATCCCGATCTTTGAAAAACTTAAAATTATAACATGAAAAAAATATTTTGAATAAGAGTAGAATAAAGGAAGATTAAGTTTATTTTGTGTGTTTTACTGTGAATAAATAAATATGGAATAAATATACAGAAGTAATTAAATATTTTTATATAATAATAAATAAGAAAGAAAATAAATAAATAAAATTTAAAAGAAAAAAAAAATATCAATCTGATAAATGTTCTTAAGATTTTCTATTCATTGAACTTATCGATTTATTAACATTTTCTTTCTTTACTTATTTATATCAATTCTTTTTGTTTGTTTGTTTGTTTGGCAGGGAATATATATTTATGATTGTAATTTGTATGGATAAAAGGGTAGGGGTAGGGGAGAAGGAATCAGAAGAAAATGAGAAGTTAAAACTTTATAAAATACTGTTTATTTGCATTAACCAACAATAACCTTATCTTCACTAAATTCATATTGTGGGATTTCTAAATTCAAAGGAGCCGGGCCTTTTCTAATTCTACCTGAGATATCGTAGTGAGAACCATGGCAAGGACAAAACCAACCACCAAAATCACCAGATTCACCAATTGGAACACAACCTAAATGAGTACAAATACCTAACATAATTAACCATTCTGGATTTTGAACTCTATCAGCATCTGTCTGAGGATCTTTCAAAGACGACATATCTACTTCATTAGCTTCTTGAATTTCATGAGCAGTTCTGTGTCTAATAAACACAGGTTTACCTTGCCATTTAACAACAACATTCTTACCTACTGGAATATTAGCTAAACTAACTTCAACTTTAGCCATAGCTAAAACATCAGCAGAAGCGGACATAGATGATAAAAAGGTTTCTACAGTGGATTTAGCACCTGCGGATGATAATAAACCCATAGAACCAACCATAAAGTAAGAAAATACTCTTGATTTATCCATATTTCTATCTTCTTTCAAAACATCGTCAAAATTAGGTGTACGATAAGTAGATTTATTTATTAGTTGGGTAGTAGATAACTTTGCAGTTGTAATAGCTACTGGTTTTGCTAGAGTCCTTACTGTAGTTGGTGATCTTATTAGATTTGATAACATTATATCGTTATATTTATAAGTTTTTGTTTAATAGTTGTAGTATTTTTTTTTGTTTTACAAATTATAATCTGTAGAAAGAAATTAATTAATCTGATAATATAATAAAGGGGATACCTTTCTTTCTTGTATAAATTTGAGTTTCAAAGTATTCAAATTTCTCTTTTAAAAATAACAATTAAAAAAAAAATTAAAACAAATATGTTTGTTAAATTGTTATTCACAAAGAAATACCAATTTTTTTGAAAGAGCTCTCTATTCCTTTATTATTCATTAATTTATCATGTATATATATTAAATGAAACGTCCCTGCTATCACCGAAAAATGCATTTCAAAGGGGAGAAATTTGTTAGCCGAAATTTTTTTCAGATCATGTGACCGGAGCTGTGTTGTGTTGTTCTGTGCGGTGTCTGGGTTGCGGCTCAGGCCCTGTTCTGATTGGCTGAAGCGGGTTTGGGCGGCTGGTTTCCCGATTGAACGATGTGGCAACGGTTTTTGAAATAAAAGGATTCGTTCATATGTATATATATATAGATACGTATAGGGATGACTAGGATTCTTTTGATTCCTGGTTAAGTATATTATGCTCAGATTATTGTTGTTGTTTTCAAGGGTTAACAAACAGGACATATCTAGATTAGTTGTGAATCCTCATAGTGAAAACATGCTTCCCAGTTAACTAGTAAGGTATATTGATTTTAATCCTTCTTTGTTTCTGGTTCTTTAAAGTTTCATTATTGCGTTTGCCTTGATAAGCTTGCAGAAATTATAATAGAGAGTTCACGTTCATATGAGTTATCATATGGCGGGTATAACAAAAAAAATAAAGAAGAATAGATGAAGGCAAACCAAAAAAAAATAAGAGAGATGAGGCTAGACAGCTATTATTTCTAACAAATGAGAAGAAGATAGATCAATGCACTACCTCGTTTATATCCGTCCTATAGTTGAATTGCTTCACTAGTTTTGTTTTAATCAGGAAAAGGGACATTATCTTTTAGTATGATATGCAGAGTGTTAGGAAACCGTTCAAGATTGAAAGAATAGATAATAGATATTTTGAGGAAACATTTCAAGAATCAATAGGTATAAGTTCAACTTTCAATGATGATGAATCAACTGCAAATTTATTATTAGGGAAACATTCTTTGAATTCTAATAAAATTATCTCTACAAAGACATTAGATGTAGTGCAATGCTGCGATAAGGAAACATTTGTAATTGTTGAAGATAGATGCATACGAGCTATACATTTACTAGAATCGCATGACGTAGAAATATTTGATCAATTGCCTTTACATGATACGATTTTGTGTTGTATTGAATCAAAATCTACACATGGTAGAATTTGTATTTTAACAGATAATAATATGATTCATTTCATTGACGTAATAGAGATCAAAGGATCTAAAAAATTGAAATTTACAAGAGATATAGATATAAATTTGAACTCAATAGATAAAAATTTGCATCTATTCATGGCAACAATCGACAATACTGTTTATTTGATTAATAAATCTATGAATAGAATTTATTCAATAGACGTGAACAAGAATCAATTGAACTCAGTTCCATTCCAATTAACAATGATTCATCAACTAGTTGATTTTACATCATACGTATCAGAGAAAGGTACACGTAATTTACTTTTGTTTCATATCGATAAATTGTCAAAGATATTACATCTTGAAATTCTTGAAATAATTAATGGTGATAATGAAGCAACACCGGCAGAATTATTAAGAAAGAAAACTTTTAAGATTGATAAAATAGAGAATGATCTTCTAAGGATAAAAAAGATAGACTCCCAATGTATCGTAGTACTAACGTTTAACAATGTGGTAATTATATCCGGTAAACAATTTTCTGTTAAGAGATGGCCAAATGGAACCATTTTGAAGAAGCATTTAAAACAATCATTTGATCTTAAAACCTTTTATGTTGATAGAGATAAGACATCGTTTTTTTTACAATTAGTGGACCCCAAATTGAATATTTTGAGCGCAACTTTAAAGAAAGGTGAAAGCAATATTAAATGGAAATTTAAATCTGATAACCCTTTTAAACAACAAAGCATTCTTGCATTTTATTTAACTCGCGATATCATATATTTGAGAGATAAAGCTGATAAAATCAATATAATTAAAATTGAACAAGATAAAAACAGAGAACACTATAAGTTTACAAATAAAGCTGCCTTTAAACAAATTACGTATGAGAATGTTACTTATAAATGTGGATTTGTTAAATCAAATACAGGTTCTATAGTACAGAATTTTATTTTTGGAGGTGTGAATTTGAGTAATAATAAGCCATTCTTAGAGGAGACAAATACATCTATACAATATGTTATTAAGAAAATAGGAGTAATTTCAAATGAGACAGGTATACTTAATAAACTTGTCATCAACAGAGGAACTTTGAAGATATTATTTAACAACAAATTATATGGAATGGATCAAGATAAAAATATTGTATTGATAAAGTCATTGGATTTAACTGAATCTTACCTATCCGATAAAGGTAATATAATCCCTTACCACAATGAACATATTATATATTGCGCAGACGTTATTTCTTATAATACACTCCATGCAGTTCATGATATTCTACTACAAATCCATATAGACGGCAAGGTAACAATAAAATCATACGGTGAAGATACAAATAACTTTCATACCCTATATGAACTTAAGCATAAAATCAAGTTGCAAAAAAAAGTAAGAACCTCCGCAATAATTACAGAGACTTCCGACATTTATTTATTGATAAATGAAAATGAAATGCTATATCTCTACCTTAACGGTATGGTTGTGGCAACTATGTTCATTGGCAATCGAAAACTGAATGACTTTTTCATCTTGAAACCCGGCGATGATTTAGAAAGAGGAATGGTAGCATTGTCTTTTAGTGACGGTAATCTAGAATTTTTTGCAATGAATTTGAATCATATTTATTTTAAAATACCATCAATTACGAACGGCGGGTACAAATTAATAAAAACTGTAATTAACAGTAACATTTTGGTTGTGTATCAAAAACAGTGTATACTGTTGATTAATTTTGAATGCTTCCAAATTGCTAAAATTGGATTACAATTTGAAATTCAATGTGTTGTGTACGGAGGATTGAAGGATACTAAACATACATTTATGATATGTGATAAATCTAACGAACTCTATGAAATCGGATTCAAAATAGGCATGAAATTTAAGACATGTACGACTCGATTGGAACTCGGAATTAATTTTGATATCCCCGTTATCATATGTGAAATTCCATTCTCTGAGTCACTTATTATGATTCTTACGAGGAACCGTGAAAAGAAGTATCTTAACGTATTTGCGTACGATATTATTAAACGGTGCATTGTGTCTAATGTGTTCACCGTCACTTCTATTGAAGACTACAAACTAATCCTCACCCCATTGAGTACGAAAGACAACCCAAGGTGCAATATATACAGCAAAATTCCACAATATGGTTTTATTGTGACATTCGTTAGGAAGGGGAAGTCACAATATCAGATATTACAATTTGATAAGTTAAAAATGTCGATAAAACGAATATTCGGTGGAAATCTAAAGGTTACTCCATATTCAATATTAATAAGAGTAATAGATAAATCAAGGCAATTAATAACATTTTTAGGACGTGATATTGAGATTAAAGAATTGATATATTTCCAGAAAAACAGTAATAATATGTTTTCAGTTCAAGCTAAGGATTATAAATTATTCGAAAGAAATAGTCAACCGTATATTGTTTATGGTTATGAAGAGGCTGGTTTACTCGAAACGATAAATATGAAAAGTGTTCATGAAAATTTTAATACTCTCCTAATGGAGGTGCAAAATGCTCGATATGAAAGTTCCGATAGGTTAAATATTGAATTTGATAAATATTTCCAAAATACGTTTATTAAGATGGCTAGTTCATTTATCTTTGTTGATACAATTGACAAAGTGAAATACAAGAGTCCCCTATTAGAACATGATGTATGGTTTTATAACCTTGTTTCATCTCTTGTAAAAAGTGGTGACGTGACGAAGAATATTATAGTTGCAACGGTTGACGAAGATGATAAACTGTCCTTGTATCATGATAGGGGCCTACAATATGGGAAATCCAGATTATCTACATCTAGTATAAGCTTTCAACATTATTCACAAGTTGAAGAGGTAATTCCTATCCAAAATGATTTTACAAGGCTTAGCAGCGTTATCTTAACTAATACATGCACGGGAATGGATTCCCAGCCTATATTTATTGTTCTTGGTAGTGGTTCCACTAAATGTATTATCACAAAATGTCATGATGGATGTCTGGGAAAAGAAAAAAAATCCACTTCTACGCAAACACTTGACTTTCAACCTAAATCGAAAAGTTTATGATATATCGCAATGGTTCAACTCTACCACGGATCCAATGATTATATTCTGTTAATCTTGACAAAAACTAAACAATATTTTATAAATGCTATTCTTAAAGATAGTTATATATGCATCATCCCTATCTACTTTATTTCTAATTTACAATTTGTTATATAATGAGTTAGTATTTAACTTTCGTGCCATTTACCAAGTCTTTTGTAGTCTGCGTACAGAACTTTAAAGTATTGTCTACCAGAATTATCTAATACTCTGTTGATCATGTTTAACTCGTTCTGTGAAATTAAATCCAAAATCGCATATATTGCGGGTGTGATGCACTTTCTAATGTTGTCTTCAAAAGTGCCAGAAATGCATAAATAGACATGCTTGATTAAAAGGGCGGGAATGTATTTTCTTACCGTTTTCTTAAAAGTGCTAGTATTTGAACTTAACTTATTGTTATTTCTTGTATTAGTTGACGAGGCATTTGAAGGTTCACAATAATTGACCACTAATCTTGAAAATGCTATTGCCGACTCCGTTGACAAACCATGTTTTCGGCTACTGCAAATTAGTTCCAGATATTCACAAAGTAAACTGTTAACTAAGTTGTTACGATTCGACACCTTAATTCTACTAAAGTTCAGGATATTGGAAATAATTTTGGTAGATGCTATGAATATTGAATCTTTGTGTGATTTATCAATACCTTGCAATAGAGTAACTCTAAGACAGAATGGAAATAAAATTTCAATACCATACTGAGAGAAAATCCAAGATTTTGATACTTGGAGGTCACAGATAAGATTACAAATATCTAGAATTTCTTGCGAGTTTTCTTGAAGTTGTGCTATATTCGAGAACACTTCTGAAATGAATTTGACAAATAATTTAGAACCCAGTATGTTCTCCTTATTGATGTTTATCATTTGTATTTGTAATAACTCCAGAATGGCACAACGTGTCGTATTACTTGTTTCATCGCTCAAAGAAATTATTGTGGAAATTAAGGCATTATTGAATTCGTTTTCGTTTAGAACACTCCTCCTAATAACTATATTATTGATTGCTGGTAGTAATTCGTTTTTTGAAATACCGCTATCCCTCAATATCAAATATTGGGCATATAAGATTTCCAATCTCTCATCAAAAGAAATTGTATGTAGCAAAAACAACGGAAGGGTAGATTTATTCATTTGTTTAGTAGCCATGTTAAAATCCTTCGTCATCCCTCTAATAAAAGAAGCGATTCTTGATGAGGTTTTCTTTGAAATATCTATATCTTTTAGTCCATCGTATAAGTTTCTAGAAACAAATGCTATATGTGAATCATCATTCTTATCACTGAACTTTGATATCCATTCAATTGATTTATCAACAAATATGTTTACTAACTTATCTTGGTCAGTATAACTTGAAGACTTTACAAATAAAACAGCCATCGTGAAATAAGCTTCAAAAAACTGCTCATTATTGATACCAATTGAAATTTTTTCTTCCAATAGCTGAAGAAAATCTCTACTAATTCTTTCTTTGGATTGTGAAATGTGGTTTTTCAACACTTTTTGAAAAATTAAATTTACTTCAGACTCCATATTTGTTGTTGCATGTTTAGGGTATTCCATGATTTTTAAGAGGGTATCGAAATCGTTCTCAATTTGACTTTTAAAAGTAGGACTGGATAATAGGTGGTCTAGTAATTTCAAATCCGCATCACAAATTGTATTTTTAGTTGTAATGTTATTAATCAATGATACCCTAATATTCTTATTCAGACATTCGAGTGGAATTTGGATAATATATGGGATTGCTTTATTTATTGAATTCTTGGATGTTAAAGAGAAAACTAAATTATTCATCACTGTATTCTCCTCAAAGATGTCATCGTTCTCGAAAAGTGAATCCAAGATAGAAATACAACTTTCAGATATTAATATATTTATTAATTTTAAGATTGTCTCTTTGGAAAACAAGTTATTGATTAGTGATGACCAATTCACAAATAATTCTTTTAATGTTTCTCTTTTGGTTAGGTCATCGATATTTTCTAAATAATGTATTAATTTCGCTTCAGTCTCGCTAATATCGAAATCTTTGTATTCTCTTAATTTTAATATAAAAAATAATTGGTCCTTGGACAAGATATTATCCATTTTAAATATTCTTGTTACTTCAGTGTCGGTGACATCGGAAATTACTTCATCTGGAATTATATCATCATAGATCTGCATGATAAGATATTTAATTTCCCACATTTCCTTAGCATTACTGTCGGTATACGTAAACAGTTGTGAAAGTGTATCTTTTAGGTCAGGTAAAATGATATAAGAAATTAGAGGCAAACTCTTCAGATAGATTTTCGATATAGATATGGTTACTTTATTAGCTTCCTGTGACATAAGTTTCGTTACCATCTCGGTGAAAGTGTCTTTTAGTTGACTAACGGATAATGTTGCGATATTTTTAATTATCTCTTGAATTACCTTTGGATCATTTAGATATATACAAGAGTTTAGAACGGTATTGTTCTCGTAACAGTATTTTTCAAATATTTTTAGGAATTGGGGATACTCTCTTGCATTTATGTAACAATTTAAGAATTTTTTCCAAACATCCAAGATGTGTTCATTATCTGACTGAGATATCCTTTGTTCTTCTATTAAACTCAATAAAATTGGCGATTTTTGAATACCAATTTCTAAATCCAATTCCAAAATGTTACCGAGTAACAACCAAAATGTAGAGTCGTACGTTTTGGTAGATGATGCATTGTCCAAAGTTTGCAAGAATAATTTTTCAAGGAAATCGTGGGACATAGTTTTCTTGGTCGAAGATAATAATTGTAATAATTTCACTACTACCGATGGTTGAACCGCAACAATATTTTCAAAGATAGTCTCTAATTTCTTAAAATCGTTCTTAGCTATATATTTATTTGCTTCTTCAAACAGAACTGTCACTACATTACCATCCAGTAGATCCTTATTTCTATGGAAAAACTTGTCTAATAGGAGTAGTGGGTTAATATCTCTCCCAAAAAGATATTTCCCTAAGTAAGTAGAAAATTTATTAGTCATATTATGGTTGGCTTGTAAAGTGTTATTTTCGTTGCAGTATACCAAATATTTAAGAATCGAGAGAAGTAATTCATTGCAGAACAAAATAGATAATTTATGGTTTATTTCCGGTAAATTATCGAATCCAATTAAAGTTATTATTTCTTGAATAAGTACGTTTCTCTTTTCGTCATCGAATATCGATTCATCTGTCTTTAGGACAAGCAAAATAGTATTAGATAATATTGAACACGAATGTTCAAAGGTGATCTCTACAGTTGATGTGGCATTGATCAACTTGCATGTTCTGGAGACAGCAATAGCCATTTGAGTGGCGTCGACGTTAGATGAAGAAAGGATATGCTCTAAAAGAGTCGTGAACTTTAACTTTTTAAACAACTTCTTCAATATGACATCATCATTGACTTCGAACCACATGTTATTGAAAGCGTTCCATATTTGATAACTATTTTTAAACTCTGTTTTCTTCTGATCATTCCATCTATCTTGGATCAACTCAAGAACGAAAACTTCTTTATTAGGAAAGTAGAAATCTAGTTTATGGAATTTCGAAATGATATCGCAGATTTCATCAGGTGAAGTATCCTTTGCCCGCAGGAGCTTAGTTATTTCCTCTGCAGATGTTGGAAAATTCATTAGCCACTTCAAGTATCTTTGGGTTTCAGCAAATCAAAAGTATAACCTTATAAAGTTCAATTCGAGCAATTAATGTCTTAAAGTTGGAACTGTTATTTGAGATGAGCTTGGGCATCGGTTATATATCATTGATTTTTTTGCTTTCCTTTCTGTAATCATCAAAAATTTTTCAACGAAGTCACGTGTAAAAAAGAGCTAAATTTTAAAAAGTTAGTTTTCTTCGATTTTTTTGTTGTCAACAGCATCGTAAATAGCATTGAAAACCCAGAACCTGACCCAGATCAGTACAAAGTTAATAAGCCAGTAACTGTCTTTGACATAGAATCTTATTTATTCAGATACAAATTATTGAAAAATTGATATAATTTGCATATTGTAATAGTATATTTAATTTTAAATTACCAGGTAAAACACCTTCACAATTTGCGAAAAGAATACGAACATAAGAGGGACAGTATGATTAACCAAGATAGCACGATGGACCAAGACTCTAATGGACTTTTAATGGATGTTGATAATATGGATTTCTTGGATGGCCTAGACAATGGGTCCGTTAATACAAAAAATGAGAATAGTGACGACAGTCTCGATGAATCTCTATCGATTAACGGAAGTGAGGAAGAGCTCTATCAAAGAGATTCTATCACAGGTGAACTGGTAATGAATTTGACCAAGAAATATGACCTCCCACTCAAAAAGGGTGATAATGGCAAACTAAAATTTAAATTGAGTAATTTGGGCGCTTACAATTTGGCCTATGTTACTGGTAAAGAGAATGAAAAGTTGTACCCAGTTAGCATCCCAAACATGGACAATAATAAACAATATTATAAGTACATAACCAAGTCATTTCAAATATATCAAGAATTAGGAGAACACAGATCTTACGATATTCCGACAATTGGAGTAATTAATTCAACCTATCAGAAGGAACATATCGCTAGTGTGAACCTAGCAATGGAAGCCATATTTTCAGAGCTAGAATATTTCCTTAATGAAATTAAAGATGAAAAAATATCAATTGATAGATATATGAATTTAGAGGATTCTATGATAATACTTCAATGTCTAAAGGCAATTCATTTCACATTGGATACACCGGATGAAGAGAAAAAACGAGAAAATTTTATTATTGGTTTGATTGAATGGGTCAATCGTTCGGACGGGGAACCGAATTCTGACTATATCAGCCGTGTGTTCAGTACTGACAACTTGGAGAAGCCAGTTTTCCAAACCAATTTATTTTGGACATTATTGAATCAGTTACTTCTTAGGGGGTTATTTGAACAGGCAATTGGTTGTATTGAAAAGTCCAGAATTCTAGCTATCTTGAAGGATATATGTCAAGTATCTTATAATGCATTATCTGATTTAATTGCACTCCTTAATCGTTATCCAGTAGATTCCGATGAATCTTTTAGAGAATGGAAAGCGATGGTTCTGGAATTGAGTCAAACATTTTCAAACAGTGAAACAAATGTATCTGGTGAATTACGTGATTATATAGAAGATACATTATTATTAGTTAGTGGTGATAGATTCAAGATTCTAAACTATTCCAAGACATGGTACGAATCCTTTTGTGGGTTTATTCTATATTATATTCCAACATTGGAGCTTGCTGATGAATACCTAAAACTCTCTGTAGAAAGGAATGCCATCGATATCACAAGTAACTGGGAAGAATGCTGTGCATCAATTATCAAGGGTAATATATATTCCATTTTCCCTGTATTAGAATCATTAGATAATTGTACTGCTACTTTCACCGCTGCGATCTGTGAGGCAAAGGGTTTACTGGGAAATTTATATGCTAACGAGGATGAAGATATTGACTTAATGAGTCAGCATGAAGATGATAATGTGTTGTCTGATTTGTTATCTCAAAAGAATGGTATTGCTTATTATATGATATATAATTTTGCCTTTGAATTATGTTCGTATGATAATAAGGATTTATGGCCAGTTGCAATAGGTCTAATAACATTTGTTCCAGTGGTAAATTCTAGTACAAAGAGAATGACGATTAGTGAGTTACTACAACATTATCCATATCAAACAAATGATGATATTGAATGGCTCTTGAGTGTATGTGCACAATGGAAGCTACCATATGTCATAAAATCATTATTTACAAAACTTGGTAATTCGATGATGTATGAAGGCAAGACAATTGAAGCCATCACTAATTTTAGTAGGGCCAGTAGATTTGATCTTGTTAAACAATACTCGTGGACTCTATTTGAGGCATCTATCATAACAGGCAAACCTTTAGAAGATGAGGTCTTAACTGCAATTGTTCAAGGAAATGAAAATACATTGGGTGAAACAGGAATTGTAACACAAGATATACTGAATAGTCTAGTGACAAATGCAATGAAACAGACGTTGTCGCCGTATGCTGTCCTTTTCAGATTTTATAAGGAAGTCGAGGAACAGAATTGGTCCATAGCATTAGAATTGTTAATTGAATTAATTACTTTTAAGCACTTGCCGGATCATTATTTGGTTTTGTTAATAACAAAGTTTTTATACCCAATTTTCCTCCAAGATAATTCTAAGCTAATTAGTGAGAGCAAAGTTATTGACATAATCGAAGCTATTGAATTGAAATGGGATTCGAATAATGAAAAATCACAAAATAGCTTCGATGTTGTGCTTGAGGCAGATAAGACACTGGAGAAAACCCTAGGTGACTCTTTGGATGACGCTCTAAGAGAAATAAGATCCAAGCTCAACTATAAACTATGTCAAGAATTCATGTAGATCATATAAAGTGAAAGTGAAAATTAATAATAATATATTTCTCCAAAAAATAAAATTAATGTATACAACGGATTACCAGCGGTATATTACACAACAAATATAAGGATATATATATATATATAAATGTTTTATAGAGGAGGTATATGCACAAAATATAATGTAGTAGAGGGAGATAAACAAAAGAAGTCATATTCTACCTAAGAATAACAAGTTTAACAGACAACATCTTGAGTAGCTCTGGAGTTTAGAAGCAAAGCAACAATCAACCCATATAGACCCAAAACTTCAGCAAAAATCAAAATCAAAATCATACCAACAAATAATCTTGGTTGTTGAGAAGTACCTCTAACACCGGCATCACCGACAATACCAATGGCAAAACCAGCAGCCAACCCACTTAAACCGACAGATAGCCCTGCACCTAATTGGATAAAACCGGTGTATAAAGCTTGTTTTTGACCAAGAGAGTAACAGACCAACACAGAGACAACCAGACCATAAATGGCAATAATACCAGCCATAATAACTGGAACAATGTTCTTAAACAACAAGTCAGGTCTTAGGACACAGGTGGCACAGATACCAACACCAGATTTGGCGGTACCATAAGCAGCACCGAAGGATGTAAAGATGATAGCTGCAGCACAACCCATAGCACCGAAAAATGGAGCATAAACAGGACACAAATCACTCATTTTAAATATTAAAGTATCTTTCTGAAGGTAAAACTTGGTGAACTAAGCACTTAATTTATGCAAATGGAACCTCTTGTTGTTGTTTCTTTAGTGTCCACTTTGTAGATTGCTTATACATTTGCATTGGCTAAATATTACTTGTTATATATGCATTTATATAATCAGCCTGCTGTAATTGCAACTGCTGCATCGTTTTTCGGCATATTTTTTTGTTTCTCCCACAACTCCTAAGGGAAGCAGCCAACTGGCTGTAAAAGATAGGGCAAAATTATCGATAACCCTAATTATTGACTAGGGTTTGTTTGTTTTTTCAGAGGTTACAAAACCGATCGTTTTATACGAACGGTTTACTGTTACTATGTGAGTCTCTGTAATAAAAGCAAAATGTGACTTCTCAATGTGATGAAAAACGTAACAATGTCTTTTTTGTTGGTGGAATTTATTTAAAAAAATATAGCAGGTATAATATGAGACTGGGAATAATTATAAGCCAGCGATGGATTCCTCTAATGGGCACAGTACTGGTATGATGGGTATTCTCGTTTAGTCATAAAAGTACACAAGGACACAGAAACACGAGTCGAATACAGGAGTTCGATCTATAAAAAAAATAAAATTCAACAGACCTACAATATCTGTATATGTATTTTACAATCGCTATTTTTAATAGCTTATTCCTAAATTAAGTGGACAGTTATGGTAGAAAAAATTGACAAAAAGAAAATTAGCGCCGCTCGGTTTCGATCCGAGGACATCAGGGTTATGAGCCCTGCGCGCTTCCACTGCGCCACGGCGCTTCTAATTTTACATTTTTCTTTATTGTTTTTTAATATATAAGGAGCTAACATTTTTGAATTTTAGTGAACTAACCTTTATTTTTTCAATTATTTCCAGAACCCTTGGGTATTTTTTTGACGGAAATAATATACTATGAGTATATCTAAAATTGTTTACCAATAACATGGAAAGCTCACGAGAAATTACTTAACCACATTACTAATGCAAAAGTGGATGCGTATAACCAATGAACCATTACGTAAGGAAGATTACCTAATAGATGAGAATGTTGGAAATTATATCACAGTGTGACACACAGTGATCTTCGTACAATGCGATATTGCTGTGAAAATTTCTGTATATATAGGAACCCGTTTTCCAAATTATATAGAATTATATATTACACTTTCTCACATCTCTCTCTGATAGGAGGGAGAGGAGCTCTGCTGCTGGCAACGGACACCTAGTCCT